ACAGGGGCGGCGACGTCGAGTGGTTGGGTGCGCCCTGCTGAGCGCCGCCGCCGCCCGATGGCGACGGTATGGACAATGAAGGTTTGCTGGATGATGGCGTCAGCGGCAGAGCATTTGCATTAACAGATCCTTGCTGTTCATTGTTTGCCGCCGTCGTGTCTCTTGCCACACCAGCATCGTTCACATCCGAGTAATTTGTCATTCAATCGTAATGTGATGAGTGTGCGTGCGTGTGCGTGCGTCTAACTTTCAAAATATAGATTGATTGTTTGTTTGATTGATGTTCTGTGTTGTTCTGTTTGTTGTTGGTTGTTTGATCCTGCTATCTCTCTATCTCTTTCTATCCTATCTGTTTAGTTGTCAAATGAATGAATGAGTATGAATGAGGTGATGGGGAGGTGAGGTGAGGTGAGGTGTGAGGTGAGACTGTTGAATGTACAATGATATATATTATATTAAATAAATAGATATATTGGTTTGATTTAGTTACAACAACAATAATGATAATAATGAATGAATGTTATATATGATATGTGTGTTTGTGTGTATATATGTATGTTTATAAGTATAAGTGTGGGTTTGGGTTAGAGTGATGAGCTTTCAAAGGTACGTTGGGAGCTCAAAACTGAGTTTAATTTCAAAAATAACTTTGTTTTGGTGGGCAAAACAACTTCGTCATGATACCAACAACTAATGTTTCCTTTAGGGGCTGTGAGGGTCTTTCACCAGTAAGTCAGTATTATGATTGACTTCAAGATCTGATCAGTCCAGAAGTGATCTGATTGATTGATTCCTTATTCTTATTCACTCACATCTGGACTGATTGGTGCTTAGTAAGTATTCACTTGGTCAATTAATTGATTGATTGGACAGCGAGACCAGCGATACTTAGGAGTTTGCAAACTAAGTATTTCCATTTACAACATGGACATGTTTATTGACTGATTGATTGATTGATTGATGTTGGAACAATCGTAGAATGAAATGATTGATTGAATGAATGAATGATTAGTTATCTCTCTCAAGCTCCAATGAACGATGTCCATTCTGTACGGTGTACTGGATGAAACGGTAGATCATGCTGGTGTCGGCGGCAATGCTAACAGATTCGTATCCAGTGCAACAGGCAACACAGGGAACATCATTGTCATGTTGCATGATTGGCGATGAGGAGATGGCCTGATGAGCACGACAGCACTCGGCAGTCAGCTCAGTGTGGTCGACAGGGGTGCCAGTGCACATCTTGCGCAGGTTCTGATAGTACTCTGCCTCTGGCTTCTCCTTTGATCCATCACATGCCCACTCGCTGAATGCGCCAACACCGGAACAGAGTGGCTCAACCTTGCGCAGCACATCAATCTGTCTCTGGTCAGTGTCAAGCATCTCCAGGACAAACTGCATGTTGGAACCATCATCTCTTGGTGGTGCGTTGGTGGCGGGATAGACGAGAGTGCAGTTCTCATTCATTGAGTATCTGTAGGTCTGGAAGTACCACGACACGGATCCAGCGAGGGCGTGGGCAAGGACCTTGCCACAGCAGATCGTGCTGCGGAATTGGGAACTGGAGAGCACCTGGAGCAGACGGTCGGCACCCCTGGTGAAGCGCTCAAGCTCATCGTGGCCGGCAACCAAACGGTACACATTGAGTGGCTCGTGCGAGGCGATATCATTGATCAGATCGACGGCATCGTGGAAGACCACACCAATCTTGCCAGCCAGGAAGATGTATGGGCGACACTTGGGACATGTCTGGCGGAAGGCCAGGTCCTCGGCATAGGGCATAACCATACCCTCATAATAACGGCATTGAAGGGCTTCCTTGAGGGGCACGTCACTGGCCACTGGAAGACGGCCGCCAATAGTGTTGGATGGCGATCTGATCTCATTCATCACACGACGCAGCATATTTGTGCTCGAGTTGAGGATTGAGTTGTGCTTGACAGTGTCACGCAGGATCATGTCGGCGGGCGTGCCTGTGGTCTCTGGTGTCAGCATGTTGGCCAGCAATCTCCTCAGACAGGCTCTGGCTGTAACACGTCCCTCGTCACCAATGGCACTCAGCTCGTCCCAGTAGGCGGCCATGGTCATGTGCTGGCAGATCCACCAGAGCATGTTGTAATCCGAATACTTATGCATACGGCCATAAACATCACATCTGGCAATATGGGAGGCCATGTCAATGTGGTCCTGCTCGGCATTCGATCCAGAGATGGTGCGTGCATCGATGATGGCCTGGCGGAAGGCTGGCGACAGCTCACGTCTCTTGATGAACCAAAAGCTGGTGTCCCTGACCTCTGGGGTCAGCTCCTTGCCATCGTCCTCAGACTTCTTGATCAGCTTGGGTGTGGCCTGGAGGGTGACACACATGCACATTGAGAACACGGCGTAGATGAAGTTGCACGAGGCTTCGGTGGTGGCGTTGGGCTTGATCGACTTGACCTGGGCAATATTCTTGATGACGGTCTTGTATACGGTGAGCCAGTTGGCAACACCCTCTCCATACTTCTTAAAGATGGGAGCGGTGTCCTTGGTTACCATTTCGGCGGCCACATCCCTTGTCAAGATATGCACCTTGTCATCTGAACCAATATATTCATTTGGTTTCATATCATGTGATGGGCTGATCTCACGACGTTCAAATGCAACAGGGTCCTTCATACCCGACAATTTGACTTGGTATTCAAACAAATCGGTTATATCTTCAGTGTTGGCTGGTATAGTAGGTCTCATCTTTTAAATACTAATTATATATATATATATTAAGTTATGTATTATGAGTTTGATTGATCAGTTGTCAAGTATGTATCTCTCTCTTTGTTTATCTATTTATTTGTGTTTGGACTTAAGATAATAAATGAATGGATGATTAGTCTCAGTCTATAATGCTTGCATCCTTGTCATCTGCCAATGAACGATTAAAGTGATGGCATCACCCCAACAAGCTACAAGTATACATGATATCATAATATATCTCACAGACACCTACCCTCCCCTCGCACCGACCTCAGTTCTCTCGAGTATCATTCACTCTAATCGTAAATAAGCAAGCAAGCAGGCAAACAAACAAACTCATCCTTCCCATCCTTTCACAATAATAACATCATTGAATGACTGTGAACAAGTGGTCATTCTACAAACGAAACATATCATAACCTAAATAAGTGAAGAGACGCACCCACAAACAACACAATGAATGACACAAGCAATGAAGGGTTACACCCCCCAAAACAATGTGACAGGTACCAAGATCTGCATCTACCCCCAAAACATATGTCAAGTTTTCAGATTGGCCACACACGCTGTTTCCTCATAAATACCTTTGCAAGCAGCACTTTGAGTATTGTTGTTGAGTCGAATGAGTTATGTTGCGTTGCGGCACACAGCTCGACATCCGAGTAGACGCATCTTCAACTGTTGCCGCTGTTCCTCTTTTGTATCCATTAGCTACGCTGGCTACATACTACCACCCAACAACAACAACATATTAAAGGCAATGAATGTCAACATCAAGATATCTAGCGAGTACTCGTTATCCATCGATTGATGATTGAACCATGGCTTCATTTATTATTATAATTAACTTGTACTTACAAGTAACATGTCAATGTGCTCATGGCAACAAACAAGGGAACCAGAACAAAAGATTGAATGAATGAATGACAGTTTTATTAATACTTCTTCTTCTTGATTACCTTCTTCTCGGTGACTTTTCTCTTTTTGAGTTGCCCTGAGCCGGATTGTTCAGAGTCGTCTAGACCTCGCTTCTCCTTCTCACTCATTCCTGCCTCTTTGATCTCCATAAGTGCAATGCGCACAGCATCATTTACACGCTCCAACAGTACTAGTACGGTGTCCTCCTCGGTGGGGAACTCCTCCAACTTCTTATCCAGACAATATTCAATTCGCTGGTAGATCTCCACATCGTATTGCGTTACAATGGTGATGGCGCGACCAGTCTTTCCGGCTCTGGCCGTACGTCCGACACGATGGATGTACTCTTTGGAGTTGAGTGGCACGTCATAGTTGATGACCAGGTCCACTGAGGGGATGTCCAGACCACGCGCAGCAACATCAGTGGCCACGAGGATGGCTTTGTCACCAGCCTTGAACTTGTTGAGTGAGGCCAGACGCTTGGACTGGTCCATCTGGCCATTGATGGGGATGGCGCCAAAGCCAAGGTTGCGCAGCATGATTGCCAGCTTGGTCGATGTGGCGCATGTCGATGTGAAGATGATCACACTGTTGCCAGCGAGCTCATTGAGAATGTACGCCAGGTAGCAGTCCTTGTGCTTGTGTGGAATGAACAGATACTGCTGCATCAGTGTGTCGTTGGTCGTGTACTTTGTGGCGACCGACACCTTGACCGGGTTGGTGAGAGATGCTCTCTGCAGCTTGACGACCTTCTTGGTCATCGTGGCCGAGAACAGGTATGTATTGCGCTCTCTTGGTATCACCTTGAGGATGGTGTTGATCTCCTCCTCAAAGTCCATGCTCAACAGACGATCGGCTTCGTCCAGCACCAAGTACTTGAGTGACTTCAAGTTGAATCCCTTTGTATTCTCCAGATGAAACACGACACGACCAGGTGTACCAACAATGATATGAGGCTTCCTAGCCAATGCCATACTCTGTGCCATATTATCAAAACCTCCAACCAACACTGCGCACTTCACTCCAATGATTGCTCCAATAGCTTCGAATTGCTCACTAATCTGGAATGCCAACTCTCTTGAGATATCGCGCATATTAGTACTCATTCAATCACATTCAATCATTCAATCACATTCAATCAAACATAACATACCTTGTTGGAGCGAGCACTAGTGCATATAATGGTTGTGGAGCTTGGAGTAGGGATTGAAGGATGGGGATGGCAAAGGCAGCGGTCTTACCTGAACCAGTCTGTGCCAGACCAACAATATCTCTACCTTTGATAGCATATGGTATAGACTCTTTCTGTATCTCTGTTGGATGTTTGAATCCCAACTTATCACAAGCTTCAACAATCTGTGGATGAACACCTAATGCTGTGAAAGTAGTCTTCTCAGATACTTCATCAGGTGATACTACTACCTCTGTTGTTGTTGATGATGATGACTTTGACATTGTATATGTTTATATTTATGTATATGTATTTGTTTGTTTAGATGTGATTGAAAACAACAAACAATTTAAAGTTGTTGTGTTTGTGTCGACTCTCTTCGTGTTTTTGAATTAAATTTGATTAATTTTGGAGAATTGAACAAAGACGACGAACCAACCGAGTCCCCCTTCATTCACCCTCATTATCACAATCACTCAAACATATTTGATTGATATAATATATAATATATAAGAGTCATTATTAGTTATGACAGATACTAAAGGTACTCAACAACCACATAAGGGTGGCAAGGGTGGAAAGGGTGGCAACAAACATACCAACAACAAAGAAGGAGCTGCTGTAACAGCTAAAGGGGGAGCTGGAGGCGACAAAGCCAAGAAGGCAACATGGCAAAAGACCAAAGAGATGAAGAAACAAACAAAGAAAGATATACGTCAACAGTTTATGGATAAACTCAAGGCCATCGAAGAGAGGATTGAGAATGAGAAGCCTCCAAAAGGTGTAAGTATCATTGTTTGAAATGAATGAGTGAATGAGGAAGGTACTGACAATCAAACAATCAATAATAGACCAATCCATTGGCTAATGATAATAGTAAAGCAACGACAACAGATAAGAAGACAAAAGAGAATGTTGAACATAAGATAAACTATACAGCTGCAAGAATGTTCAGTGAGTTGCCTATTTCAGACGAGACCATTGGAGCATTGGAGGAGGCGAAATACAAGAGAATGACTGAGATCCAGAGAGCTTCTATCCCCCATGCCCTCTGTGGCAGGGACATCCTAGGTGCTGCCAAGACTGGTTCTGGCAAGACACTTGCATTCATCGTTCCCGTAAGTTGAAGAGTTAGCGAGTGAGAGATTGAGTGATGGATGGCAACTGACACTGATTGTTCATAGATGTTGGAAGTACTCTGGAGAGCTAACTGGACTGAGAATGATGGTGTTGGAGCAATCATCTTGTCTCCAACTAGAGAGTTGGTAGGTATACTTACATCATGGAGCCATTCCCATAATCAATCAATCAAACAATCGTACTTACTCAATCACTCAATCATTCAATCATTGGATTTTGCTAGGCAATACAAATCTTTGAAGTACTAAGAGTGGCTGGCAAGAGACATGGATTCTCAGCTGGATTGATCATTGGTGGAAAGGATGTGGAGGGTGAGAGAAAGAGGATAAATATGATGAATATTCTCATTGCGACACCAGGTAGACTTTTACAGCATATGGACCAGACCGATGGTTTCCAATGCCATGGCGTAAAGATGTTGATCTTGGATGAGGCCGACAGAATCCTCGATCTTGGTTTCACCAAGACTCTCAACGCCATTATCTCCAATCTGCCCAAGAGTCGCCAGACCCTTCTCTTCTCAGCAACACAGACTAAGTCGATCAAAGACCTGGCGCGTCTCTCACTCAACGAGCCAGAGTACATCTCTGTCTACGACAAGGATCAGATATCTACGCCCAACAAGCTCGTCCAGACAGTGTGTGTGGCGCCATTGGACAAGAAGCTGGACCTGTTGTTCTCATTCATCAAGACACATTTGACCCAAAAGACCATCGTCTTTTTGTCGACATGCAAACAGGTGCGCTTCGTCTATGAGATGTTCCGTCTGATGAACCCTGGCTGTCGTCTCTATCAACTGCATGGCAAGATGAAGCAGTGGACCCGTCTGGAGGTGTTCCAGGACTTTTCTAATCAGCGCGAGGGCACAATGTTTGCCACGGACATTGCCGCACGTGGCCTTGACTTCCCTGAGGTCGACTGGGTCGTGCAGCTCGACTGTCCCGATGACATCCAGACCTACATCCATCGTGTGGGTCGCACAGCCCGCTACCACGCCAACGGCAAATCATTCATTGTGTTGCTTCCTTCCGAGAGGGATGGCTTCACAGCGCTGATGGACAAACAGGGCATGAAGTACGACATCATGGACGCCAACCCCAACCAACTGGTGACGATACACAGCCAGCTGGCGAGTTTCTTGTCCGAGAAGAGCGAGCACAAATACCTGGCGCAAAAGGCGTTCGTGTCTTACCTAAAGTCGATGCATCGCCAAGAGAACAAGGGCGTGTTCAACATTGAGGATCTGGACCTGACGGCCTACTCCAAGTCCATGGGTCTGCCCGGTGCGCCCAAGGTGCAGTTTGGCAAGACGCTCAAGGTCGACAAGAACCAGCCATACGCCATGACCGAGTTGAAGAAGAAGGAGTATGAGAAGAAGTTGAAGTTGGAGCGTGGTGAGGCTGTGGCAGAGGACGAAGAAGACGAGGAGGACAAGAAGATGAAGAAGAAGTTGGCCGATGATGACGACTCGGACGAGGAGGTAACAAACGCACAAAAGCCACTCACCAAGCTGGAGAAGTTGTTCAAGCGCAAGAACACAGATGTGTTCTCAGAGACGTATGACAGGTTCCGTGACAAGGATGCCAAGGAGAAGGCACAGGACGACGACATGTTCGTGCTGAAGCGAAAGGATCACGAGCTGAAAGAGGACGACTATACCACGACACAGATCTCAAGAAAGAAGGAGAAGAGGATCAAGAAGAAGCTAGCTCTGAACGACCCGTCAGAGATGGTTCTACAAGAGTCAAAGATCGTGCCAAAGAGGGGCGACGACCTGCCCACCGACTACCTGGCACAGTCGAGACTCAAGATGGCCGAGGCAGATGTTGAGGACAAGGAGGTGCACAGAGAGAAGCTCAAGCTCAGGCGTTTGGCCAAGGAGGCTGCCGAGCGTGAGAGAGAGTTGCAAAAGAAGGGTGGAGCTGGAGACAAGAATGTGGCATACTTTGTGCCACCATCAGACGAGGAAGAGAATGGCGATGATGACGATGGGGAGGAACAAGATGATCAAGATTATGACAATGACGACGACAACGACGAATACAACGATCAAGAGGATGAGGATTATGAGGAGGAGGAGGAAGAGTTCGTCGCCACCACAGCCAACAACAAGAAGAGAAAGAATGTTCAACAACAGAGCATTGAGGAACAGGAGAGCCTTGCACTGAAGCTACTCGCAAAGAAGAAGAGAAGTAATTAAATCCACACTCCAAACTGATGATGATCATTATACTACAATTCCAAACTGTATTTCTTTGTTGACGGATCGATTGGACGCTTAACCTTTGCTGTCAACTGCTCGACAAACTCCTTCATGATCGGACCAAACTGCATAATGTTCACAGGCTTCTTGGCCTGGTAAAAGGTATTGAACTGTATGAATGCTTTGACTGTTCGTGAGGTGGAAGGGAGTCCTTGTCAGTATGTGTTGCATTGATGATTGATTGATTGATTGGTTGTGTCCATTACCATAGAGCTCGTGAAACTGTTGAACAGTTGGACCAGAGTAGAGGAAGTGTTGCTTTAGGTGGCACTGCTCATTCATGAGCAGGTTGACTAGGACAGATGTTAGATTGATACCAGTGATGGCAAAGGGATATTTGCAACGAGTGTTGGCGTCTAGTAGTGTTGCCTGCGCAGCATCGATGTGATGAGTGGCAAAGTATAACAGATTGTCCAGTCCCAATATACCCATTCCTCTAAAGTCTGTAGCAGGGTCTTTGCCTTGGAAGCCAATCTCTCCCCATTCGCTCGTGTGTCTAGCTGTTCGTCTAACATCAGGCTTCAATGATTCCCATAGCTAGTGTATTCGAGGGTGTGTAAGTGATCAAGATCAAGTGTTGTCCTACATGCTTGTTGTGCTACAACATACCTCATCCAACTTGGCCTCATGGGCAAGTTTATCATGTGTATATGCTTCGTCTCTTAGCAAAGCTATCTGTACTTTAAGTGTCTGCAACTGACTCAGTGGTTCCAAAGCAGCGACAAGGTTTGGCAGTATACTGTTGAGTTGATTGATTGAGTGAGTCAGTTGATGAACGCATGAATGAAGGGAATGGAGTATACATACGTTGACTCGAATGCAATGAGTTCTTGATTAATTTGCTTATCCTCTACGATCATTAGAGCTACTTGCTCAGCATCGAACTCTCCTTTTAATGCAGTTCTGACTCTGTCCAACTTTGAAGAGTTCATAATACTGAGCTCAATCATCTCACGTCTTTGCTGTCCACTTATATCATAGGTATGACAATATCTTTCAATCTCTCCAATACCTGTTATCAAGTGTACAATGAACTTGTACAACTTCCATAAGAACATAGGGTAGTACATTGTTTTATTATATTATATTATTATGTGTATATATATGTATGTATGAATGTAATAAGACTACTAAAGTTTGTCATTCTGCAAATGAACTCTCATTCTCAAACTTGGAGTCAACACCACACGTCAACTTTGCCAGCTTGCACTTCGAATCGTCGTTGGGTCCACCTGGCCCAACTACAATGAATCAGTTTAATATAGTTGATTTCCAATCAATCAATCAATCACGGATCAAACATGTTCCATACATTGCACGGTCACCAACATGATCATTGTCATTGAGCAATGACCATTTGTTATCTTGAATAGAGTATTGATGGTTCTTGCCAACGCCACCGAGATAGATGAGGCTGCCATGTGATCCATCATAGATCAATCCGTGTAGTTGGACAAAGATTGGACTCATTGTGAGTTGGACCTCTGTCTTGGTGGACAGTGTGAATCGAATGAACTTCTCACTGGACAATATATATACATTGTCATTGCCATCGAAGCAGCTTGCGATTGTTGTGATGGTTGTGGGAGTGGATCTGAGCACCTGGGTGGTTAGCGTCTGGATGTCAAACGAGAATATCACCGCACCATAGATGACATAGACCATGCCCTTGTGGAAGAATGTGTTGGCCATCATCACTGGTGTGGACAGCTTTCCAACATGTTCAAATTGTTGAGTGTCGATGTTGAAGCGATCTACACGATCATACACCGCGTTGATCTTGATGTTGCCCATGTCCGTGTCGACGCCACCCACGAGGTAGATGTAGCGGTCACCATCGAAACACACAGAGATAAAGACACCTCCACAGACACCAGCAATCTCAGCACGGTACAGTTTCTTCTCGGCCAATGAGTAGCGAGTGTATACGTTGGGCTCGACCACGCTTCCAAAGGTGTAGAAGTTGCCGCGCACATACACAGAGGTCAGGTAGGATTGTCTGGCTGGTCTCTCTGGCATGTCCTTGATCTGTGTCCACTTGAGTGTCTCGCGGGAGAATGATGAGAATCCATCACGTCCAATGGTCAGGAAGTCATACTTGGCGTCAGATACGAGTTCAAAGCATGATTCGATCTGCCTCTTGATGTCCTTGAGTTTTCCTTCATCAATATTGACTCGGCATGATGGCGGAAGGAGTGATGATTCATCCAATTCATAGGGCATCAGCTTCATGTGTTTGGTGTGATGAATGATCATTGATAGCAGCTCATCATCGTTCTGGCTGACACCTGGACGAGGACTTAGGACACTCTTGGTGAACTCATCGATTGATGTGCATGATGAGATTGATTGTATCAATTGTGTTATGGCTTCAGGATCGTTGTCATTGTTGTTGTTGGAGTTGGCAAGGTCGACTGATGTCAACTCAACATTGTTGATATGATTGATGTCCTTGATCTCATTGATGATGTCATTTATCGTTGATTGAATGTGTGACATTTGTTGATTGATCGGTGTCTTTACTCGATGTTCCTGAGCCATGATCACCTTGATCAATTGTTCAAAGTGTGAGGTAACCTCGGCATGTGTCTCTTTCAATGATTGATATGTCTTTGAACATTGTTGAAGTGTTGTCCAAAGATGATTCAATCTTGATGTGCACCATAATGATTCGGTATCGATCTCTTTGATACTCTGTTTAATATTGACAACGTGATCAATCTTATGACCAGTGTGTCCCTTCACTGAACAAACAGAACATAACAACAGATTACAATCGAAGCATATCATCTCAGACTTCATCATGTTGTGTGTCTCACACATCTTTGCTATTTCATTATTGTCCATTACTTCTTCTTTCTCTTACTATGTATGTATAACTATTATTATTACAATGATTGAATGAATGAATGAATGAAAGATGTAAAGTATTAATATACCTTCGATGTGACCAATGACTGGACAACGGGGAATATCTCCAAGATTTCAATTTGCCACCTGTCGACCTGTCCACAGGATCGGTGACTCGACATATGGTGATCACGGAAATGTCTTCAAGATCTTTAGATTGACTCCAACCCGAGTCACGACTTTTTTCAACTAATCAAACAAACTACAAGTGCGTCTCGATTAACAGCATCGTCATTGTCATCCATCTCGTTGTTATTTATTTGTTTAGTTGATTGTTGTGAAAGATGGACGACCAAAAGTGAAAATGATTGTTTGATCAGCAAATCAAACATACTTCAAACGATTGGTGTTTGGCTCTTTCATCATTGTCATTGATCAGTGTCCACTTGTTATCACTAATTGAGTATTGATGGTTCTTGCCTGTGCCGCCAAAGTAGATGATGCTGTCATGAGACTTAACATAGACAATGTTTCTTCCACTTTCAATACCTTCAAACAATGGTAGTTGGACTGATTGCTTGGTGGACAGTGAGAATCGTGAGAACGACAGGTTGTTCATCATGTAGATGTTGTCCACTCCATCGAAGCAATTCATGTTGTGCCTCAAGGGGGTATACTTGAGGATCTCCTTGGTCTCGCCGCTGTCAACATTGAATGTGTACACACCAAAGGGATACACAACATGTATCAGGTTGTTGTGGAAGAATGTGTCAGCGATCATCGGTTTAAACGTCAGATTTCCAATATGATCGAATTGTCCAGTGTCAATGTTGAAGCGATCAACACGATCAAACCGGGCTTTCTCTTTTCTGGTAATTGGGTCAACCTCAATGCCGCCAACAATGTAGATATAGTGGTCGCCATCGTAGCAGGTCGGGAGGCACGAACCTGCAAATCCATCGGGCATGTCCATGTGATATAACTTTCTCTCTGCCAGTGAGAATCGAGAATAAACATTGGGATTGCCAAGTCCTCCGAATGAATAGATGTTACCTCGAACATACTTGAGGGACAGATAGGTAGTATTGATAGGTCTGTCAAGTATCGGAGTGATTCGTGTCCATTTGTGTGTCTCTAGTGAGAATGATGAGAACCCTGATGAATTGTTGCCCATTGCTATGATCTGGCCATCAAGTTCATGTTCATCAATCAGTTCAAAGCATGATTCAATCTGCTTCTTGATGCCATTGAGCACTTTAACATCAGCGAGGACACGTAATTTCTTTGGCTCCTTATCATATGGTTCGATCTTCATGTGTTTAGAGTGTCGACTGATCATTGACAACAGCTCATGATCATTTGGTGACTCTTGGTCGTTGTGATCTTGGTTGACAGCACCAAGTAAACTCTTGGTGAACTCATCGATTGATGTGCATGACGTGATTGATTCAATGAATTTTGTGATGTCCTCTGATGAATCATCGTCATTGTCATTGCTATTGTTGTCTGATGTCAACTCGATGTTGCTATTGTTATTGATTATATGATTGACCTGTTTGATCTCATTGATGATCTTATTGATTGTTGATTTAGCGTGTGAGATCTGTTGATTGATCGGTATCTTTGCTCGATGTTCTTGAGCCATGATCACCTTGATCAATTGTTCAAAGTGCGAGGTTAGTGTATTATGTGTCTCTTGCAATGATCGATATGTTGTTGAATAACCTTGAAGTGTTGTCCAAAGATGATTCAATCTTGATGTGCACCATAACGATTCGGTATCCATCTCTTTGATACTCTGTTTGATATTGACAATATGATCAATCTTGTGACCATCATGTCCGTTCCCTGTGCTTGAACAAACAGAGCATAACAACTGATCACAATCGAAACATATTGTATCAGTCTTTATCTGATGAGTCTCACAATATCTTGATGTCTGGTCGTCATTATTGTCCATCTTAATATTTGTTTATTTATATGTATGATTGATTGTTGAATGAGTGGACAACATGTTTGTTTCATTTTGGATACCAAGTATTATTCCAAAGTGAAGTGAATCCATCAATCACGAACCAAACATCCTCCATCGATAACACTTTCTCTGTCAATCTCAGCATTGTGAGTTGTCCATTCGTTATCACTTATTGAGTATTGATGGCTCTTGGATCTGTTGCCAAAGGAAAAGATGAGGCCACGATGTCCATCATAAAAGATCACTTGATTTTTGTTGGGCTTTGGACCCATTGACAGCTGGACCGATTGCTTGGTGGACAGTGTGAATCGTGTGAACGTGTCTTTGGACATTATGTAGATGTTGTCAGCGCCATCGAAACAACTGCAAATGGGCACTAGAGTGTCGAACTTTAAGAACTCCAGTGTCTCGCGGCTGAGAACATTGAATGTGTGCAGACCTTCAGCACCCACAACATAGATCAGGTTGTTGTGGAAGAATATCTCTGTTGAAGTCACGATCGCCAGAGCTCCAACATGATCGAATTGTTGAGTGTCAATGTTGAAGCGGTCCACTCGTTCAATGATCGATCTCTGGTTGGTTTCACCATCAATCAAAAATCCGCCAACAAGGTAGATGTGGCGGTCGCCATCGTATGCCGTCGGGATGTACGTTCCTGCGAACCCAACAGGCATGTCCGTGTGATGTAGCTTCTTGTCTTCCAATGAGAATCGAGAATACACATTGGATGCTCCAATTCCTCCGAATGAATAGATGCTGCCACGGGCATAGACAGCGCCAATATAGGAAGTTCGGAGCTCTCTGTCGACTGTCGGATGGATTCGCGTCCACCTGAGTGTCTCTGGTGAGAATGATGACACATCGAAAATACCCATTGATATGAACTGGCCATCAAACTCGTGTCCTTGTTTGGAGATCAGTCTAAAGCATGAGTCGATCTGCCACCTGATACCCTTCAACACGTTATCATCCGTGATGATACGCAATCTCTATGGCAACTCATCATACGGTGTCATCTTCATATGATTGGAGTGATGACTGATCATGGACAACAGCTCATGATCATACTGTTGAGAATTGTTGTCGTCGTTGATGACACCTCCACTCCCATAACGTGAGCCAAGTACACTCTTGGTGAACTCATCGATCGATGTGCATGATGTGATTGTTTGAATCAATTGTGTGATGTCTTCAGTTGCTCCATTGTCATTGTTGTTGTCTGATGTCATCTCAATGTTGCTGACGTGGTGGTTATTGATGCGGTTGATCTGTTTGATCTCATCGATAATGTCATTGATTGTTGATTGAACGTGTGATATTTGTTGATTGATCGGTGTCTTTACTCGGTGTTCTTGAGCCATGATCACCTTGATCAATTGTTCAAAGTGTGAGGTGATCTCTACATTTGTCTCTTGCAATGATTGATATGTGTTGAGCATTGTTGAAGTGTTGTCCAAAGATGATTCAATCTTGATGTGCACCATAACGACTTGTTATCCATCTCCTTGATACTCTGTTTGATGTTGACAATATGATCAATCTTGTGACCACTATGATCTTTAACCAAACAAACGGGACATAATAACAGATTGCAATCGTAACATATCATCTCAATCTTCATATTATGAGTGTCACAACTCCTTGATGCCTCATCCTCTCCATTACTATCGTCCATCTCTACCTCTTCTTCTATCACTCTAAGTTGTATTTGTTTGAAAAATGAACAACTACTTTCATTTATTGTGGCGCACTTGAACATGACGTCAATCGCGAATCAAACATATTCCCTGGTTTAAATGATATGCACTGTCATTATCATTGAGTAGCAATGTCCATGTGTCATCTTGAATGGAGTATAGATGGTTCTCGCCTTCGCCAAAAAAGTAGAAGATCCGTGAACCCGCTGCATCATACACCAACGACATCAAATCCTCATGTATTGGACAGACCTGAAGTGAAACTTGGCGTTTGGTGGACAGTGTGTATCGTGTGAACATCAGTTTGGTCTTGATGTAGATGTTGTCAATGCCATCGAAACAACAGAGGGAATTGTGATCATCGTTTTCGGTGGAGGTGATCTTGGTGACCTCACGGTATGTTCTAGCCTGGGAATTATATGATTTTATCTCCAATCCATTCACAATATAGAGCAGGTTGTTGTGGAAGAACGTTGTGTATCGTGTGAACATCATATTGGTCTTGATGTAGACATTGTCAATGCCATCGAAACAACTGAAGGCTAGGCTGACGTCCTCGGAGGTGCTGACCTTGAGGAATTCCTTGGTGTTGACATCCAGTGATGATATGTCCGAATCATTCACGATATAGAGCAGGTTCTTGTGGAAGAACGAGTTGGAGAACTTCCTACGGCCAAAGGTAAGCTCTTGCGCAACATGCTCGAACCGCTCGGAGTCTAAATTGAAGCGATCCACGCGATCAAAGCATAGGGTGTACTTGTTTTCTACATCCAAGCCGATTCCACCAACGAGGTAGATGTAGCTGTCACCATCGTGGCACACAGAGATATAGTGTCCACCGTTGACGCCGACAATATCCGATTGATACATCTTCTTCTCACCCAATGAGTAGCGAGTGTATCCGTTCGGGATTTGGAGTCCTCCGAATGAATAGATGCTACCTCGCGCTTAGACAGTGGCTTGATAGGTATTCCTTGGTGGCTTCTCCGATATGCCCTCGATTGGTGTCCACTTGAGGGTCCTCAGTGAGAATGATGAGATGCCAACCATACCCACTGCGATGATGTGGCCATAATAAGTGTGTTCTAGATCCTCATCGTAGACGCAAAAGCTTGTCTCAAGTTGCTTCTTGATACGATTCAGCTGGTCAACATCAACGCTAATATGAAATGAATCCAGGCCATCATAAGGTGCCTTCATTTGTTTGGAATGGCGACTGAGCATTGACAACAACTCAAAATCATTGATCGATGGATTATTGTCAATGGTGTCATTGTTGTTGTTGTTGTTGTTGTCTTTGTCGCTAGAAACACTCAGAACATTCTTGGTGAACTCAGCGATCGATGAGCATGATGAGATTGATTGAATCAATTGTGTGATGTCCTCTGTTGAACCATTATCATTGCCATTGTTATTGTTGTTGTTGTTGTTGTTGTTGTTATAAGGTACCAACTCGATATTGTTGTTGATGGTATGATTGATTCGATTAATGTCCTTGATCTCATTGATGATGTCATTGATTGTCGATTGAATGTGTGACATCTGTTGATTGTTCCAAAATGTGCACACGATCAATCAATCATCGCGAATCAATCAAACATACATTAATCGTGTCTCGGAATTGTCATTATCATTGAGCAATGTCCATGTGTCATCTTGAATGGAGTATCGATAGTTCTTGCCTTTGCCACCAAAGTGGATGAGGCCACCTGTATCATCACTCACGAACGCACCCAGCGCCTCATGTATTGGACACACCTTCAATGGTATTCTGCGATTGGTGGATATGGAGTTTAGTGTGAGCAGCAGACTGGTCTTGATGTAGACACTGTCAATGCCGTCGAAACAACAGATGGCTTGGTTGGGGTCTTCGTCGGGAGAGACCTTGAGGACCTCTCCGGTCTCGACATTGTACGTTGATATCTCCGATCCATTGACAATGTAGAGCAAGTCCTTGTGGAAGAACGTGTAGGAGTACATACCAGTGAAAAACTGATCGACATGCTCAAACTGCGCGGTGTCGATGTTGAAGCGATCCACGCACACAAAGTATATCTTGGGAGTAACATCTTCGCCCTTGGGAATGTCGACTCCGCCAGTGAGGTAGATGTAGCTGTCACCATCGTGGCACACAGAGATAAAGACCCCTCCGTTGGCTCCAACGATGTCTGATTGGTACACCTTCTTCTCGGCCAATGAGTATCGCGTGTACACGTTCGGATCATCCAATCCTCCAAATGAATAGATGTCCGTGCCTCGAACCACGACCGATGATTGATAGGTATTGTACGGTAGCTTCTCGACTGTGTCCACGATTGGTGTCCATTCGAGTGTCTCCAGTGAAAATGATGAGATGCCATCGTAACCCATTGCAATGAATAGGCCATCATAATCATGTCCTGAATCTTCATTGATGAGGATAAAGCTTGATTCGATCAGCTTCTTGACGCGACTCAGCTGGTCAAAATCAACGTTTACTTGACTTGCTGGTGGCTCACGACCGTACGGTACCATCCTCGTGTGTTTGGCATGGCGACTGATCATTGACAACAGCTCATGATCATTGATTTGTATCTCATTGTTGTCATTGTTGTTGTTGTCTTGGGTGACATCACCAAGTACACTCTTGGTGAACTCATCCATCGATGTGCATGACTTGATTGTTTGAATCAATTGTGCGATGTCCTCTGTTGATCCATTGTCATTATTGTCTGTTGTTAACTCGAAGACTTTGTGATTGTTGATATGATTGATCTGTTTGATCTCATTGATGATGTCATTGATCGTTGATTGAATGTGTGATATTTGTTGATTGATCGGTGTCTTTACTCGATGTTCTTGAGCCATGATCACCTTGATCAATTGTTCAAAGTTTGAGGTTATCTCTGAATGTGTCTCTTGCAATGATTGATATCTCTTTGAGCATCGCTTAAGTGTCTTCCAAAGATGATTCAATCTTGATGTGCACCATAGTGACTTGGTATCCATCTCTTTGATACTCTGTTTGATGTTGACAATATGATCAATCCTATGACCACTATGTTCTTTAACCAAACAAACAGGACATGACAACAGACTACAATCGAAGCATATCATCTCAATCTTCAACTTATGAATATCACAACTCCTTGATACCTCATCCTCAACACCACCGACATTATTATTGTCTATCTCTATCTCCATCTCTATCTCTATCTCTATCTCTGTGCCATTGACTTTATCTTTGTGCTTTGAGAGTCGAACGATCTTTGCATCACTTTCCCAAGTCCGACAACACTTTGAAAGTTGAATGATTGTTTCAAATTACCTAATTACACAACTACAGATACAGGTACAGATACATACTTATACACACATAGACATACAACATAATGTCAACTACAACAACTCCATCATTCAACATTGTCGTCATGATCAGTGGCAATGGCACCAACTTACAAGCGATAATAGACGCCGTTCAATCGGGCGGCCTGCCCAATGTCACCATCAGCGCAGTCGTCTCGAACAAGTCCGATGCATTCGGTCTGAAGCGTGCAGAGAAGGCCGGCATCGCCACCAAGGTGTTCTCATTGGTCACATATCAGAAGGGCGGTCCCGATCGCACACGTGAGACATACGGCGTCGAGCTGGCCAAGATCATCCGCTCGTACACGCCCAAGATGATAGTGCTGGCCGGCTGGATGCTGATCCTGCCGGCGAGCTTCCTCAACGAGTTCGCAACCAACGAGCCACTCATCGACATTATCAATCTGCATCCCGCGCTGCCCGGCCAGTTCGCGGGCGCACATGCTATCGAGCGCGCATTCCAAGCCTATCAAAAGGGCGAGATCAAACATACAGGACTGATGGTGCACAAGGTCATCGAGGAGGTCGACGCTGGCGAGGTCATCATGACGGCCGAAGTACCCATCAACGCAGACGATACATTGGACATGCTGGAGGATCGCATGCACAAGACCGAGCACGTGACCCTGGTCGCCGCCATTAAAAAGGTGTCGTCGTAACTGGCCGAGTGATCGGTCGGGCGAAAGGCAACAGTATCAATGATGCATACATAGATAGATAGAAAGAAAGATAGAGGTGTGTTCGCGCGATCCTTTTATTATTATAGTAGACGGCAACAACAAACAAGCAGTGTCATGCTGTTGCTGTAGGTGTGACTGGGGTATATGTTGTGGCAAAGGTGGAGGTTGTGGACTGAGTCCTAATCTTGCGTAGTAGTAGGGGGCCTGATCAACTGTTTGAACATATGTTGAGTTACTCTGGGCCACCTCCCTCTGGGACGGATGAGCCTCTCATGCCCTTTCCAGCCTTGATGATCTCGTCGACCAACAGGAGCTGACCGGCGATGATGGGCGCCGATCTGTAGATCTGTCGCAGGACAGAGTATTGGTCCCAGACACCCTCGGCAGCTGGGTCCATTGGCTCACCAGTGACGATGTCAAGACCAACGGCCGTCTGGCCCTTGGCGTGCTCCTCCTGCAGCTTGATGATGGTGTCCATTGGGTCAAAGCCAGAGTTCTCGGCCAGAGTCTTGGGCACGACGAGCAGGGCGGTGGCAAAGGCTTGCACACCGAGCTTGGTCTTGCCGCTGATGGTGTCCTTGTATTTCATGAGGTCGTCGTGGGCGGCGATCTGGAAGGCGCCACCACCTGGCACGACGCACTTGTCCTCGATGGTGTTCTTGACGGCGCGCAGACCGTCGCGCAGGGCGTCCTTGATCTGCTCGATCAGATGCTTGGTTGGGCCCTTGATCAGGATGGTGCACGAGAACGGGTTCTTGACGCCCTCGACAAACGTGTATTTCTCCTCGCCAATCGTGTGTTCGTACACCAACTCGGCGTGTCCCAAGCAGTCTGGTGAGAGCTCGTCCAGCGAGTTCATGGCGATACCACCACAGGCCAATGTCAAACGCTCCATATTTCTTCTCTTGGCGCGACGAAGACCAATAATGTTTGCCTTGGCCAACATATCCAAACAGATTGGATCGATTCCCTTCTGGTTAATAACTACAAAGTTCTTATCTGGTGTATCGCAAACCTAATGATTGATTGTTGATTGATTGATTGATTGTGATCGATGTAAGTATGATATTGGTCTTGGTCCAATCACTGGCTCAATCATTTAGTCGCAGGTTCCACTTACGTGATTCTTCAACTCGATAATCTGTCTACATCTCTCCTCAACCAACTTGTGCTCTCCATCAATCATTCTTGATCTCTGCTCGTGATCCTTATATAAGAAATTGGAGTTCACCTCGCTGTTGTGATTGATCGTTTGATTGATTTGGCCGACATGTTAGCAAATGTATGATCATCTTAGTCGATTGATCAATCACAATGAATGATACTTACGTTTTCTCAAACTCTAATGAAACATTGCATGTGAGGATGAAACAGTTGGTCAACCTCTTGGGCATGTCTGGATGACGTGCACCGTGGTCGAGGACAAGACCCTTGACGAGGTGGGACTCGCCATCTGTGCGGTGCTGCATGGTCATAGTCTCAACCATGTAGAGATCGAGTGGCTCGCCTGGCTTGTGGATTAGCAAGAGCGAGTCGACGACGTTCTCTGTCAACTGATCGGCGATAGTCTGTGGCAGCTTGGTGCGAAGAGCTGTGCGGGCAATGTTGACGAGCAACTCGCGGTCCAATGTATCGCGGGTCACCTTGAACTCCTCCAAGAACTGGAGACATCTGTCTCTGGCCAGCTCGAAGCCCTCTGAGAGGACACGAGGATGAACATTCTCTGACAAGAATCGCTCGCTCTGTTTCAACATCTCTCCAATCGTAATAATATTTGAAGTCGTACCATCACCAGTGATATCATCCTGTGCAGTAGCTGTTCTCGCGATCAAAGATGCGGTTGGGTGTTGGATTTGCTATTGTTGTCGTGGTCGTGATCGTGTCAATCATCCATGTTCTTGAGTCTGCTTGTCTGTCTGTCTGTTTGTCGATTGATTGAATGAATGTGCTTACCATCTCGTGCAACAATACACTGCCATCCTTGGTCAATTTGATATCACCTGCACCAGAGACCAACATCTTGATGGTACCCTTTGGACCCAGGTTTGACTTGAGCACAGCCTGGAGACCCTTGGCAGCACTGATATTGAGCAGCAATGACTGACCTCTCTTGGCATCAGCAGCTGAGCCAGCTTGTTTGATCATAGACAACATGTTTGATTATATTTGATTCAACTTTGATTGATATAAAATATAAATATAAACCTAATATATGTTGTTCTTGTTGATTAATATTAGATGATGTTGTTGTTGAGCGAAGGGAGTGAGACAGGCAAGCTAGCTTCATGACCCAGACCATGAACACTCCCTCCTCACCTCAATGATTTTTTTGATTTTCAAAATCATTTACGCAAGTGTGTAAAAGTTTACATAACAAACGATCAGTCAGTCGTCTATTCGTCAATGAGCTCATTCGACATTGATTGAATCAGTGAGTGAGCGTAATAGAATGAATGAATGAATGAATGAATGAATGAATGATCTGTATTCAATTGATTGAGAATTAGGTCTACTCAAATATGATTGACGAGTCAAATTTGATTCAAGCTTGGTCTTTTGAATGATTGAGAGAGTATTTATATATCTTATGATGATTGCTGCACCTTGTAGTAGTTATTAATTAAAGTTTAGTTATTTATCATCTTTGATGGTAAATGATGACCAGGGATGGATTTATATATATATATATACACAACTTGATTTGTCAAGTCTTTGTTCCCATGAATCTGTGCGATCATTGAATTAATGGTTTGTTTGTGTGTTTGAATAAAAGTGAGTAGTTGACACAACTACTCTAGTGTTACGTTTCCAAACATTCGACGCACTCGACAAACACATAAACTACACACAAACACACACACTACCTCTCTCTTCTCTCTCTTATTCACTGCTCAAACGTTTATTTGACAGTTCGTTATCTAATCTATCTATCTGTATATATATATTTACAAACAAATACAATTGGTTCAAACATTCAATAACTCAAACAAATATTTTATTATTGTAAACATATAGATTAGGTCATTCTTGTCAGATGATCGAACGATCAACAACAACATTCTAGTACAAATACAATAGTTCAAAGTAGTAATATAGATATAGATATATACATATACAATGGAGGATCCATTGTTAGATAGCAAGCTACCTGACCTGTATGACTATCTGGGCATTCCAAACGATGCCTCAGACGAGCAGATCAAGAAGGCATACAGGCAGTTGGCAAAGAAGTATCATCCAGACAAGCCAAATGGTTCACATCAAAAGGTGAGTTAGTGAGTGAGAGACAGAATGATTGGACAATCCCAGCTCATACATGTACCTCCCCATCACTCAATCAACCGATCAATCAATCAATCAATCAATGAAGTTTCAAGAATTGAATGCAGTATACGAGATATTGTCAGATCCTCATAAGAGAGCGACTTATGATCACTTCAAGCGCACCGGAGTCAAGCTGCCGACTATGGCCAACCCAGACGATCCCATGGCAGCCGTGTTTCTGATAGGCGCATCAATTGGAACATTATACGCCTTTATTGCACTGTCGGTCAGCATCATTTTTGGCATCCCGCTCACCATTGCGTTCTTCCCCGGCATGGCAATGTTTGCCACGCCCTCTGTTTGCAAACCAGACGCACGTACGTTTGCCTTCACGGTGGGTGGTGCGTTTGGAATGGTCGCCATGCCCCTCTACTTTGTGGGCATTGCCGCCAGCGTTGGCAAGAAACTGATCGAAGCGCCATACAACTATTTGAACGGCGTCAGCGGGCGCACCACAGACAAGACTCCCGGCGCGGCACAGCCCACCGTGTTGGTGTTGGATGAGAATGACTTTGAGTTCATCTCCAAGCAGAAGGCAGAGTACGAGAAGATCGACGAGATTGAGCGCAACTGGACCTTCCTGTCGAGTGACTCCTCCGATCCCAACTGTCTCACACAGCTCATCAAACGATCGATCGACAACATCACCGAGATGCTCGGTGTCATTTTCAGACATTACAAAGATCGGCATCCATCACTCGAGGCCAGTCTCATACTCAAGAAGATTGAAGAGACAGAAGGTGTAAGCTACACTTGTCTCAACACGAGAATGAGCGAGTTCATTAACATCCTAACACAACATCATCATCATCAAATAATATATAATATAGATATTTAAGGACATTGATGCACTCACTGGACTGGAACAATCACCACCAAATGTGGAGCTGGATCAATCAAACAACATGTATCCTGTGTTGGACAATCAAAAACAACAACAGGGTGCATCAACAGAGTTCAAATTGCAATCAAGTAGATTGGAGAGATCACTTAGCATGTGTAGACAATATATCGAGAACAACAAAGTGATTGATCACAAGAGCCAGATACGACTACTGTCACTCGTCAAGAATATTGAGATCTTTCTGGAAGAGTATATATTCAACAGTTTTGAATATTATCAGATATAAGATATACATATACAAGCACATCAATCAAATCAATCAAGACACCACCAACAACAGCTACTTGCTGGAGCAAGCGACACACTTTCAAGATCATTCCAAATCTATTCCATTCCATCAACCTCCACCTTACTGTACATACACAACAACAACAACAACTTATACTCGCGAGTCATGACCGATATTCATTGTAACAATATATATTTATATGTTCCCCATTTTCACACTCATCCGTCACTGCACACTCACTTGTTCTCAGGTTTCCAAGCGGGTTACATCATCAATTAGTTTGTGGGCCGGCCAACAACCTTAATTCGGGTGTTGTGTGGGTCAGAGTGTGTGTTAGTCTTTCACTCAATTTCACTCCTCCCCTTTTGCACTTTGATACATATACCAAGTCATGACCTCCACCTGCCAACCATCTAAATTGGTCTATTGTTACAAAGTGTGGGTCACACCAATATTTGCAGGGTTGGGTAAGAATTGATTGATTCTAATAACAACTTGTGTTAGTAAGTAAGGAATGTAGACTTCAAGCGAGGCACCTTAATAATGTTGAGTGAGTCTTGAAGATCCTCATTCATTCATTCATTCACTAACCTCAACAACAACAACTACAACATATAATATATATTTATCATACAACATAACTATGGTATTGATTAAAATTAAATGCATTAAGGACCATAATAAGTCCCATGGATTCGAAGGATTCAGACTGTCCTATCCTAATGGATTGAATGCTGTGGTGATGCCACCAACAGAGTTTATAGAGACAATCAATCGTATCAATAGAGAGTGTTGTTCAAGAAAGTTCCGCTATCAATACTTTACTCTATTATTCTTTTTAATAGCAATACCATTGATTGTCATTGGATTCTTTCAACTATTACCATTCTTATATATAATTGGATTCTCATTGATCGTTGTACTCATTATATCATCAGTGGTCACTCAATCCTACTATCGAAGAATGATCATCAGGCGACTACATCATGTGTTGGCCGAGGTCAATGCTCCACTTCAACCCCGTGGCATCCACTTCCATCTTAGAGACAATGGAAAGAGAAAGAGATACAATCCAATGGGACTATATGTATGTATTCATTCATTTAATCAATCAAACATTGACACTAACAAAGGATCGATCATTCAAACATATTAGTTGGAAATGGAATATCAAGATGTCGTCACTTATGTTTATCAAGTACCTCCACCAACTGCTGTACCTTATCCTCCTGGACAACAACCACCTGTATATTATCAACCATACATGCCAACGACGCCACCACCCCAACAACATCCAGGCTTTGTCTATCCTCCACCAACTGGCGACACTGATTATCAATCACAGAATGGTGACCTGCCATACTCCCAAGCACATGAGCAACAGTATCCTCCATCTTCAGTGAACCTAGACAAACGAACAGATCAATGATGACCCATGAGATGAGCGATCGATCGAACGAGCGTCAAATAAATAACCATTGCCAAGTATGTATATTAGTTTGAGGGGATCGCAATGATCGATCATCTCCTTTAGTTTGCTCCTCTTCTTGTTCTTCTCGCAAGTTGACCTGATGGGGAGCATTGAATGATTGTCCAATGTGTTTAACTGATTGATGAATTGGAGAGTGACTTGGCAATGCATGGACCAGCAGATGTGGTGAATGGACATCCCTTGTAGGTGGCCACCAGCTCACCGTTGGTCTTCAGATCCTTGAGGACGATGTCGACGATCTCTGGCTTGAGCACCTTGTCATGCTCGCCTGGGAACTCTGTGAAGGTGACACGCTCTCCGAGCTTGGCACCGGCTGGCACGTCGATCAACTCGACCTGGGTGTGGTCGGCGTTGCCGGCACACAGCACCATGCCCTCGGACTTGACGCCCTTGAGGTTGCGTGGCTTCAGGTTGCACAGCACCAGCACGACTCTGTCCTTCATCTCCTCGATTGGCACAAACTTGACGAGGCCACTTGCGATGGTGCGTGGTCCAGTTGGCTCGGCTAAGTCGATCTTCTCGACGTAGAGCTGGTCGGCAGACTCGTGTCTGGCAACCTCGACGATCTTTCCGACCCTGATCTCGAATCTTGACACGTCCTCTGGCTTTGGTGCCTCGACAACCTTCTCACGACCACTGCCCTTCTTCTTCTCAGCAGCTGGGGCAGCATCCTTCTTCTCATCCTTCTTCTCCTCCTTCTTATCTGTTGATGTAGCAGCAGTACCAGCAGCTTGTTTCTTCTGTTGATATAGTGTGATGTATTAGTTAGTGATTGATTGGCTTAACAATACATGTGATGGACTCAGGTCGACACTTACGGGTGGCTCAGCAGGTGGTGGAGTCAATGAGATTGGAACAAGGTTCAAGTGTCCATTGTTGAGGAAGGTTGTATTTTGAACAAAGTTAAACCATCTAGTTATATTACAGAATATGAAACGCTCCTTATCATTGAGCTTTGTCTGTTTGTTGATTGTGATTGATTGATTAGTATCATGTTTATCAATTGATTGATTGGTCCATTCAATCATTCAATCATTCTATTCTTACCATCCATGGATGCAACAAAACATAATAGATAGCATCAAAGGCAGTCAATGTTGAACCATAGATAAAGACAGAGCTAACCAACTCCTTGTTAATCTTGTGCAGCTGTACGTCTCTCTTCTTTGCGTCCTCCTCCTTTTGTGAGAGATCAAAGTATGCATCCAATTGCTTCAGAGTGCTGTCAAGCTATTTGTTTGGGATATGTTTGTTAGTACCATATGATTGATTGATTGGTTGGATTGATTGAATGACTCAACCTACACGTGAGTTGTCCTGTGGCAGTGTGCTCTTGATAGAGTCAATCTCAAAGAGCTTTGATGGCTTGGTTGCGCAATCAGCTGGCAGAGTGACAGCTGATGATGTCAGTTTGGAAAGAATAGCCTCGAGTATTGTGCAGTTCATTCTTCTTGTATTGTATGTATGATTGTTTGTAATGAAATGTAATGAATGTTACAAGTATTAGCTCAAAGAGTGTGAAAGTGAGCTCACTTTCGACTTGAGAACTTGATAGTTTGGTCAGAAAAATAAAAAAATTAAGTTGGAATGGTTGATGGTCATCTTGTTCAAATTAGTTTGTTTGTTGTTGTAGATGAGGGGAGTATTCAAAGGAAGTTCAATAACATAGAGATAATTAACATGATAAGTTGACTAACTTTGGTTCATAACTATATCCAAACAAGTACAAATAATACTTTTATCTCTCTCATTCCTAATGAAACAAAGTAATAAACAACAAATTAAATTGATTTTTATTCGACAAAAAACGAACGAACGATCACTCCCCTTGAAAATGAATGAGCAATAGAGAGATATCAAGTCTAATGTTTGAATGAATGTGTATCTGTTGGTAGTGTATCCAAGAAGATATAATATATAGAATATATTTATAGTATAATATGAAGATCGATACAGATACTACAACAACTAGTGTAAATAATAATTATATAATGATGAATGGAAATACAACAATGACAAACAAGAAGAGAACATCAGAGTTGATTGGTATCAATAATAATGGCAGTCCAATGGATTGCTACATGTTGGACATCACCTCATCAACATCATCAGATGACACACTCAATAATACGAACAGATTCAAACTGATAAAGGTCGATAACAGCACATTGTTACCAAAGCCAATCATATTCAAACAAAAGAATGAGCAACTGTTGCTCAAAGAGATCATGAAGTACTTGAAGGTCACATCAGGTATGTTATGTTATCAATATTACTCACTCGACTCAATCAATCACTAATACAATGTCGCGAATATATAGAGATAGAACTTAGCGACTTGAATGATACACATAAGATTGAGACGATAAAGATGAGAGAGGGACATTTGAGCAGTGTTCTTGGATTCAGTGTGTTGAGAGCATTGTTGGAGGGATGCATTAAAGAGTCGAGATGGAATGTTGTGGCATGTTTAATGGCATTGTCCAATGGAGTGTCATCAATGATGATGCCAGAGCTCATCGACACCATCATAGCAAAGAAGCAAGACCATCTCATACCAGCGTGCATTCGATCAATGAACGATATCTCACTCGACGACATTGTAAAGTTGATAAAGCACTGTCTGGAACAACAGGGCAAGGCAGAGGAGGGCGCCGCCGCGACACTCGACTGCGTGCTGTCCTATCGCCACGGCAAGGCGATGATGGTGAATGCGCTGCGCTCACTGACACTGGAGCAGGTCAAGCAGCTGTGGCAGCACATCTTTGAGCGTCTGCGTCCCTATCTGAACCTCGAGGTGATCGTGGCCAACAAGGGACAGACAGTGCTCACGATGCAACAACTGATCGATTGGATCTCACTGCTGTTGGAGAGTCACTTTCAGGAGTGGTCGCAGAGGAACTATCCATTCCTCGAGCCATACTACGAGCAGATCAAGTCACTACATCATGTCACCAGCATGACTGGTCAATCCAAGGCATTCCTCGAATTCAACCGTGTTCGTGGCGGCAACAACAACAACACCAGCAACAATCACACTGACAAGGATCAATCCAAGGATACCAACTACTCAATCCACGTCTATTACTTCTAAGTTTGAGTTTGTTCAAAACAAAGAAATAAAGGACGAATAATATTTACACAACCAGATTGGGACTTGATAGATTGATTGAGTGAGTGAATGAGCGAGTGAGTGGAATGATTCCATTCTGGAGAGGGATTGGAGCATTAGTTTATTGTAAGTTTAATGTGATTGATCACAAGATATATGATCAAGATATATAATCTTGATGTATTGTCAAGTATATTGATCAATCAAACATAATGAATTGTTTAGTAATACTGGATTATGAGTTGGGAGTTTGATCAAACACTAAATACAACGTTACTCTAACTTGTATTTTTGTAGTTTTGATTTAATTTAATTTTTTTGGATTGAAACACGAATAAGGGATGGTGAACGTATCCTTTATCTAGCACTCGAGTCAAGTTAATCAGTTCAGTATCCAGTCACGTATACATATACACATACCCTTTACATACATAAACAATGTCGCACAGAAAGTTCGAAGGTAATTATACAGACTGATTCTTCTCTAGTTCAGTTCAGTATGCCTATCCGATCACATGCGGATATCCAACGATGACATCGTCGGTAGTTGATGATGATGTCTGAGGATATGCCCATGATACCCCCCTGCACACGCTAAAGCAGACCAATGGGACACAGAGAGAGACACAAGAAGAACAAACAGCTGTTGCACTACTCATGCAGGACACACTGGCACATCTCTCTAAACTCCTCTTTACTCCACACCTTTCATTCATTTAATACCTCACTTTCATACATCCACTATCTGATGATGGTAGCTTGGCTGTGCTTGGGTGGTCGTTTTAGGCATAAATGAATACCCTCTCTCTATCCCTCTTTCGTTTGGCGCCCCTCTCATTTACTCATCATTCATTCCCCTCCCCTTACTTCAGCTCCCCGTCACGGAAACTTGGGTTTCCTCCCAAGAAAGAGAGCCGCCAGACACCAGGGCAAGATCAAGTCGTTCCCAAAGGATGACCGTACCAAGCCAGTGCACTTGACCGCCTTCATGGGCTACAAGGCCGGTATGACCCACGTTGTGCGTGACTTGGAGAAGCCAGGCTCAAAGATGCACAAGAAGGAGATCGTTGAGGCCGTCACCATCCTCGAGTGTCCACCAATGTACATCGTCGGTTTGGTCGGCTACCTCGAGACCGCCCAAGGCCTGCGTCCATACAAGACCGTCTGGGCTCAGCATCTCTCCAACGAGTTCCGTCGTCGCTTCTACCGCCAGTGGTACAAGTCAACCAACCGTTTGGCCTTCACCAAGTACACCAAGAAGTACGAGGGCGACGCCAAGAAGTCCATCGACGGTGCCCTCGCCGCCATCAAGAGAAAGTGCTCCATCATCCGTGTCATTGCCCACACCCAGGTCAACAAGCTGAACCTCGGCCAGAAGAAGGCTCAGGTCATCGAGATCCAAGTCAACGGAGGTACCGTCGCCGAGAAGGTTGCCTGGGCCGTCCAGCACTTTGAGAAGACCATCACCGTCGACTCCATCTTTGAGGAGAACGAGATGATCGACGTCATCGGTGTCACCAAGGGAAAGGGTTTCAACGGTGTCATCAAGAGATGGGGTGTCCGCAAGCTGCCAAGAAAGACCCACAAGGGTTTGAGAAAGGTTGCCTGTATCGGAGCATGGCATCCATCCCGTGTCTCGACCACCGTGCCACGTGCCGGTCAGCTCGGTTACCATCACCGTGTCGAGACCAACAAGAAGATCTACCGTATCGGTGAGGCTCAGCCAGAGAAGGGTGCCCTCCTCCCAACCGGTGCCACCGCCTTCGATATCACCAACAAGACCATCACCCCAATGGGCGGTTTCGTCAACTACGGTCTCGTCAAGTTCCAGTTCCTCATGGTCAAGGGTTGCGTTGCCGGTCCACGCAAGAGAGTCCTCACCCTCAGAAAGTCGCTCCACGAGCACACCTCCCGCTCTGCCCTCGAGAAGGTCGTCCTCAAGTTCATCGATACCTCTTCCAAGTTTGGTCACGGTCGTTTCCAGACCTCCGAGGAGAAGTTCAAGGTTATGGGACCAATGAAGCATCAGAAGAAGCAAAAGGTTGCCGCCAAGAACTAAGGGTCATTGTCCATCCATCCTATCCAACACCCTTTCTTCCAATAAACCCCAAAGACGCATCAAGACAATGGCTCATTGTTCTAACAACCTTGTACATTAACAACAACATCACAAAGTGTCATTGTCATTGGTATGTCGTCCAACTTTATTACTATTATTATCCTTGCTTTTACTTGGGACGAGTTGACATGTGGTCGCCGATCACTTGATCGCTTCTGGAACACACACACACCTTTTCGATTTGGCACACGTTTGTGATTGGTGGTGTCTATGCCAAGGACGTTCCAATTCGATTCGAATGGAGTTTGGTGGATTCCCCGATGATTGACATCTGAATGTATGTTCACCATCGATTAATCTAGAATGGAATAAGATTGGATATAAATATATGATTCAATTGACCGGTCTAATCATCACAAATCAATCAATCAATTAATCAATCAATCAAACAGATAATCCAAAATATATATATATTAATCAATTATATCATCTAACAATGTCAAACCCAACTCTTTACTATGTATGTTTAATATAAATCACTTCCAAACGTATCTTTTTTATGCTGACTAACTCTATCAATCAATCAAATTGAATAGTTCGATGCTCGTGCTCGTGCCGAGACCTCAAGATTGCTGTTCGTATTTGCCGGAGTCAAGTTTACCGATAACAGGTCAGGATTCCCTCTGGCAGAGGATGTTCGTGCCAAGACACCATTTGGTCAGGTACCATTCCTAGAGGATGGTGAGACTCAACTTGCACAATCAATTGCCATCGAGAGTTACCTTGCAGAGAAGTTCAACTTGGCTGGCACTTCACCAACAGAGAGGGCAGAGATCCTTCAGTTTGCACTTGTTCCAGGTGACTTCTACACCCCCTACTTTTATGCCAAGGACGATTCCTCCAACTTAAAGTTCAAGACAGAGACCGCTCCCAAGCTGTTCCAGAAGCTTGAGACCATCCTTGTTAAGAAGGGTGGCGAACACTTTGTTGGTAGCAAGTTGACATGGGCTGATATAAGCATATTCAATCTGATTGATTTCTTCCATCAACAACACAGCAACCTTGTTGAGGCCGTCCAGCCATTCCCAACTCTATTGGCATTCCACAAACGTGTGGCAGCTATCCCTCAGTTTGCTGAGTACCTCAAGAACAGGCCAACAACTAAACTGTAAACATCCAATCATCCATGTGTAATAAATATGTCAATCCTATCCAATCCAATCCGATCAATCATATAATTGGTTGTTTAGTGTGATCATGACTGTGCTCTACAGGTTGTCCAATGCTTTGGAGATTGACTTTAGCTCCGACTTGATATTGTACACCAACTTGCTTGCAATGTCTGATGCGGACAGGTCTGACATCTTGGGCGATTCGTCACGATTGTAATACTGAGCACTTGAGATCGATCGAGCACCATTGAATTGTTGCAGTCTGGCTTGCTTCTCGCCATTGTTATTCTTTGGATCGTCGCCATAGTACTGCTTTGAAGATATCGCCTTGGCATTGGAGAAGTTCTTCCTGGCAAAGTCTGACGAGTTACTGCTGTCGCTCTTTCTCGAGTCCGATGACGATGATGTTGGAGTGTCATAGTTGGTCATGTCGTCCAAGTACTTATGTTGAGGTTGTTGTTGCTTTGGTTTGTTACTTCCACCGCTTGAAGTATTGTTGTTACCTCCATTATTATACAAGGGTTCACTATGTTCCAGGATGGGTCAGCAATATGTTCCTCACTCACTCAATCAATCAACTATAACTTACACTTTGGTCTCTGGGTCCATTGAGAATTTGGATGAGTAACCTTTGTTGGATGACCTGTTGTTGTTGTTGCTGGAGGGATGGATGGATGAGTCAGTCCGATTGCCCGAACCTTAGTCAAGGATGGAGTATACTCACAAGTCTGGTGATTCGTTCTTTGATGATGCCAATGTTGGTGAATAGGTTGGCGTGACCTTTTCTGGGACAGAATCCCATTCGTCGTCAAAGGATTTCTTGGTGATCTTCTTTGCCACAGCAGTCTTCTTGTTGGAGGCACTGTTTGAGCTGGCGCCACTCTTTGGCGTCACTTTGTTTGTTGATGAAACCTCAAAGTTGTCCCATTCGTCATCATCCAACATGACGACGGACTGTGCCTCTATCGATGGTGACTCGCCATACGGTGAGCCGGTGGCGCCCTGTGACTTCAACTGTTGCTCCGGTGCCTTTGATAACAAAGTCGATGATGTTGGCGTTGATGCTGAAGCTGATGTTAATGTTGATGTAGATGTTGATGGTAAAGTGTCAAAGAAGAGATCGACCAATGTGTTCTCATTGTTTGTTGTTGATGCTCTGTTTGAATGAGTATGATTGGTTGAGTGAGTGAGCTGCACTATCAATCAAACATCAAGTTGATGATATGATACAAACAGTTTAGTGGCCTTGGCCTCTAGCAACTTCTTATAAGTCTGTGCTGGTGCTGAGGTATACTTCTCGTTGAACTTGTCATCAAGGATACCATGCTCCCCAAAGTACATTCTGGCATTGAGATTGCCTCCACACTCCATCAATCTCAGATGTGATGGTCTCCATGTATCCAATGTGATTGACCTTGTAAAGGTGATATGAGTGCCTAGATAGCGATGATTGAGTGAACAGTCTATGCAGATGTATACACCAAATTGGATCGATGCCCATTGCGGGTTCTTTGCATTGCAGTCAAAGCACATCCTATTGTCTGGCAGTCTGACCTGTTTCTTGAAGAATGCTTCAACCTCTTGTTTATCAGCCGTACTATCATCTTTGTTAATGTTGCTAATGCTGTTGCTCATTTCTTCTTTAAATTAATATAAAGATGATGATTGAATATGAAGTTGTTGTTATAATAGTGATATATAGATAGTTAAGTTATCACTTTGTGAAATGATGTATGTATGTGTATCTGTATGTGTAAGTATGTTTGACTCTGAAATGAATGAATGATTCATTGTTTGATTCCCTCCCTCATTAGTCAAGAACACACACAAGATATTTCGGTGACTGATTCGTCAATTATTACTTCAACCCACCCGCAATTTGCTGACATCTACCAACCACATCACCACACACACTATCATTGATTGATGGTCAATCACACAAGAGTGGAAAGGAACTGGGCTATCCATCCTCCCAAGAAAGTATTTGCAAATGACTCACTGGTCAATAAAAGTAGTCAATCCTAAGCTAGTGATGGTTGGAAATTGAGGCCGCAAGTGGACCCAAGAGAGAGAGAGGTATATTTAATCATGCTAACTGATTGAGTGAGTTAGCTGTGTGCACTGCTATCGCCATTGATGCTGATGTTGGATTGTTGTCGTTGTTGTAGTTGTCTTCGTGCCGCGCATGTCTGCAATTTCTTAGTTGCCGCCTTGATGCTGCTGTTGGATTGTTGTTGTTATTGTTGCTGCTGTTGCTTCCTGTCGCCACAGCACTCCATCATCATCATTATTATCGGATAGGGATATGTTATCGCATCATCAAACAATCAATCAAGATTAGTTCATCTTCTGGATGAGGTTGTTGATGAGGTGCTCTTGGTTGCCAGAATCGCCTCCCTCAATGACGTTGGTCTTCTTGGTGCTGACTCCTCCACGTGGACAGTTGAGCTTGAATGGCCAGAGGAACTGGTTGACGACGCGGAAGTACTTGCCGCAGGTGAAGATCTCGTGGACAAGGTCCTCAACGCACAGCATTCCGTGACGGCCGAGATGCTCCTCGATCATCTCGTTGTTGGTGATGGGCAGACGCTGACCATCGATCTTGGCAAAACCACGCTTGTAGATGAGCTCCTTGACAGACTTGTGGTTGGGGTAGCCGTAGGCAATGTATGGCTCGACGATCTTGAGCATGTTGATCATGGCGGGGTTCAGCTTGACAAACACACCGTTGTTCAGCTGCAGCAGACGCAGCAGCTGGAGCACCTTCTTGGGCTTCTGTGCAATGCCGTAGACACCGCGGATGCGGATGACAAAGGCGATCTTGGCATCTGATGGTATCTTGAGTGATTTGGCGTTGGGGTTCTTGGCGAGGCGATCCAGACGGTTGTTCTCGCGCTCAGAGTTGCGGTACTCCTTGGTGTACTTCTCGGCACGCTTGAAGCGCAATGTTGTGGTCTTGGCCTTGGGGCGCTCCCTCTCAGCCTTGGCAAACATCAAGTTCTTCTTCTGTGATGTGGCTCTTCTTCTCAAGACGGCCTCTGGTGCGCCAGATCTATAATATGTGGATTGAAGGTGATTGAAGGGTCTTTAAGTGTGAAGCTTGAGGGGGAAGTCACATCACATTACACTTTGAAATGCTACAACTACTGCAATGTCGCATGCACGCATGTTTAGAACAGAAAGCGATTGTTACTAATAATCTCCCAGAGGTAGCCTGGCTAGGATGAGTGAGTGTGGTGAGTGATGTCAAACCACTCTCTCCTCTCACTCTATCCTCATCCAAGTGCTGTTGAATAGCGCTAACCTGTGACTCGAGAGATACGCTGCCTGCATGCTGTATGTAGTATTATAATTCAAAGATGAATGAGTGATCCCCTCGCTACACCTTGTATATCAAAGCTATATTGTATAGTAATACATATGTACATATATGTTATGTTGTATTAAGCTACCAACTCAATCTCAACCATTGAAAGTAAGCAAGTATGTATACGTTCACTAAAGTATGGACCATTACATAGTACTAACTGTACAAATGATTGATCATGAGTATAACTACAACACTACAGGATGTAACAGTATTACTAACAAATAGTGTAATCCGGTTCTTTTCGAAGGAGTTGCTAATATGCTCGATATGTGGAGTTTGTGATGTGATGATGGATGATGGACATAGAGTGATTGTTTCGTTCGTTCGTTCGCTCGCTCAATCACTCAATCAGTCAATCGATCAATCAAAGACATTCGCATTATCTACGTTTTGGTTGTTGATGTTGTGGACATTGTTCTAGTTATATGTATGTATGTTATGTATATGTATGTTAATTTAATGGCTAGATTAACAAAAATCAAATAGAGTCAAAGGTGTGATTTGGGATTGAGCGAAGAAAAGACTCGCTCGTTTTTTTAATTTGTTTCGTTTATTTCAAAAAATTGATTGTGATGAGATGACCATTGGTTCAAATTCGATGTGCAAGGTGTGTAATTATATGATTGGTTGGTTGCGGTTATATAGTTATATATGATTGGATATATAATTGATAGATTGAATATATGATTGATTATATGATTGATTATATAATTGAATAAATATTGTTGATGATGGATGTTGCGTCTATTTGCAAATTGGACGCTCTCCGAATATATAGGTCAACTTCTCATTGGTCTCTAACTTCTTTGAGTTGGTCCTGGCCTCCTCTAATGTAGTTGGATTCAACAGAATTGATATCTTTGTCAAAGAGTCCCTCCTTCCAGTTAGTCTACTCAATTTATCCAATCTAGTTCTATTTGATTGTGCTTGTTGTGATCTAAATAATAATAATTATTAGTTATTTATTATTATTGTGATGCATCAAAAACAACTACCTACTCCATGTTTGATGTGATTGTTGTTATATTATAAATATTATATATTGTAGTTATAAGATGGTTTCGAAGATGAATATGATTTGAGCTCTTATCTAGGTAATGATGAAGTAAGAAGTATAAATAATAGGTACCTGGTTAAATAATGTTCGGCTCGTTGGAAGCTTAGTTTACAAAGCTCATAACTCTCAACAACAACCTCATATCATCTCATCACCTCATCCGGAGATGTCTTTGCTATGCTAATCACCAAAGGTCTTGATAAATGGGTGATCACACCTCGTCTTTCTCCCACCAATCAAAGAGCCCCATCTTTTGAGCTTATTTTGACGCGTCATTCAAAGTTGTCGACACTGTGTATGTGTTTACTATTCACCAGGTCGTGATTAATGCCGAAATTGGCGCATAAGCTAAGTATGAGTAGACTGGCTACCTGCCAATCTATAAACATCTATGTTGCAACTTAAGCACTATCACATCCACAGCTAATCCTGAGTTGCAAACTATACTGAACTACATTCATTCTACAACACCAACATAACGTACATTATTGATTGATTGGCTGTAATAAACACGGTACATATGGGAACCCAACTCTGCTCCCTTGCAGGCCATATTATACATTGGTACCTATGCTGCGGCCAGACGTGTCTACTACGCGTCAGTAGTAGTTTTCTGCCGCCACAACGGCGTATTGAACGACATGTCGTTATTACGTGTTGCAGCCTCATTTGATTGATTGAATGATTGATTGAGATTGGTTTATATTATATATATTGATTGATTGATAGATTGATTGATTGAATGGGCTTTTAATCAATCAATCAATCAAACCATTTACAAAGGTGATAGACCTATTACACCGCAGGCCAATCTTGGACCAGCATGTCCTGTTTTCTTGCTGTCCGGGAAGTTACCTCTGCCCAAGTCATCTTGATCTGCATGTACAACGATGGTTCTTCCAAGGATGCTGTAGGGTCCAAACATACTGATCTGGTTGTCGGTGAGCTCACCCTTTGTGACACCATTGGCATCGGTGTTGATGTTGCCCAGATCACCCATGTGGCGCTCTTCATCAGTGGGACCGCCATGTGTCTTCTTGAAGGGATTGAGATGGTCGCCAGCCGACATGCAACCATTGGATGTGTCGCCAAACTCGTGGATGTGGAAGCCGTGAGGGCCTGTCTTCAGACCGGTGATTTCGAATGTGAGCACAACGGGTTTGTCGCTGGAGGCTTGATAGAACTTGACGATTCCGCCGACCTCCTGGCCGACGAGTATCGCAGTGGCAGTTATACTATTGGACATTGATGGTGGTGCGGTGGTTGGCTTTTGGTGCTCACCTGTTAGCTCTTCAATACCTGTATTGTTGTCGTTGTTGCTAGTTGTTGATAAGGAGTACAAAACAAACAGTAACACGACCACTATCAGAACAATGAATGCGTATCTCTGTCTAGACTGTTGTTGTTGATGTTGTTGTTGAGTAACGTATGGTGGCATCTCTCTTTAAAGTGTTGTACCTATGTGTGAATGAATGTGTTGTGGTTGTTGTGTGAAGTGATGTTTACTTCAGAGTGTGTGACTGTTGTTGTCGTTGTTGCAGTTGTTGTGCGAAGCAAAATGATTGGGTGACAGGGGGCTTAGGGCCACAACAATCAATCATTACCTACTTTAGAAAGGGAAACTAATAATAATAATGTAGTTCAAACCATAGATTGATTCAATTTCAAATGAACAAACTACCGCGCCAATCGGAGAAGTAGTAATAGTTTGGTGACATCAACATAGTCGTCAGATTGTGTAATCACGATTTACTATTATTACTTCTTTTGGTACCGACACAGTCGTGCCCATTGAAGGTCAACTTACAAAAGTAAGAAGGTATTTAGTCGGTTGACCAAAAGCGGAATCTACCTGAAATTTCAATGAATTCTAGAATTGATTTATTTTTTACCAACTTGTTGATTCAAACCATTCCTCACTCTCTCTCTTTGAATATTGTGTGTGTGAAAGTACATTCTAAAGTTTAGTCGACTAATAGAAGTTATAGTAGTTGTAGTCTATTATTATTACAATTGTTCAGAATAATACAGCGATTGCAATCAATCATTCAATCCAATAATACTTATTTACCTTGGTAACAATACAATCGAGCGATCATCAAACGATCAAACGAACGAAAACGAACGAAAGAACGACAATAGGACCGAACAAAAGAAAGACAATGGACGATCACGAATCACTAAAGGCACAGGGAAATGAGAGCTTCAAGCAACAAAACTATGATGAAGCTATTCAATATTATACAAAGGCAATTGGTATGTTGGTTGTAAAGATGACGTCATCATCAATACGTCATCAATCATTCAATCAATGAATTGATATTAACAAGATATTCAAACAACAGAGGCATCAGAGGGAAAGATTGCAATGTACTATGGAAATAGAGCAGCATCATATATGGCAATAGGTACAAAGAAATCACTACTTCAATCAATTGAGGACTCTGAGAAGGCAATTGAGATTGATAGAAACTTCATCAAGGGATACACACGTGCTTCAAAGTGTCTCGTTCAGCTCGGACGCTTTGACCAAGCTCAATCAGTTATCGTCAATGGTCTGGTCATCGATCCAAGGAACAGCGAGTTGTTGTCGGAGAAGATCAACGTTGAGTCGATCAAAAGACAGCTGCAGTCTGCACAAGACAACATAACGACAAACACTCAGCAGGCTCTGAATCAGATCGAATCAGTGTTGACCCTTGCCAAGTTCTATCAACCAGCAATCGTCATCAAGGCCAAGCTGTTGTTGGAGGTCAAGCAATATTCCAAGGCATCCAATCTCATGACGTATGGATCATTATTAATAGCGAGAGATGAACATAAATTGACTAACGCCCATCAATCATACTTTAGTTCACTTCTCCAAGAGGATCAAACCAATTCCGAATATCTCTATCTGCGAGGACTGGCCATGTATTATTCCAACAGCTTCCCATCTGCCATTCAGCACTTCCAGAACTCACTGGCCTACGATCCAGACTTCTCACAGAGCAGGATTGCCCTGAAGAGAGTACGTAGCCTCGAGGCAAAGAAGAAGGAAGGAAACGATGCGTTTACAGCAAAGAACTATACCCTTGCCTACCAATTGTTCACAGAGGCCCTCGAGATTGATCCAAAGTTCGACACTTACAACTCGCAATTATATAACAATAGAGCTGCTGCTGCACTTCAAGTAAGTAGTTGACAACTACATCCAGACCCATTAAAGCATCGACTAACATCTCCTCACTCTTGTTGTCAAACAGTTAAATAAGATTACAGAGGCAATCGATGATTGTACAAAGGCCATCGAATTGGATCCAAACTATGTCAAGGCGTTGACTAGAAGAGCACAATGCTACTTGAAGAAGGAGCAATTCGAGGACGCCGTTAGAGACTATGAGAAGGCCAAGACTCTGGATCCAGAGAATGAGGATATCCACGCCAACCTCAAGCACGCCAAGGTCGAGCTGAAGAAGTCATTGCGAAAGGACTATTACAAGATTCTCGGCGTGGCCAAGGATGCTACAGACTCGGACATCAAGAAGGCATACAGGAAGCTCGCTCTCCAGTACCACCCAGACAAGAACAGCACTCTGTCAGATGAGGAGAAGGCAACCGCAGAGAAAATGTTCAAGGATGTCGGTGAGGCGTACGGCGTACTCAGCGACCCCAAGAAGAAGCAGAGATTCGATATGGGTCAAGATGAGAACGGATTCCCTCTAGACTCAGACGATTTCAGCGGATTTGGTGGCGGTGGCGGCATCAACATCTTTGACCTCTTCCAAAGAAGTGGAATGGGTGGAATGGGCGGCGGCATGGGCGGTGGCGGCTTTGGCGGTGGTTTCGGCGGCATGGGCGGAGGCGGCTTTGGCGGCGGAAGTCCATTCGGCGGCGGACACTTCCATCAAGGTCACGACGATCCATTCGGCGGCATGGGCGGTGGTGGCTTTGGCGGATTCGACTTTGGTGGCGGCGGTCATGGACATAGCCACGGCGCTGGCGGTCACAGCCATGGCGGTCAAAGACAACAACAAAGCAAGCAAAAGAAAGGAGGCTTTAGATACGGCTAAGCTCTACCAAGTTGATAAGATAATAAAGTGTCATCGTAGAACAAACAATGAGCGCGTACACTCTTTACTAAATAGTATCTCTCTCACTCTCATCCCTTACATCATTCTACATTGTGAGCTGTCTTGTCTCTTGAGACCACCTCCTGGTTGACTATTTAGTCCGACCTTGCTAGCATAACTTGGGCTTTGTGTGGCCTTGATCTTGGTCTTGTCAATGCTATTGTCCACATCGTATGATAGGCCTTCATGATGGAGCTTGATCATCTTCTCTGGCGTTTTCTCTGGGGTTCTCTTGACCGGTGTCCTCTTCTCAGGTGTCTTCTTTGGAGTTGTAGGTAGGACTTCTGGTTCATCACTACCTTCATCTACTGACTCATCCACAGATTGTTCCTCTTCATCCTCCTCCTCTTCCTCTTCGTCAACATGCTTTCTCTTGTTTGGTGATACTCTTTTGTTTGTTGCTGCCTTCTTGGTAGGTGACTTTGATTTGTTGGTTGACTTGTGATGTTTGGCACCTGGTCAGGAGTTTGAATGATTGATTGAGTTAGTGAATCAAGGCTCATGAGTTGATTCCAATCAACATACCTATGACTGCCAGGTGTTTACATCTATCATCAATGGCGGTGTCAATCTCTGTGGCCTGGTCTGAGGACATGTCCTTCAGGTCTACATCCTTGAACTGGTGATCGATGAATTTAGATAGCAACTTGGAAGAACTCTTGCAAGTTGAGATGTCCTTTGACTTGTTGAGGAGGTATTTGATACGAAGGTTGCCATCATCCAAAGTGTTGTTTGGTTGGTCAAACAGCTTGAGGCATGAGCATAGTTGGAGAACACTTCCATCTGTTTCCATATGACATGTGTTGGTTAGTGTCCAGCAATATTTGGAGATGAGCAGGATGTCCATAACTTACAACTAGTATAGCATGTTATTAGCATTGACAATTCATAGAGAATGTCCTTGACAACCGAGGTAATATAGTCCTTCCTACATTATGTAAGAATGATTGGGTGAGTGAGTTGGTGGTTGCCAGGGCATTGCTGTAGCATTGGATACATACTGAGTAGCAGGGGCCAGGTGCACTGTCTTTAGATAAAAGACAACGATAATCTGAATGATGTTGTTGTTGGTGTTGTGTCGATGTTGAACCAGGTAGTACTCTAGTGTCGCTTGGAATGAATTGAGGAGCATAGTCATCTTGGACTTGGACTGCAGACTATATCTTGGTATGAATGAATTGAGCACCTGTACAGTGCGATAGTATGACGACTGTTCGTCCGGTGTGATAAAGTAGAGACTGACCAATCTGTTAAAGTCCTCTTGATTGTTCCAATTGTCATTGTAGAATAGTTTACACAGTCCTTCGATTGCCACGTGAAGTATGTCTAGGTCGCAGTCATCAATGTACAACACACGCTGTTGGAGATGTCCAACAAAGTCTTGACAAAAGTCCTTGGTCATATCATTTGGCTTGCTAAGTATCGCATCAAAGCATGCCGTCATTGCTGATATTCTAATTTGAAGGTTGTCATTGTCCAGACAATGAAGCAAGGATGGAAGCAGAGCTGTGTACAGTGGGTCTTTGTACTTTGGTTGGATGCGGTAGGGTCAGCCATGTTGTCTTGCTTGGACGGTGATCAGTCTTGGTATACATACATCGTCAACCACACAGAACAATCCAATACATTTGATTCCAAGTCCAATGATGTCATTGTCTTCTGTGTTTGCCAACAAGTGAGTCAACTCATAAATGAAGCCATGTATGTCTGTTGACTATGTTGTGTCGATGGATGAATGAGTGAGTGATTATAACAACCAAATTGATGGAGAGGATACTTACAAAGTCGCTAAACTCGAATATGTCTGCCAATATGGCCAATGCGTGCATTAGTCTGACCTTCTCCTCAGAGTCCTCCATGCTTGAGGCACCAATCTGTGTTCCTTCCAGAGGGTCCTGGAGCTCAGAGAGTATGGGGAAGAGATATTCCTTGAAGTCAGTCCTGCCCTTGAACAGTGTTCTCAATGTTGACAGCATTGCCTTCTTCACAGGTATGGATATCAAGAGTGATAACATCTTGTTTCCTAGGAGGTAGTTGTGTGAGTGAGTGATTGATGGTGTCATCAATGGAAGTGGAACTTACTAAAGTACAATGTTATCGCATTCCTGGTTGATGGATCAAAGATATCGAGGTAGTTGAAGATGTGACAGATCTGAATGAAGACAAAGTCATCAAACTCATAGTTGGACAATGAGCCCAACAATGGTAATGCCTCGGGTATGGCTTGATCATCGACATTGGCCTCACTATGATCTTGAACATTGGTCTTCAAATGATTGATATATGCTCTCCAACAAAGTGCGCTCTCATTCGTCAAGATATCCGTCACTGAGAATGTCCTTGAGGGCATGATGTTGTTGGTGAACAGTAGACCAAGTACTTCCAAACATACTGTCTCATTGTTTGAACAGTCCAACTCCTTCAATAGTTTCTCCATGTCTGATCCAAGATGATCCAGCCAACTCTTGATCATCTCAAAGCATGACTTCTTGACTCTGTCCTCCCTGTCTTGGATGCCCGACAACAGTCTTATCCTTGTCGGCACATCCAACATTGCAAACTTGACCTTGTTGGCAAAGAACTTGAATTCAGAGGTATGTGTGAGTCATTGATTGATTGGATTGATTGGATTGATCGTAACATACTCTATATGTACTTGCTCTGATTGTTGGATTCTTGTCTCTAACTCTCTTGGTGATCTCTGGAATATCCTTGGTATAAATGAATACAGTGTTGACAACGGTATCTCTCACTTTACTGTTGTATTGTTAGTTGGTTGATTGATTGGGTCAAGATGTCAGTGACTGGAATCTTCCTGGATGGGTCACGTGATCGTCTATTATTATAACATACTCTGATGGATCAGTGTTCAGTGCATCAATCAAAACTTGTGTTACATTCTTGTCGTTGGATTGTAACTTCTGAATGGACATGGCTGCCATTGATCTAATTGATGGTGACACATCACTATATTTGAATGATAAGGTTAGTGGCTGGAATTGGAAATGAATGAGTTTGAATGAATGAATGAACATACTGGATCCTTTGTTTCAACTTGATTATGATGTTGTCGTAGAGATGCTCACTAAAGTGATAAGTATTAGTAATGTGTCCATATTCATTCGAGGACAGGACGGACGGTGTATACATACTCAATCTCCACGCCACCTTCTAGGTTCTGAGTGATGTCTCTGATGAGCTGGACGGAGCGGTATCTAATACCCTTGGTCTTGAGCTCTGACCATTCCAGGAGTTGGTTCAATAGTTTGTGAAGGAATGTGCCATCATAGTCATAGTCGACTTCATCTTCATCTTTGTCTTCCTCATCATCATCATCATGGTCTGGAATACATTGTACCAAAGGTAGCTCTACAGTGTATAATGATGCTGCCAGCTTTGATATGAACAATAGGAATCTATCCACTGACTTTGAATTTGATTCAATGACCACTGCATATCTAACCAATGATATCATATATGTATGTATCTCATCTCTATGTATCATATTCTTCATCTGTAACTTTGATATCCTATTAATTAACTTGGCATGACTTGTCAATGAGCACTGTGCCTTATCAAAGCATTGTTTGATCACTATCTTGACTTTGTCCATTGTTTGTTTGATTGATTGATTGTACAGATATATATATATAGTATGATGTATTATACTAATAGTAGTGATTACAACTACTAATATAACTACATCAATCACATCATTAGTCAAGTGCAATGAACACTTTGATTTAATTCCGATCTTTGAATTCAAGTGTAGTTGGTGGGTTGCGACCCCTCAGATCTTTTTAAAACTTTCAAATAAAGTCGAACAATATTGTGGATTATTCATTCAATCTCCGGACTTGTCTTGGAGAGATAGAGATAGAGATAATGACATTTATTGAAGAGGATGTGCCTTTATCGATAAACAGCGAAGTACTCCTCCAGAGACATTGGAGGGGGCGGATGTGTCGAATAGGTTGTAGTTGAGGAAACAGTCTTTGTTGTCATTGTAGTCGTTGACGATTACGGCAATGGCTATTCCTTTGACTGGATCGATAAGTCGAATATGCCATCTGGCGCCATGTGTAAAACCAACTTGGTAGGTCTCGGCATTTGGTATAGCCTTCATAGCAGCAAGCAATATAGCTTCATCCTTCAACAACAACTTGACAGTTTGCAATGATATGTTTGGTGGAGCATTCGGTATCGCCGATACACTCAACAGACTATCCACAATGTTCAATGACTTGAGCGAGGTGGGAAGATACTTGATGCATCCTGCACGTGATCGCAAGGAGTTGATATGACAAGGTAGTACCACATCGCGTACCAGATTAGTGTTTGTCCATACGCCATCCAACACCAGGTTGGTAAGAGAATCGGGAAGACATCCAGCTGGCAGAGATTGGTCAAACTTGTAGCCCATATCCAATATGGTGAGGCTCGATGGAAGGCACCCAATGGGAAGAGGCTGATTGAATCCTCCGCCAAAGGTGAGCATGGTCAGCTGCGAGCCGAGGACTCCAGTCGTGAGTGGCTGGTCAAGGTAAAGCGCTGCTTCCTTGAGTGTATCTGGGAGGAAGCCAGGAAACAGCGGTTGTTCAATGTTCATTATCTGTACGTGGGTGAGCGAGGCTGGCAAGGAGCCTGGCAAGAGCGGACGAGTCTCGAGGTATAGACTGAGAAGTGACTGGGGCAGAGTGGTTGGGTCGATGGGGCCACCAACGCCATGGATGTAGAGTGTGCTGAGAGAAGGGCATGCATGAGTAGATGCACTCCAACTCGAGTACAAGGTCTTGAGAGAGGGAGGTAGATGTATTTCCTCATTGTATGATGGTGCCTGCAGTGTCAGTGTGGTCAGAGAGTCGGGCAACACTCCGTAGGGTAGAGGTTGGTTGAACGACTCGTCCAAGAACAGAACGGTGAGTGAAGCCGGCAGCACACCAGGCTGAATGGGCTGGTTGAAGCTTGGTCCAAACATCAACGATGTGATCGAGTCGGGTAGTGAGCCAGGCAGCAACAGCTGATCGAATTGATTGCTCAGACTTAGTGATTGCAGTGATGATGGCAATGAGTTGGGCCACAGTTGTTGATTGAAGTTGCCGTCCAACGATAGATGTGTGAGTGATTGAGGCAGAGTGCCTGGCTCAATCCTATGATCGAATCCATCCACTAGAGTAAGCTTGGTGAGGGAGGATGGCAACGAGCCAGGCAGCAGCTTGCGATTGAACTGACCCATGTACAATGTTTTGATCGTTGATGGGAGCACGCCAGGCTGGAGTGGCTGATCGTAGGAGCCCAGCGACAGCATTGTGAGCGAGTTGGGCAGCTGTCCAGGCTCAAAGTCATTGTTGAACCCTGTCAAAGTGAGTGATCGCAGCGACTGTGGCAGTGCGCCAGGTTGGACATTCACGTGCACCTCGGACAACACCTCCAGCGTTGTCAGTGACGCTGGGAGGATGCCTGTGACCAACTCATGCATATACCTGGTGCCAAGTTGCAGATAGATCAAGGTGGTAGGCAACACTCCTGGCTTGATAGGTTGGCTGTAGATGCCCGTGAACCTAATGTGTGTGATGGTGTTGGGTAGCGAGCCAGGTAGAACGACCGAGTCGAAGGGTACGCAGAACGAGAGGTTGCTAATTGTGTAGGCTGTTGAGCGCCAGTGTGGATTGGATATGATCGATGACTCTAGCGTGCCTGGTGCGATTGTACAGTTCTTCTTCCATCTTATCGACACTGAACCCTTGCACATGAGTCTGTTGTTCGATGTGTACTTGCCTAGTACAGTACGTACATGTTTACATGTCATACTAAGACATAGCATCTCAACACAATCATCAACATTCTTATTGAGTTGATTGATTATATTGAACAATACTATATCTGGTAGAGATACAAAGAATACCATTTGTTTGTTGTGCTTATAAGTATATATATAGTTAGTTATATTATATCTCAATGAAGGAATGATTAATGGACTGATTGATCCGTCACTTGGTCAAATGACGATCATTCAGATATTTCTGGTTCATTTCCATCTTCATCAAGATATTTATTTGATCAAATATTATACCGAGTGATAATATACAATTAATGACAGGACAGTATGATGTCCGGCCAATGGATGAATGATTGATAGTTGTATAATTTACATCTCGTCTTGTATAAATATTATTGGTGCTCGGTAAGCCCTAGTGAAGGTAGAATCGCCTTTAATCAATCAACCAATCAGTTAGTCAATTTATCAATAAATAATAAAGAATGAACATACCTGTGCCATCATCATCAATGTCTTTCTCATATGGTTCAAAGTCATTTAAGGCATCGGCAGGCATGACCTCCTCGTCTGGTTTGACACGAATATTCTTCGTAAGTCTCTTTCCAGTCTGGATGTCCCTGAGTTCTTCCAGCTTGTATTCAACTTCCGTTTCATTATACTCTTCATCATATTCATAATGTGGCCCTGAATAATCTCCAACACTGGATTGATTGTTGATCAATATCAAAATGAGTGAGTGATTGTTTGGACTACGACGGTGAGCATCAAATAACATACCTTGTAATATGAAGGTATCCAAGGTATAGACTGATTCCAGCTTCATTGGCTAAATTGATCAATGTCCTGGCAATAATTGCATCACCACCATTGAGTGACTCCAATGTGATGGTACCATCATTGTATTCATTCTTCAATACGTATATTATTTGTTTTGGAACTGGTCCTTCATACTCGTCGTAGTCTTCATCGTCATCATCCTCCTCCTCCTCTTCCTCTTCCTCTTCATCATCGTCCACACTTATTGGTGCTGTTGACGTCGTTGATGTCTTGGCCTTCTTAGTTATCTTTTGGACTTCAGCCTTCCCCTTTGTTCTGGGGTTCTTGGACTTGGACGTTGACATTTTTGCAGCCTCTTTAGCCTCACTTTCCTTTCTTATCATTGCTCTTGTCTTGAACATCAATGGTGGCAAGGTGTTGGGCTTGTGTTTGGACCTAGCCTTGCCAGTCTTCTTGTTGTCGAAGATCATAGAGGCAGGTAGTTTGCGACCAAATGTCATCCATATTGAGCGAATCAATGCCTCTGAGCTATAGTTGAGATTGATCTTCTTGCTGCCAGACCTCAACAGGTTGTAAACAAGACAAACGTGATAGCCTGAAGTCACTGGTGTCACCTCATGCTTGCTGTCATCATAGAATGCACACCACTTGATCTCTGACACTGAGTTGTTCTCCATTGAGACGATTGTTTCCTTCCCATCGTGCTGAATCATCAGATCGCCACCAGCATGTGGGCACGGCAATGTGAGCACCAATGTACCAAACTTCTTGGCAATGTCACTACGAGGGAGGAAGGATGTATCTTCATCTTTAAATATGAGTAGCAGGTAGAGCTTGGCCTCGACAGACTCTCCAGACAGTCCCATTGACTCGCGAATGGTGCCTATAATCCCTTCGAAGAACTTGTTGAATCCTATGCCCGAGATGGATATGACCTCCTTCTTTATCAGATTGTTGCCCTTCGGATTGACCTTGCTGATCGACGCCGATGAGATTGAGATTAGATTGTTTACCTGTTCTTTATAAATTGGGAATGATAGTATTCCAACATTCCTAACTTTAATCATTGGCATAGGTACTTCTTCATGACCTTCACAATAATACAATCCATAAGAGTTGTTCTGACATTCATCCAAGTAATGCTCCAAAGGTCTTAGCCTCTCATTATACTCTATGTCTTCCATCCTAATTATGTTATATTTGTTTGTTTAATTACATTAAAGAGATAATATGGTATGAAGTGAAATGATTGAATGACTTGATCATGGTGTGAGGGTTGAGCTTTGAGGGTCGGGGGTCTCGAGGGTAGTTGCCTCGATCATGGTGTGGTCGTGGACTTCTTGCTTCCAAGGGTGTTCATGACTATGTCTCCAAGTCGTCGACCCATCAATCTCTTTCTAATGATGAATCCTGTACCAAGTATGATGATAATGGCTCCAACAACACTACATGATATTATAACTGGAAGTAACCAACTTGAGTTTGATGAAGAAGATGATGGACATACACTGTTATCTTGATCCTCACGTAACAATAGACCAAAGTTGGGATCAAGTATGGATTGATTGTTAAATGATGGTACCTCTATTGCTGTCAACACTTGCATGTGACTGTTGTCAGCGGATTGACTACGAGTGTACAGGCTGTCGGTCTTGTCCAGAGTCTTGAGGTCAGCACTGGAGTAGCGTCCATCAATGATTGCTCTCTTTGCAAAGCGTGCCATCATCACAGAGTCGGTCATATCGATCTCATACCAGTTGTCCCTGTCGCTTGTTTGGACCAACTTGGTACATGGGGAGGCTTGCTGTGTGGCTGACGAGGCATTGGCTCGGTATACTACTTGAAGTGAGTTGACCATGGACACAAAGGGGAAGCCTGTGATGGTGATCAAGTACTTGACAGAGTGCGCGGGGATTGGTATCTTCTCTGCGGCAAACTCAATGACCTGTGCCGAGCTGTAAACTGTCGTGGTAATGTCCACCACACATGGGCTGCCTGGGAATGTGCCAACAAAGTGATTGGTACTTCCATCGGTCGACGTGTTGACCTTCCAAGTGGCATCACGCAAGACCAATATGTTGTTGAGTGGTGTTGAGGACGCGTCGATGGGTACCTCGCGTATAAACTCAACGCCAACATCAATCTCAACTGATGATGTTGTGATGGTGGCAAAGGCATTGTCTTGAAGAATTGGCTTGGGAGGCGGAAGTGTGGACATCCTGATAGAGCAGTCCGATGAGCCATAAGGGATAATACAAGTACATTGGCCAGTTTGGGGATCACATGATCCTTGTCCATTGCAAACCTCACCATTGAATGAAGGGCATGACTGTGATTGATAGTAGAAGAATATATGTTGAGTGAATGATTGATTGGTGCTATGGAACAAAAGTTTGATGGGCAGTGCATAAGAGTCTGCTGGCTTCACATTGGCTCGGAATGAGCAAGTGATTTGATTGGACTGGAACGAGGTCACATCACAGGGCGATCCTCCAACACTCACACCAATATCACTAACATTGCCCTTTGTTCCATTCTGTGTCACATCAATGAAGAACCTTCCTTTGAGTACCAAGCTGGATGGTTGATTGAACGTGATATCTGAGTATGACTCAATCATGGGTACTATATTGTTTGATTGAGTGGTGGGTGTTAGTTGGGCTGGGATAATTCCACTGTGATGCATCGGATGGACTTACCAAATGCTTCAACTGTGGCATTGAATGGAGATGATGACTGGCCATCAAAGATCACTGTGAAGGTGTACTGTCCAGGTGTGGACACAAGCAGACCTAGCTTCTTGTGTGGCTCAATGATGAAGAGCTTGGTGTAGGTGATACCTTTGAGTGATAGTGCACTTGGATCATTGCCAAATGATGTACCTTCGATTGTGAACACTCCAAATTGGTCCAAGTAAGTTGTCGTAATACTTGGTTCCTGATATGTATAGTTGAGAGATGATGTCGACACACCTCCAAGTGAGACCACCAACTGATGTGATGTGCCACGACCAGTTGGAATGATGGCAACTACATTTGTGAATGTAATACTGGTCACTGGGATTGGAGCACCATCAATGGTTACTGTTAGATTGGTAGTGTCGTAGAAGTTGGTGCCAGTGATTGTCGTTGCGCCGCCACTTGTTGGTGCACCAGTGCTCATTGAGAGTGTTGGGGGCATGTAGGTGAGATTGATTGTTTGTGTTAAACGTGTGAGCAGCTTGACACTTAGAGTGTGGGTGCCATAGCCAGCTGGAACAGTGGCCGTGATCGATGTGTAGCTAATGCTGGTGATCGCCAACTTGGTCGTGCCATCAAGCCAAACACTCAAGTCTGTTGTATTGTTGAAGAAATTGGTACCAGTGAGAATTGTGTTGCCTCCACTAGTTGGAGTTGAGGTACTCATTGCCAGTGTAGGTCCCTGGTAAACATAGGTGAAGGGTGCTGATGCGCCACTACCGCCAGTGATCGATACAACAAGGCTGTGTGATCCATAGCCAGGGGGTACTGTTGCCACGATATTGTTGTAGTTGATACTTGTCACGGGGATGCTCACTCCATCAAAGAGAACAACCAAGTTTGGTGTGTTGTAATAGTTTGTTCCGGTCATTGTGATGCTGCCACCAGATGTTGGAGTGTCTGTACATGTTGCGATGGTTGGCACAGCGTAAGAGGCGGTGGCCAAGGTAGCGGGGTTGTAGCCGTCGACAGCCAGTGTGATGTCAAACTGCGAGTAGCCTGCCCCATAGGTGATGGTCTTGATCTCGGGCTTGGTTGGATCGGGTGTCATGATAGACACCGCATTGGTGATGACCAGCTTGCTGTAGAGGAGGCCGTAGTTGCTCACGGTGACGTTGAACGACCCTCCAGAGGTCGTGAGGCCAGTGATTGTTTGTTTGATTAGTGGAGAAGTGTTGGCAAACTGCACGAGGAAGGCCAGGTACTGGGTGGCAGCTAATGCCTTTAGTATGTTGGGGTCTGCAGCACCACTGCCAAAGTAGTACTCTACTTGCGAGGCGTCCGCAGTCATGGACGCCGCACCATATTGAGTTACGGACTGACCACTGAACGGTCCATTGTTGTATGAGAATATACCGCCTGAACGACTGACGCCAAGAAGTAGGTCCAGAGTTGCCATTCGAGTATCTAGAGCAGAGACACGAGTTGTTGTGAGCATGGTGTAGGTCTTGGCATCGGGTATCGCACCTAAGAAGCCTCCGTATGTACCAGCGACCTTGCCCTGTGCGTATCTCTGAGCATTGGTAGGGTCGGTGTAGGCATGTGTGTTTGAATACAAGTAGTTGACGAGCTGATCGCCCTGATAGACGATGGGCACTCTGAACGAGGTATACAATACACTGTCAACAGTGACAACGATAGGCATCATATCACTCTTTCCAACAATGTCTGGTATACAAGTGATCGACACTCCACTGTCTTGAAAGGCAACACCCGTACACACTCTATAGTCGAGGCCAACAGTGACCGAGACCTTGCTAATGTCGTTGCCAAAGTTACCTCCAACGATCGTAAGCTTGGGCGTTGGTGGCATGACCAGGTACACATAGGACAGGAATGGGGCTGTACAAGTTTGATTGATTGATCATTAGTAAGTGAATGAGCGATTGATTGATTGATTGGCGTCGACAGTGGATACTCACGTTCATATTGGAAGTATATGTTGATGGTAGCGCTGCTGTATGTCCAGTAACCTGTGCCTGGCGGTACAAGACATGTGAAGGTGTTGGTGGTGCCAGCAGGGAGGGGACAGGCAAATGTCTTGCCAGCATTGTTGAAGGTGACAGTGCCTGTTGTAACTGTTGATGTGGAGGCCACTCGCTTGAATGTTACAAGGCCACCATTAGTACCAACAGTGGTGATCGGCTCCCAGTCAACAGGTGTATTGATCTCGCAAAGTACACCAGCGGTGCTTGTAGGGTCTCTATTCTGGACAAAGCCTCTCAGCACTGAGTTGGGATTGGCAATGACCATTGCAGTCCATGAGTTTACAAGCATTGGATGACGCGATGGCCATGGACAACATGTCTTGCAACGATCACTTATTGCATCATAGTATTGAAATCCTTGATTGACACCATAGTCATGAGTCCAATTATAAGCATCAGTTGATACTCCCGATATCAAGAACAGATCAGATGTATAACTTGGATAGAATTGTTGAATTACCCAATTCTTCTCTGCATAAGTATCGATTGTTGCTGGATAACTAGAATGTGCGTGTTCGTTTTATGATTGATCGTTTGTGGTGTGAGTGAACAGCTTGGATTGAATGAATGAATATGGTATCATACCCTCCAGTGGGACATAATGTTGATTGAGGTGAGTTTTTTACAACTTGTACGGTATTGGTATAGTAGGAGTGTCCATTGACAGGAGATACTACTGGAGCTGAAGACACTAAACTACATTTCCAAGAACTTAACAACACAACAACAAATAAACAAAGTTTGAAGTATTCGAACATTGTTTGTTATTTGTAAATAATAGTAGTAGTAATAATAATACACGCAAATATGATGATAAATACTTAAATCAATCAACCAATAATACGAGTCACTTGGCTCACTTAACAAAAGTAAGAAACAGGATATATCTATTTCAAGTGTAGATGGAAGATTCATAAATGATCAACAGTGCCTTGTGATGATGAGAGGGTATTTTAAGGCCTAAAACAACTTGTACAACAATCTAGAGATGTGTCATCATGCCCCCCTATGATGAAAGGACGCGCATTAAGGAGGAATCCAAAGACAAGGATTCTATGGTTTACGCCATCTAAAAATGGTAAATTGATGATGTTATTTTTGCAGCATGGTCGAGCCCTTTAAAGACCCGAAAACTTGAGTCCTCATGCCGAATAGATGGTTTGTCACACGATTGCATTATTGGCAACATGATCTATTGTTGTGTGAGTGATGAAAGAAGTAGCCAAGTCTGAAACACTATTTAGAGTTTGCAAACTATCGACCCAATTAGGAGTTGATCAAACATTGTTTGGTTGAAGGCCTTCTTGGCCTAAGTGCTCCAATCCAAAAATAGATGTATTAACCAACCAGGCAAGTCTAATCATGGTAGTAAATCATTATGATGGATTTATTACTTGTTCATACACTTAATATTTGTTTGATTGATTGAACTGATGTGATTAGTGTTGAACATTGATTAGTGGTGAGGACTTCACTTGAATAACAGTCGGTTGAAACTGTTTATGGGAAGGCGGTGGAGACGGTGTTCTGTGGAAGGACGGTTTGCATCTTGATTCCATCCTCAGCGACGAAGTCGCAGGTGGCGTCGTACACGTTGGAGTCAGCCCAGGTAGTGAAGGTGCAGGTGAAACCAGTGGTGGTGATGTTGCTAGCAGTGCATTGGATACGGGTGGTGTAGCATGGGCTGCTTGGGGAGTTGGCGTCCAAGTGACGGAGGCAGAGGGCAACAGTTGGGGCAGAGAGGAAAGCCTTTGGGAAGGTGACCTGGCGGGTGGCGGTTCTTGGGCTGGCAGTGCCTGGGACGACAGCGTTGAGGTCGCGGTTGCCAATGCTGACGGATCCAATCTGGGTGGATGGGAAGGTGTTCAATGGGAGGTGGTACAACTCCCAACGGAGGGACATGTGGGTGTTGAAGGTCACTGGGTGGAGGGCGATCGAGGTGGCGTAGATGGGTGGCTCGAAGGAGTAGGCCACGACGGTGTTGGCATCGGAGTTACCGGCAATCTTGGCACCGCCAATGAGGTTGTACCAGGTGACGTTGTCCTGGGTGTAACGGATGGTGTAGGAGGTGACCCATTGGTTGTACTCGTTGGCACGACCCTGGGTGGCAATTCCGGTGAACATTCTTGGGGTGTCGCAGCTGGCAACGATGTACTGGTTGGCATCGTTGGCACCGACACACCAGGCGGAGGCACCGATGGTTGGGCGTGGGTTGACAGAGTTGAGGACGCAGTGCTGGGGACCATGGTTGGCATCAAACTCAGAGGAAGCAACAACGTTCAATGAACCGTTGTAGATGCATGGGGAACCCTTGTTGGCAATGAGAGCGGCAACGGTGGTTGGGAGGACTTGTTGTGGACCAGCAGATGACATTTTGGAATTATTTGGATTGATTGATTAAATTGATATTATAACTTAAGAGTTAATATTATTTGTTTGAAAGTTGCTTGTTTGTTTGTTTGATGAATTGTTGTATACCTGGATCCAGGTATTTATATTCATTGGTCTGGTCGAGACTGGACACGGAAAGTCCTGGACAGCATCCATTTGGTGGACCCACCTGAAGTTTGTTTCAAGTGTCTAGTCTACAACATTGTTCCAACCCCATTCACATGATCATGATCATGTGTAGTGAATGAATGAATCAGTGGCCCCAATAATAAGCCCTACTTACTCTTTTGGTTTGGCCGACACATTTTATTAGCTGAAGTAAGTAAGTAAAGAAAGACATTTAGGCGGCCCCAGCCAGTCCCACTAACTTTAATTACTTACTCATACACTCTTTGATTGAGAAAGTCATCTTGTCATCATATTACAAACCTGCATGTTCAGTGTCCAACCATCCACATCCAACCAACCAACACTCACCCCCATGTATCCAATCAGAACCTCTGGCGGGCCAGCCAGACTCTAGTCTCCAGTGCCAACTTGACTTCAATAACTCCGTGTATGTGTGGAGTGAAGTGCACTTCATATCTCTTCAAGTTCACGCCAATGAACTAGGATACAACATGTTGTTTACACAAACAGGTTAGAACTTGGGACCAGACTACACCAAAAAATCACCCCCCTGCCTAAGGAGGAGTGCACTGGAGCTGATGGTGTGTTAAAATTGGCTCGCAATGGGCTGGGTGTTGGCCCCGATGATGATCATCACTGTCGGGTGGAAAACCAAACACTTGGTTGTACATTTGACAAACAAAGGACATCCAATCAGAATTTTGTCGTCAAAGGTCTTAAGGTGTGTGTGTTTGATCGAGTGATTGACAATATCTTTGGTCCTCAGAGTGCCATTTGTTTAAAAATAGGGTAGTTATTGATTGGGTTAACCCTTATGCCTCTGATTGTTGCTTGCTTGTTGTTGTATTTGTTCGCACAATCGTTTGATTCATACCTCATCGGACGATGACAGTCACCACCACCAAGAATGATAATATCTGTGTCATGTGATGTGACCCAGTGACAGGATCATGGAATGATCCTATCCATCCATCTCTTGAGTTACTGCAATGTTCGTGCGTGATGTGTGCAAGAAGTCCATATTACATTATTGATGAACATCACCAAGTGGATGTGGATGTGGATGTGGATGTGGATGTGGAAGGAAACAAAGGTGTGTATGTGTACTTTTAATAATAGAGGTTATTCTACATGTTGGTTGATTATTGACATAGTGTGGATGAGGAGGTGATTGATTGGTTGGTTGGTTGAATGGATAGGGTGATTCGAAGTGTTGACATGTCTCACACTCATTCATTCACTCACAGTCATGATGATGTTGACATTGAACAACAGTTGTTGTTGGAGAGGGGGAGGTAGGGTAAGGCTAGGTTGATTGGTAAGTGTGTGGTGTTTAGTTGGACTCCTGGTCCTTCTTCTTGTGCTCGTCGCATTTGGCTTGGAGCAGCTCATGGAGGTCTGGACTGATCAACAGGTTGGCGGTGCCATTGTTCTCGACGTCCTCAAGGTAGCAGACGAAAATGGTGTCGGTACCAATGCCAATGATGTGAGTGAAGATGTTGGAAATGCAGAAGGCAAACAGAGCGGCCAGACCAATGGTGATGACGTTGGCCTTGATCGAGCGATCGGTGCAGTAGAGCACAACACTGGCAAACAGTGCAGTACCAGCAGTAACCATTATCTTGCCCAACAGCAACACGAATGATCCGATAAAGTCCATGATCACAGCAGTGAACATGTTTCTCTGGATCAAATCAAAGCATGCCTTGGTAGCAGTGCAGAAGCTGTATCCGTGCATGGCTATTATGTTGTTTGTTTGATTTGATTGTTAGTATGAATGTCCTATCATTCTTATTCAATCAATCAATGTATACATACCAACATAGATGTAACCAAACTTGTTGACCCATCTAACGATACCCTCGACACAGCCAAGGATGCACTGGATGCATGAGAGGAGCATGACGGCCAACTTGTTCTCGGCGTTGGACTTCTTGGCCAATCTCAACATGAAGGCAAAGAACTCGATAAAGGCAATGACTAAACTGCCCAATGCCAAACTGCCAAGTGATGTGGTCATGGCACGGCCCAAAGATACAAAGGCATTGGATGATCCAACCTCAGCTATAATAAACAGTGATACAATGTTAGTCATCATGGTCGATTGATTGATAATATAATCACTTACAGTTGGCTGAACCTCTGGCAAAGTACCAGTGGGAGACGGCACCAGCGACGACGGATTGGAAGACGGCAGAGATGTAGGCGGTGACCCAGAGGAAGGCAAAGACCATGTAGAACATGAGGTTTCTGATCTTGTCGTCAAAGTGTGGGAGCTCGTTGCTGTCGCTGCTGCTGCCACTCCAGTGGATGTTGTGGCCTGGAATGCTGAACAAGTAGACGAATGATGATGTCCAGTATGCCAAGAAACCAATGAAGAACAGAATGACGACGATTCCAGTGACAAACACTGATGGGCTGCGCTGCACGCCACGGCAGGTCTCTGTGAACATGGCGCAAGTCAAATCAATGCTTCTTCTCAAATACACAACAACTCCAACAAGTAGGAGTCCCAAGATGATTGTGCATCCACCAACGATCATTGTGCTATATAGTTGTATGAGTTGAACATGTTAGATAACCATTCATATTCTTCCCTGTGCTGGATTAATGTATACATACGCTTCACTTGACTCCTTGTGTCCGAGGAACATAAAGAAGATGCCGACAATGATGACGAGGGCAACACCGAGACACATGGTGAGGTAGATGAAGAAACGAGTGAATCTCTTGAGCAGCTCCATCCAGAGGGCAGCGACGGTGAAGGCGACCAGCACTGAATAGATGAGCACGTCCTTGTTCTGACGCATCTGTGCGACAGCATCCTGCAGGCCATCGACAATGACCGTGGAGTTGTGTCCGTTGATGAATGTGTTGGATGGCACCAATTGGCCTGGTTGACCACGCGAGTATGCAATACCCGAGATCACAGCCATACCAATCACGACCAACAAGAACAAAATACCAAACAATATATCATTACATGATCTTGATGTTGGTCTTGCCTTTCCAGTGGTCGAATCATCCTCCTTACTATATTTTCCACTTCCACCTCTCTTCTGCTGATAATCATATGGCAGACCACTGCTTGGATCCAGCAGTGGTTTTCTCAAGTCATCCTCTTGTGACCACATTATCTATCTATCTATAATCTATTTATCTAATCAATATATATTATATAATCTTCTTCTTCTTCTTCTTCTTCTTCTTCGTCTTCGTAACTTTGCAAACTACTGTTGTTGATACTATTTAAACTAATATTATATTATATATAATATTAGTATTTAGTATGTATATGTATATGAATGAATGAATGAAGTAATGTATAGATAACAAACTAATACGTGAATGAATAAATGAGAGTGAATGAATGAGCTGGAGGTGTCAACTCTTTGAGTGTGTGTGTGTGAGTGTAATTCAATTCCTATTCATCCACACACTTCCTCAACCTCCCTCATACAAACAAACACACAAGTTTATTTTATTTTATTTATTTATCAATGTCAACTCTCACAAAACCGGGAGTGTGAGCTGCCTCCCATTCCCACACGACCACCTGCAGAGTTTGTTTTGTCTTGCGTGCTTGCGAACGAAGATGGAGGTCCATCAACACAAACATTGTCAAAGAAGAAGACCATGATCGAATGGCTTTGGTTCAAGTTCTAAGACCAAAGGGTAGGGTTAATGGATAGGTTAACATATTTAATGTTTGTTATTATATCATTGATGTTCACAAGCTCAGTTCTTTGGTCTGTTCTATGAACTCTTTAGATGTCAACAACTCTGTAGTTCCATAAATGATCTTCTTGTTTTGTTTCTAAATTGTATTGAGTTAGTGAATGATTGAATKGGAAGTGCAATGATTGAAATAGACTTACCTTGGCAAAGTCTTGAAGATTCTGATATTCAACATAGTTGCCACCTCCTACTACAAATACAATGGCATCCTTGAATGGTGAGGTACGTCTGGTGACATTATTCTTGTTCTGTATCTTTGGATCCAGGTAGATATAGTCGGCATCCAATGTGTTTTTGAGGTCCATTATAGACTCGACAACTCTAGTCACAAACAAGTCCTTGCTCTTTGGCAACAATGATCGTACACCTTGTGAGAAGTAGTTGGTGAATGATTCAACAGGCTAGATAATACATAATAAGTTAGTAATCAATCCAATCCAGTCCTGGACAATTGTTTGTATTGTACATACAGTGAACATTTGTAGGAATCCACTGGCTTTGGCAGTGGCTGAGGATGACTGGCTTGATGAATTGACTATGGCCAGACTCTCTTTGAATGCTTTGTTCTTCTTGATGTACTCGATCGATTTTAGGTCCGCACCCATACCCTTGAGCGCCTCCTCGAATTGCTCCATCTCTGGTACGGTCTTGGACGACATGAAGTAGATGAGGAATAGACGCACCTTGTCCTCGAGCGTTCCTCTGCCACCATCCTTGCCAAATGGTGGACTGGTGATGAGCGATGTCAGCTCCTTCTTGTCGACGAGTGATCGTGTGATGATGGCCTCCTCCATCGAGAAGAAGTAGTCGATCTGTCGATCACGGATGTGCTTCATCAGGTCGGTGGCCAGGTTGGTGTGCAGGTCGATCAGACGCTTCTTCTCCTTGAGCGAGCTGACCAGGTCGCCCAGGCCCTTGGCGCGGTTCTCGACCGAGGCCTGCTTGCCGGGCTCCGTGCTGCTGTCGTCCGTCACATCGGTCATATAGCCGATCTTCTCCTTCTCGGCGGTGTAGTCGCTGATGGCGGCCTTGACCTCGCCGGCCACGTTGGGGAACGGAGCGCCAGTGTTATTCTGCCAGAACGTGTCGATTGACGAGTCGAGGTCGTAGGGGACGCGCTTGGTCTGATTGTCGTTGGTGACTTCCACCTTGACACGGTTGAGCTTCATATCGAGAATGTCGTGTGCCAATGCCTGGTAGGTCCACGGATGATGCATCATCACAGACAGATCAATGTTTCGGTCGAGCAGGATGAGTACCGGGCGTTGGTAGATCGACATGGCGCCGCTGCTGTTCTCATTGGCGCTGAACAGGTTGCCCGACGTGGCCAGATGCTGGCTGATCTTCTTCTCGAGCGCCTGTGCGATCATCTCGGCCGCCGTGTTCTTGGGGCATCGGATAATGGGCACGACGCCCATCGTCACCAGCACAGAGAACAACGAGTCGACAACGATGTCCATGTTCTCCTGCGCCTTGGTATCCTTGATCGCGTTGTTGTTGAATGATGCGTATGATGAGTGTGGACTGTTCAGCACGAACAGGTCCTTCTCGAGCGAGATGTAGTTGAGGAACTGGTCGTGTACCTTGGACACGAGATGCACAACATCATACTGTATCGTGAGCGTTGCCAACTCCTCGAGCAGCGCCGTGGGCACCTTTGTGGCAAAGTTGACATAGACGCTGTCGTACAAGTGATTGCGGCAGTCCTCAGCAATGCGCTTGATGTTGTCTTGTGTCGGCATGACAAAGTAGATAGCAGGCACGTCCTGGATGGGCTGGCGCTCGCTGTGCAGCATCAGATGCAGTGTGATGCCCTGCTGGCGCAGCAGACCCTTGGTCAAGATTGGTGCAATGATCGTGCTGCAGTACTGATCGAATATCAACACTTTCCAGACCTCCTGCCAATTGGTCTTTGAGTCATTGACCGACTTGACATTCAACATCCTATTGACCGACTCTATCTGGCTATCGCGAATTGAGAAAGCGTCTGCATCCCTCTCTTTATGTGCGTGAGCAGCGTTGAACACGCCACTACTTGATGAACCATGTGTAGTAGTAGTTGTACTGCTTGACTTCATCTATATATATATATATATAACTATATCTTTGTTTGTGTGTATTTGATTGAAAGAATGAATGAATAAATGAAGTGCACATTTGTGTTAATCTTTGAAATTGAGTGGTTTGCTCACACTTTGATGATGAATCACACATCTTCTGACTCATTCAATCATCTAATACTACAATTAATAATAATAATATATACATACATATTATAGAGATACAGTAGTTATGACAGACTTCAAGGTCATCAGAACAAGTGACCGTGTGTTGGTCATCCCAGCCGACCCTGAAACTCTACCTTATCCAATTGCTTTCGATTGTAACACTGGAGTATGCCAACGATTGGAACAGGGCTACTTTGATAGAGCAGAGGGCGAGAAGGTAGCCACAACAGAGCCATTCAAGGCTTCTTGTCTATTGGGCACGATACAGTTGTTCTCAGGTCGCTACCTCATGGTGGCCACAAAGACAAAGCGCGTCGCCGTGTTGCCAAAGGACCAGCACAGCGTGTTCCGCGTGGACAAAGCCACTCTGATACCATTTGCACTGGACCAGCTCAGTAGACTGACATCGGCAGCAAGGAGGACTGAGGAGCAGGCTTACTTGGACATGTTTGAATGGATGCTCAATGGCGTGGCCGCCTTCTACTTCTCCTTCGAGATGGACATCACACATACACGACAGCGCGCTTTGTTGCGACCGACGCAGCCAGACGCCCGCTTCTTCTGGAACCAGCAGTATGTGCAGGAGCTGATCGATGGCAACTGCTCCGACTGGGTCGTCCCCATCACCATGGGCTTTGTCCAACAGAAGCTGTTTGCGCACGACGAGAAGTACTATCGATTGACTTTGATGTCTCGCCGTAACATGGTGCGCGCCGGAACACGATACTTTATGCGCGGTGCCGACAACAAGGGCAACGTGGCCAACTACGTGGAGACCGAGCAGATCTTTGAGCAGCACAAGCCCGATTCCGATGACCCGACCTACACCGCCTTTGTCCAGGTGCGCGGCTCAATCCCCGTGCTCTGGTCACAGTATCCCGATCTCAACTATAAGATCCGCGTCAAGTTCAATGGAAACGATGCCGAGCACTTCCACGCAGTGCGCGAACACTTTGTCGCTCTACAGGATCTCTATCGCGACACCACTGCCGTCAACCTGGTCAACAAGCGTGGCGACGAGGGACGTCTGGGCGAGTCGTACCAGAAGCATGTTCAGCGCCTGTCCACCGACACCCGTTACATCTGGTTCGACTTCAACGCGGAATGCAAGCACACGCACATGGACAAGCTGTCACAGCTACTGGACAAGACCAAGGATAGTCTGACACGTGATGGATTCCTGCATGTGAGCGAGGGCAAGGTCATCGCCATGCAAAAAGGCATCGTTCGCACCAACTGCATCGACAACCTCGATCGTACCAATGTTGTCCAGACTCTCTTTGCCCTGCGCAGTCTAGAGATGCAGCTTGAGACCCTTTCACTCCCTAATGGAATCCTCCAGTCTTCAACCTTTAGTCCGATCTTTAAGAATAGTAAGTTGTTTGATTGATTGAACGAGTAAGCGTAGGACTGACATGAACATTGCGAACAGTATGGGCAGATAATGCGGATGATATTAGCAAGCAATACTCTGGTACTGGAGCGTTGAAGAGTGACTTTACAAGGACTGGCAAGGTCAGCATCAAGGGCATGTTGAAGGATGGCCAGAACAGCATTAGTAGATACTATAAGAACAACTTTAACGATGGATTCAGACAGGATGCTTACAACCTGTTCACAGGAGTCTACGTGATCGATCATGATGCAGCAACATCCGAAAAGTCACTGCGCAGACCCAATCACAAGACGCATATATTATATATCCTATCACTAATGATTGCACTGGCCGCATGGATACATTATAGCTACATACCAGCATCTACATCATTTGTTGGTGGCTTTATAACATTCATCATCTATTGGATTGGCGCCATCATACTCATTGGATACCTACTCAAGCAGTGCAACAATTTATTGATCGACTGGCCGTGTCTAGTTCCGCTGGCTGGACGCGTTCAAACATAAATATCCCACCATTCAATCAGTCAGTCGTTTGTATAAGTCACGTGAACATGAACATGCAACGCTTTCACATGCCAGCAATCAGTGATTGATTGATTGTGAGAAGCAATCTCTTCCCACATTCCACCAACTTTTGTTTGGATTCATGTGAGTGAGAAGCTGCCACTTCGCAATTTCTTTTTTGTTTCCTTTGTTGACGCGTGTGGATTGTTGTGGCGACAGACCTGGAACAAGTTGGAATGTTGACTGACTCAATTATTATTAATAGACAAGTACTTGTACAATCATATATATATAATAATATAATTATAGTAGCAATCATACAAATAATCAAACATCAATTAATTAAAAATGCAAACTGAAGGAGAACAAGAAATGGATAAGCAGGTGGAGCAGTGGAAGGTCAGGAAGCTCATCAAGAATCTGGAGGAGGCAAGAGGGTATGTATTAATTAATTATCCAATTAACCAATCAATGATTGCATACTAACATAATATTAATACTTTAATATATAGTGTCGGAACATCAATGATATCATTGGTAATTAGACCAGGTGATCAGATATCAAGGGTGAACAAGATGTTGGCAGAGGAGAATGGAACGGCCGCTCATATCAAGTCGAGAGTGAACCGTATTTCGGTGCAGAATGCAATCTCTGCTGCACAGTCCAAGTTGAAGCTGTACAATAATGTTCCAGCCAATGGTTTGGTTATCTATTGTGGCCAGATAACCACTGATGATGGCAAGGACAAGCGTGTTAACATTGACATTGAGCCATTCAAGCCAATCAACACGTCACTCTACCTCTGTGACAACAAGTTCCACACGGCTGCCTTGGGTGAGCTGTTGGAGTCCGACGAGAAGTATGGCTTCATCATCGTCGATGGCAATGGCGCACTCTTTGGTGTTCTGTGCGGCAACACCAGGACGGTACTCCACAAGATCACTGTGGACTTGCCCAAGAAGCATGGTCGTGGAGGTCAGTCAGCGCTGAGATTCTCTCGTCTCAGAGTGGAGAAGCGTCACAACTATGTGCGCAAGGTGGCCGAGTTGGCCGCCCAGCTGTACATCGCCAATGACAAGGTGACCGTCAACGGACTGGTCTTGGCCGGCTCAGCCGACTTCAAAAACGACCTGAACAACTCGGACATATTCGATCCCAGACTCAGGGAGCGTGTCCTCAAGGTCGTCGACATCTCGTATGGCGGTGACAATGGATTCAATCAAGCCATAGAGCTCTCTGCCGAGTTCCTGTCCAATGTCAAGTTTGTCCAGGAGAAGAAGTTGGTCGTCTCATTCTTTGACGAGATCGCCAAGGACACTGGCAAGGTGTGCTTTGGTGTTGCCGACACCATCCGTGCACTCGACATGGGTGCCATTCAGACACTCATCGTCTGGGAGAACCTTGAGGTGACTCGCTACGAGATCAAGTTGCCCTCAGAGGAGAAGTCCAAGGTGCTCTACTTGAACCGTCAGCAGGAGCGCGATCAATCATTCATGAAGGATGCTGCCACTGGTGTGGAGTATGAGTTGATCGAGGCCATGCCTTTGGTTGAGTGGTTCGCCAATCACTACCGAAAGTTTGGCGCTCACTTGGAGTTAGTGTCCAACCGCTCAGAGGTCGGTGCCCAGTTCTGCAATGGATTCGGTGGCATCGGTGGTATATTGAGATACCGTCTGGACATGGCTACACTCAATGACTATGACAACATCAGTGCCGCAGACCATGACGATGATGACTACGACAGTGACTTTGACTCATCGGATAGTGACTTATGACTAAATGACCAAGAGGTGACCTCCTCTGAGGTCAACAAACAAGACAGCAGCAGCAGCAGCAGCAGTGGCCTCACTCGAGGCCAAACTTCCAAGATTGGACATGGACCACATGGTCAAGGCAAGTCCAATACAAACAATGGAAGTGGACACATACCATCTGGAGGTGGAAACAATGGTGGTAGTGTCCAAAACAAGAGTCCAACAACCAACACGCTTCAAAAGAGTGGTGGTAGTGGACTATTGGTGAACAAGACAAGACAGGGTGGTGCAGCGTAAACATAATATTGATGCTACAATCCACCAAAGTAGATGCATGTATATTATACAAACATCATGATCATCACAATGATCACAATCATCATAATCACAATCACACACCAATCCAAACCCTATCTTACCTCCAACATATCAACTACATATGTGCCCATGGTCCAAGAGTATCAAGCCATCAGTTGATTGAGGATTGATCATCAACAACTAAGGTCATAATACAATAAACATCATTATTGATTGACAAATAATCAAAGGTTTGTCCTATTTTGGATCATGTCATTGTGATACCCCCTATTTCCTATTTGGGTGCACCCGACTAACTTGTCGAACTATTCACAAGCCCGATTTTTTACGTTTCAAAGGGATTGAGGTGCATTGTACAAGATACTTTGAAGAGAGAATTCTATTATTCTTACATTCATTCATTATACAGGTACATTGATACAGATAATATATATAAAACAATCATGCTTGTTGATAATGGACCATTAACAAAGAATGGTGGAGGCGGAGGTGGTGGTAGTCATGGAGTAGAGATGGAGAGTACACATCAACAATCAACTCCATTGATAAGAAAGAGATCATCATATTATAAGCTCAGTTCATTGACTCGAAAATACCCATATGACAACAGCAAGGATGACGAACTTGATAAATGTTTGACACTGATAGATATTGTATCATATGGTATTGGTGCCACTGTTGGTGCAGGTGTCTTTGTATCGATTGGCGTTGCCATCAAGACTGCTGCCGGACCAGCCACCTTCATCTCCTACCTCATCGCATCGCTCACATGTCTAATCTCTGCCTTTTGCTACGCAGAGTTTGCTGCCAAGATCCCGCTCTCTGGCTCAGCCTACACCTTTGCCTACGTCGCTCTTGGCGAGTTCATTGGATGGTTGTAAGTAGTCGTCACATTGGAACTATTCCCTGCCCCAACTTACTCACTCAATCAATCAATGTAGCATCGGCTGGAACCTCACATTGGAGTATGCAGTCAGCGCGTCGGCTGTGGCGCGTGGCTGGGCTGGCTACTTCTCACAGTTCTTCACGGTGTTTAATACGACTGCACCAGAGTTTGTGACTGGATATCATCTCAACTCGGTGTTTGATATTGCTCCATTGGCGCCAATCATTGTGATCGTGTGTACGATTGTTCTGGTCTTTGGTGTCAAGGATTCAGCCAAGTTCAACATGACCATCACAACGATCAACATTCTCACCATCCTGTTCTTCATCATACTTGGTGCGGTCTACTTTGACAAGGCCAACTTCCAACCCTTCATGCCGTTTGGTATGAATGGCGTGTTCACTGGCTGCTCCAAGGTGTTCTTCAGCTTCGTGGGCTTTGACGCGGTGACCACGTTGTCGGGCGAGGTCAAGAACCCCAAGCGCGACCTCCCACTTGGAATTGTGATCACCCTAACAATCGTAACGACACTCTACTGCTTGGTGTCCATTGTCCTGGCGGGCATGATCAAATACTCTGCTATCAGCGAGACATCACCCCTGTCTGACGCCTTCCTCTCACTGACAGGCTCACATCCAGCATTGAAATGGGCTGCGCTGGCCATTGTAATTGGCACTTTGACCTCATTGACCGCATCGACATTATGCTCATTGCTGGGACAGCCTAGGATCTATCTTCAAATGGCAAAGGATGGTCTGATCTTCTCAAGGTTTGCCAAAGTCAATAGCAAGACACAGGTACCAATGTTTGGCACTATATTCACTGGAGCGTTTGCATCACTCCTGGCACTCATGCTCAGTCTGGATCAACTATCAAACATGATCAGTATTGGAACCCTACTGGCATTCACTGTAGTCTGTGCTGGCGTTGTAATATTGCGTTATAGAGTATGTTTGATCAATCATGGAACTATCCCCTGCACCTTCATTCGCTCACTCATTCATTCATTCCAACAATTCTAGAATCCAGACACTGGAAAGGAACATCATCTTATTCAATCATCTTGGCTGTTACTTGTTATGGTATTCTTTGCATGCCTCTTTGGATGGGCAAGCTCAAGATCATGGAACATTGGATTCCAAATCGGGTTTGCCGTTCCCATCATTACCATCATAGTACTCCTCGCACTGAGGCCACAAGTCAATGTTCCAACACAAACATTCAAGTAAGTTCTCCCATATCCATCACCATCATCATCACCATCACTCATACTTACTCCTGGACTCCTTGTAGAACACCTCTTACACCAATATTACCATGTTTGGGCGTAGTTGCCAATACTTACATTATAATGCACTTGGACGTGGAGTCATTCTACCGTGTTCTGGTGTGGACAGCCATTGGCTGTATCATCTACTTTGGTTATGGCATTAGACATAGCAAGCTGAATGACCTTGACAACAATGTTGGTGATCAAGATAACAAACCAATCTTGCACYTCATCAAACAATGATGATAATGATAACGATCGCAGTAACAATAGTAGTAGCAGTAGTAGTAATGATGACGATGATGACAATGGACTGCGTACCAACTCCTATGTAATATAGGTGTACATCTACCAATACATGCTTGCGAGCACGAACGAATGAACGACGAGTTATGTGTTTGTATTTACAAGTCTTTGGTTGTTTGCTTTATTCTGCTGTTGTATTCATCTTTGTTGTTTGCACGCTGCTTCCTCTAAAGAGATTGTCTAATTTGATGCTTTGTTTGTTTGATTGTTGTGTCTTTGAAGTAGTCGAGTCTTTGAATGTGATAATGGATGGACATAATGGTCCATGATGTTTACTTGTCGAACATTCCCTTTATGTTTCTGATCGCTCTCTCAGTCTCTCTCTTCAGGTTTGGCACATCATAGTTCTGTGCAGTGTAAATGCCTGTTCATCATAGTAAATGTTAATAATGATCGCAGTGCCATTATTGTGCAATTTACCAAACAACAACATACCTCCAACGATACCAACAGATAGGAGAGTGACGCTCTTGATCAAAGTCATTGTATAGTGTATATAGTTATCTGTATATATATATATATGTGTGTTACAAAGTAAGTTTAATGTTGTTGCCTTTGCAAATGAGTTAAGATGTTGGTGTTTGAAATGAAAGTTTTGTTGATGATCACACAGACATTCATTCAAATAAGTAGGTTCTGACTTTGAAATGAGATGAGGTGGGGGCTGAAGGCAGCATGGGATAGCCAGGGTAATGTTGTGTAATTCATTCGTCAGTATCTTGATCGGATGACCATGTAATTGTAATGGTCCCACATAAACATCATTACTAAGTGGCACTTATATAAATATATATATATTTATTTATAGAACATTACATAATGTCGACCTACTTTGAGGTTGTTGATGATGATGATGACGAGTTCGACATCGATGTATTCAACAACAACAATTGTAACATTACAGGAGGCAACTCATTCATTATGAGTAGTGATATGGATGATGTCCAGTTGGCAGATCTTACAGACAATCAATATCTTACTGTAAAGGATCATCCACTCAAAGGTCGTTCAGTGTTTGCCAAACAGTTCATACCAAGAGGTACCCTACTACTCAAGGATGTACCATATGTATCAAGTATGTATGTTATATTGTTTGATTCATTGATTAGATTGATTGATTGATTGAACCTAACATAACCATAACTGATCAGTTGTCGACGATAGATACAAGAGGAATATATGTAATAGTTGCTTCAAGTTCTTCAATGAATCAAACAGACAGAATATAGTTGGTTGTCCTGGATGCGGGTAAATTGAAGTTGAGAACAATGGAGTTGACGTTGGATATCATTGACACTAACAAGACTGACTATAATAGTGATATATACTACTGCTCAACATTCTGTCAACTCTCATCGGTCAAGGAAACAAAGCATACTGATTTGGAATGTCGTTGGATATATACATTCTCGAGAACTTACAAACAACAACTACTGGATGATGACAGGAATATAGTGCTGGTCATACTTAGGATACTGGCTCGACGCCACAATGCTCATCTCTCAATGGACTTCACCACGAATCAAGTCCAAACACAAGACCAGGCGCACGACCATGGAGCGATCCCATTGCCATCCGATGTCTGTGATTTAGTCGATCATATCGATGAGTATTTTGGAGTTGCACTCAAGGATCCAGCCAGTCAGAATGGGAAACAACAGGAATGGATCGTGAAGGATGTTATTGTGAGCAAGGAGAATGGTGGCGTGTCAATTGGTGACCAGTTGGAGTTTGAAAAGGATCATGTACTCAACTGGCAACATGACTTTACCAAGTTGCTGACACTGTCCAGGATCATACAGCATATTATCAAACCACGTGGACACTCCACAAACGATCGAGATAACAATAGTACACATTGCGATCAAGTGCGTGACTCACTGGAAGTGATTACCAGCACCGACTACAACTTACTCAAACTACTGGGCAAGGTACGAGCCAACTACTTTGGTCTTTGGAATCACAGCGAGGATCAACTCTGTCACTGGGCTGGCGCGGCAGTCTACCTCAGACTGTCCTTATTCAATCATTCATGCTTCCCCAATTGCACCACATTGCTACTCTCGGACGAGGACTTTGCCCGACTCATTGGACATGGCCGCGGCCACGATGAACCATCCTATGAACGAACCAACCCTCTAACATTCAACATTATCGCAATGAGGGATATCGAAGCGGACAGCGAGTGTCTGATCACATACATCCCACTTGATCAAAAGGCGGCCGAGCGTAGGAATCACCTCAAGTCAATGTGGCTATTCGATTGTGATTGTCAACGATGCGCTGAAGAGTTGCAAGGCAAGACTGCACTGGAGACAGAGTACAAGCGATACTGTTGTCCAAAGATGACATGTGGCGGTGGTATGCTAATACCAGACATTCAATCAACAGCCTCAATCCCAACAGGAACATGTAGAGTATGTAAATTATCTTATGAAATAATGAAGTGATGATGGATGATGGATGGATGGAGGAGAGAGTAACTAAATCTCTCTCTCACTCACTCATTCATTCCTTCACTCATCCTTTAATGTGAATATATTTGTACTATCTATCTATCTATTATTGAAGGCAACTACCAATATGATCGGAACATTTTGGACCAGATATCTCCGCGGTGACATCGTTGCGTCTAATGGATGTACCGTTGGTAGTGGTGCAGGTGGCGCCACTGTTGGCCTTGTGTGAGTGGCTTTCCAGCCAATCACTCCAATGCACTAGCAGCTCTTTTTCCGGATCGTTTAGGTCGATACACTTTTGGCAGACCTCTGGCGAGCAATCACGGTGTAGCTCCATGTTGCTATAGTGTCTCGACAGGTTGGCAGTGGTCACTCTCTTGGAGCACAGGGCGTGCGGACACTTGATGCGCTTCTTGTCTTGTTTCTTAATGAGATGTTGCCTCTCCACTCTCTTTATACAGCCGGCACAATCTTGATTGGGACAGTTGATGTGGAACTTTGAATCATGTTTTTCCAGATGCTTGGCTCTTTGGAAATCGTGGCCTCTCTTTGTACAATATACCGGGACATTCCTTCCATCTTCCGTTACCCTTATACTAATTGGTCCATGACTACAAACGAACCTGTTGTCCTTCTTTGGAACAACTTCCACCTCGTGTGTAGCCTCATCCAATTTTCCAGCCATTATAATATATTTTATTTCATGTTATTTACAATTAATATTTATATATATTATTATTTATCTACGTATATATATTTGAATTATATATAATTATTATTCATTATCTCTAAAAGATTGTAAGTTGTAGAAGTATGTTATTTATATATTTAATGATCACAATTGCTCAGCTTGTTTACAAATATGTGCTTCTAGAATGACCGTAAGGTGGTCATTTATACTATAGTATAAATGATGCAGGTTCGGTGAGCTCAGTCATCCTCCTCTTTGAACGTAGCTAGTTTCAGAGAGAGAGAGAGAGATTGATTGATTGATTGATAGGTCATTTGGTAACTGGACAATTGGGGTGGGAGGGGATGGGCCCTATTCTACCCATTGGAGTAAGGGAGTGTGATTGATCGTAGTGAAGGAATGTTGTGGTGGAAGGGGTATCTACATGAGGAAATGGCACAGGTTTATTCATTTGTGCTCGTCCGCAGCGACTGAATCCTTAGGGCTCCCACTTCTTTGTAACAATATGATCCATCATACTGATATTGCCTAGGTGTGAGATATAGGTTGAGTTAAATCTGAGCAATTCAATTCACAACACATACCCCACATCATCACACTCACTCTTTCACACTCAATTCATTATCATATAATCATACACATCATAATTCATGAACTATACCATAGTTAATGATTGTATGAATGTATCAATGTAAACTTTGTGTATGTGATACAAGTTAATGTGAATGTTGCTGGCACTTACCTCATCATCATCATTATGATCTTTCTTTCATCAACTGGTTAAATTTGAATAAACTGCATTACGTTTAATTATTGAACCTGGAAGAGTATGGTGGGTCTACCATTCATTCACTCACTCATTCATTCATACTTCATCCTAATTATAATTATAATAATAACCGGTACTATTCCAAACCACACTCTTTCATTCATTCATTCATTCATTCACACACTCAATCATTCATGGTTTGATGGTAATGAACCCACTTCCCATCGATTTGTCAGGCCATGATATGAAGAACAATGATTGAGTCATCCTTCGCAAATGTACATCAGATATTGTACGGTTGGACAATTGACTGTCTTTGATGTTGAGATCTATGGACACCTCTTTGATTGTTGGAGGTAAGCATTGTAACCATTGGATAGGTATCCCTCCCATGCGTATATCTAAATTGCGAATCGACTTGGGCAATCTTGATGCAATGGCTGCAAACTTTGTATGATCACCACGAAGTAGCTCCAGACTGGCGACTGTAGGTGGTAGGTGGCACAGACTGCTATAGTCAAAGTGTTGACCACACTTGAAAAGCACCATCCGTACCCCATGTGGAATTGTTCCAAACTGTGGACCATCAATCGATACCAATGAGAGTGATATGATTGTTGATGGTAATCCAGAGAGATCGATCACCTTTGTTGTGCGACGAGGTTTGAATACAACTATCGTCAGATACTTGAGTCTTGGGAACATGGTCGAGGTGATAGTCGAAACATATCGTTCGGGAAGATGGGTGAGTACCAGGTCATTGAGGTGCTCAAATGTCATGCCTTGATTGAGTGTATGATGGGAGTAGAGAACAAGGGTGTCGAGTGACGGATGGCTGATGATACCAGTGCCTTGACCATGAACTTGAAGGTCTGTTAAGCTGTCTGGTAGCTTGCCAAGTGGCCTCATGTATCCATCCGAGAAGTAAAGGAATGTAATAGATGGTGGAAGTATCGCCTTGTTGATAACATATTCATAAGACCTGTAGAACATCAATGTCTTTAGGTTGGGTGGCAGTGAGCCAGGTAAAAATGCTGGTATATTGTGATGCTTGCTCAGTTTGAGTGATTCCAAATGAATAGGTAATCCACCAGTTAATAAGGACTGGCTGTATCGCGCATTGGTGAGGTCGAGATACTTGAGAGTATGAGGCAGGACTTTGTTAAACGGGTACACCTCACGCTCACTACTAATCTTTAGATTGGTGAGCGTCGCGGGCAATGCATGGAGTGGCAGTGGCGGGATGTTTCCATCGTTGTATCGATTCTCATAAAAGATATTGAATGTTATCTTTGTCAATTGAATGATTGGTGGCAACGCGATGATGTCGCCATAGCAGAAGTATGAGATGTCGGTCACACCACGGGCGATCAACCCTTCAAACAAAGGAATAGCACTTATCCAGAATGATTGTTTGAAGCCAACAGCATCATTCAAATCACTAAAGGTCACCGAACCAATAATTGGTATATCCAAGATATCCTTGATCATAAATCTATCTGTCTGTTGTGCCTCTAAGGTAACCATAGATTGATTGAATGTATATGTGAATGAGTGAGTGATAATCAATCAATCAATCAATCAATACTTACTTGTAACGAATACATAATCATATATGTTTGGGAGGTTTAGGACTGGTTCAATGCAGATAAGTATGTTTAGATATTTGTTCTTTACAAGTTGATTGGTGATAATATGTTTGTATGATTGTAGATTGGTTGATGATTGGATGTTGCCCAGACTATTGTACATTGGCAATTGGGTATCATCCAATAAAATATACTTTGATCTCTCTTTGAACAATCTCTTGCAGACCAATGACAACATCAAAGAGTCAACTAAACTATCACTCAGATGTGATGCAATCTCCTTTATCAACAATAATGATAAAGTGTCTATCATTCTCTATCTCTATCTCTCTACAAATACAAATGAAAAATAGTGATGCACTTCAATTTCCAAGTCTAAATTGTAGGAGTACCCCAAAGTATCCATTATCCTCTAAATTATTCAATCTTTTTGGATGCCCTTGGAAGGAAATATTGCAATGTTTAATGATTGATTGAATTTAAATCAGAGATTGATTGATCGAATTTTTAATAGAGGTGGTTGGTAGAGCACCAGTTGAGTTTGAATTATGGGTATCATTTATTGGAACTTTGTGGGACCAGTAAATTGGCTCGTCAGGAGCATCGTCGACGGGAGTATTTTTTTTTTTTTTTTTTTTTGACTAGAGTGGAAGTTTATTATTATTGCAAATAAATTGGCGTCATTGAAGAGGCGGGATAATGTATTAAATAAATAAAAGAAGAATTAATTCTAAAAGGCTCCAACGAGATTCGAACTCGTGACCCCTTCCTTAGGAAATTGGCGTCATTGAAGAGGCGGGATAATATATATAAGTTAGTCGATTTTGAATTTTCTTGATTTTTTTTCTTTCTTTTCTTTTCTACTGTAGGCCTCTGAATTCGGCCACCAAGTATTTGTTGATAGTTGGCGGCAGAGGCGGAAGACGGATGTCGCTGTTGCGAGTGCTGAGGAATGGCAATAGGGTTTTGATGAGTGGCAATAGGGTTTTGATGAGTGGCAATAGGGTTTTGATGAGTGGCAATAGGGTTTGTATGCATTCTGTGAGATTCGAACTCACGAACCTTGCGGACCAGAACTTGAGTCTGGCGGATTTAACCACTTTCCTAAAAATGCAGATGAGATAACCATTGTCTTGGTTCTGTTTTTAGGTTAGTTTTTTTGGGAATTAAGCCATTTTTCTATTTCATTGAAAATTTTTCATCCAAAGAATTTGTGTCATTAAAAAATGTTCAATTTATTGCTTCAACTGTAATTGAAGTAGTTTGATTTGGTTGTATACATCATCTTTGGAAGTAGTGGTGGCAGATTGTCCAATCAGATACCTCAGCTTTGAAAGTACTGATCCATGCTCCTGGATATCATTGTCGGACGAGTTGAACACTCTGTTTGTGATTTGATGTTTCATCTCTTCAGACTTGATGGCAGCAGTTGCAATGATTGTCTTGGGGAGATCAGCAATTCTTGCAACATTGAGACCATAACTATTCTTGGCAGGTCCCCTAGTGACCTGGTAGAGGAACACAACATTTGGAATTTGGTCTCCTCCATCAGTCTTTTCCTCCATGAATCTCATATGATAGTTGGATACATTGTTGGGGTAGTGTGTCTCTAGTTCGGCCAACAATGGATAATGTGTGACAAACAGACAGTAGCACTTGAGTCTCTCCACGATATATTTGAGTGATGCATAGGCCAGTGACACTCCGTCATGCGTAGAGGTACCTCTACCCAACTCGTCCAGGATTACCAGTGATCGTGATGTAGCCTCGCGGAGGATTGACGATGTCTCTTGCAACTCGACAAAGAATGTTGAGCTTCCCTTCTCAATGTTGTCCCTGGCTCCCATCCTCGTGTAAATGGCATCGACCACGCCTAGCTTACAGCTCTGTGCAGGGACAAATGATCCAATCTGTGCCATGATAACAATGAGTGATGTCTGTCGAATGAATGAGGACTTTCCACCCATGTTTGGACCAGTGATAATCATTGCTCGCTCACCATCCGATTTGAGATTGACAGAGTTTGGAACATATGTTCCATCACCCAGTAGTTGTTCGACGATTGGATGACGACCCTCAACAATCTCAATGCCACTCTCCTCTGTAAACTGTGGACGCACGTATCCACTCTGACATCCAAGTTTGGCCAACGAATATAGACAGTCAAGGTTGGCCATCTTGCTGATCATATTTGAGAATAGTGAATAGTCATTTGAGAACTTGCTGTAAAGTGATATGCAAGTCAGTGATATTGTACATTTGTGTGCGTGTTTGTTGTTGATGATACATACCCAAGGAAGTCTAACCATGCCTCCTTTGCATTGATGGTAAGCTTCTCCCTGTTCTGGGCCAGTACCTTGAGCAATTGAATGATCTCGGGCGTATGATACCTGGCAAACTTGGTTGTGGTGTTCTCTTTGATCCACTCCTTGGGCACTGGCTTAAAGTTGAGAGGCAACTCAATCAAGTACTCTAGGTTGTTTTTTGGCTGGTGCAAGTACTCCAAAGTTGGCTTGTTCAACTCCTTGCTAACCTTCTTCAAGTGTTGCTTCAACTGTTCCTCCACCTTGGCAATGCTCTGTTTGTACTTTGATTAGTGAATGAACGGTGAACAATGAGTGGAGCATGCATACCTCTTTGGTCTCCTTTATCTTGGGATAGACAGTGTCATCAGTCCACAATGTATCCATCTCGTTCTTGACAGCGTTCTGATGGAATATTGATGTGAGGAAGAAGTCCAATCGCTCCTGGAACAACAGATTAGAGTTGACAATGTTCTTGCCATTATTGATCGTTGTGCTGTCCGTGGCAAATATATCCTGTAGTAGTTTGGACTTGAACTGATGAAGCTTTCCAACACCCATCAAATCAGATAGCCTACAAGTTGTGTGAGTCTGTGTGAGTGATGGAAGATGGTCAATCAAAGCAAGTTAACTTACTTTTGGAATGACTTCATGGTGCTGATAAAGTCCTTTGGCTGGCATTGTGCCTTGTAATATATCTTGGAGAGGTTCCTTTGGAGATCAGGTATTGAGCTCTTTAGGAAGTTGGTGAGTGTCTCGATTGCTGGTGTTCCAAATCCTTGGATGATCTCTTGTACTGCATCCTGTCTCTCAACAATCAAACTAATCAATGGTTAGTGTTTGATTGATTGATCAATATACTCTGTGATCACATACTCTGTTCTCATCAATGGTTTGCAGATCCATTCGACAAACAGTCGTCTTCCTGCAATCGTTTGTGTCTTGTTCATCACCCAGTACAATGATCCTTTCTCCTTCTTGTTCCATTCATTCGCCAATATCTAAACAATAATGTAGGATATTAATATGTATGAGTATGAGTCGAATTGTACAATCATACCTCTAGGTTCTCAATTGTGGAGTGTGGCAGGATGAGATGGTTGGACTTTGTGAATGCTTTGAAGTTACTGGCAAGGTTGAACACTGAGGAGAATTGAATGAATTCTTTGAGATAGCTGAGTTGGATTGATAGACACACCAATTGTCCACGTTCCATCTTCCTGATCATTGGAAGCACACCGGTGGGATCTTCACCACTCTCGTAATACTCAATCATTGTGCTGAGTGCAGTGTCATAGTCGTAGAGCTCCTGCTTCATCGTCTGTACCCTAACATTGTTCAGCTTACAATATGTCTTGATGCACTGTTTGAATGGAATGGAGTGGAGTAAGCATGTGTGTTTCTATCATCAATGATGATGATGGATAGTTACCTTCTTGGTCAAATTGGTAAGGTTCCACTTTGGTTGTTGAGAACCATCTGACATGTCTGCTGCTGTTCCACTCTGGTCTGGTGGCAGCAACACCTCGGATGGCTTCAAATGTGTCAGCCTGGTCTCGAGATGAGTCCTTAGCAGGTCATCTTGGAATGTATCATATATGATCTCACCAGTACTGATTGATACAGCCTGTCCATGACATTGAATGAATGAGTAAGTATGATTGCCATGTTGGTCTTGTTTCCACCAACTTACAATGAATGAGATGGAGGTCCTTTGGCTATCCTTTGTCTCCTCAACAAAGGCAACCAAGTAGTTTGGTGATACATTCGATGGATCATTCTCATTGACGTCAACTGATGGATGGAATGAGAGTGAGTTAGTGAGTGGGACTGCATCAATGAAGTGTGCAATACCTACCATCATCAACGAATGTAGATGTTGTGTATACTCTGGTCAGCTTGCGATCGAATGGCTGAGAGCGAGAGGTTGACAACTGTTTGAGTGCAGCGGTCTCGACTTGTTCGACGACACCAACCTTGTAGCCGGCATGTACCAAACGACGAAGATGGAAATGAAGTCGTTGCACTGGTATGCTTGCATTGAGAAAGTTCTTTGCCACATAACTATAGATGTTCAACACCTTGTTGGCCACCTCTGCATCTGCTCCAAAGAACCTGATTGATTGATTGAGTGCGTGAGTGAGTGAAGGTCTATGATGATGCACGGCTCACTGGTACACCTTACTTAAACTTATAGCCAACCTCGACCATGAGCACTGTGTCTGGATGACTCTTCTTGAGTGCTACCACTTGCTGCTCCAATGGGGTGTAGCTGACCTTGGCCGTCTTTTTGGCCGCTGGCTTCTTCTTCTTCTTGGAGTCATTGTCATCTTCTTCGTCGTCGCCTCCCTCTTCCTCACCCTCCAGCTGACCAGATGTGGCTCGCTTGATGGCCTCCTGTCGCATAAAGGCCACTGTATCCAATCCCTTCATCAGCCTGGCCTTTGCCTTGTTGTCATTCTTGAACACTGGTGTACCTGGAGGCAGTGTCACCTTGCCACCAGCAATCACTCTGGCAGGTGTCTGTTGTGCCTGGTCCCCTGTGTCCTTGGATGATGTGTCGTCGAGTGAGATCAAGTCGTCCAAGGTGTCTTTGCCATCCTCTTGAGTTGGCTCATCATCCTCCTCCACTCCTTCATCCATTATATGATCATCATCAGACTCTGGTTCCTCATCTGATGGCTCATAGTCATCATCACTATCCTTCTTCTTCCTCTTCTTGCCAAGGACAGAGTTGTTCTTGTTGTTGTTGCGGTTGTTGTTTGACTTCTTCTTGGACAATGGTACATCTTCATCGTCGTCCTCTTCATCGCTGATGTCGGGCATGACAACATCAACCCTCTTGACTATTCTTCTTCCACTGCTTGACATTGTGACAGTTGCAGGCTTGTCTGGACTCTTCAACTCCATACTAGCTTTGATTGATCTTGACTTTGGTGATAATGATGATGTAGTAGCAGTTGATGTTGCAGCTGACCTAGTTGTTGTTGTTGTCTTTGATTTGTTTACAGCAGGTACAAAGTCCTCATCATCTTCATCATCAAAGATGTCATCCTTCTGCTTCTTTGTAACATTGGATATCGCAGTCGTAGAAGTTGTGGAAGTAGATATCTTTGACTGAGCTGCTGTAGTAGTAGATGTGTTACTCTGGTCAGGTGTCTGCTTGGCAACCAAGAATCCAGTCAGAGTTGACTGCTTTGGATCAGAGGTAGCATTGGATGCTGTGAATGATTTAGGTAGTCTTAATCGTCTACTCATCTCGTTAATGTTGTTGTTGGTGTTGGCGATCTATATTCATCTAATAAATGGAACAAACATATCCAATACTATACCATCAAGTGTCAGTCAGAGTTGGTTCACAATTCATAAAAGAATGGCGCCATTCTCGGAAATTGAATCCACCCCTCAACTCACATGGACAACTAACTCTTTACACCCACCTAGGTGGGTGTTATCTCAATCATAACAATGTTTATTGCAACAATTACTATTACTATATATCTACCAACTATCCATTCTTTAAAACTTGGAAATCAATTTAAATGACCACGTTTACCAAACCATACTAATCAATCCTGAGACGACCAATAACTTATAATTGCCCACCCATTATCATTGATGGTTGACGAAAGTTGCCCAAAGACTTGATAATGTAATAATACCAAATTGAGAGGTAATGAATACACCTGTTTAATTGTTCGCTTAGGATTCCAAGCGTATGCAAACATTTTCACCCTATGCGATCTACCGTTTGATCATAAAAATACGAGTCTTGGGAATCAAAGCGAAACCATCCGTGTGTGTCTTTTCAAAAGTGTCACAACTTCTATAAATAACCATTTTTGGTATTCATTCAATCATCAATCAAACAATAACAAATAATAACAAAGAAACAAACTAACAAATAATAATCAATTCAATTAATAATTATATTTATATTTACTTAAATAATAATGGGAGCATACGATAATAATAATAATAATATTAATAATAATTATCGAGATATGGATGTTAAATCCAACGATGATGGTAGATCATCACTTGGAAGGTGTTGGCATGAACTGTGTGCAGTACTAAAGATGGCAGTACCAGTGACATTGTATAATGCAATGATGCATATTCTACCAATTACAATCAGTTTGGTAGTAGTTGGATATTGGATACCAACTCAATCAGATAATAGTCCCATATGGGAGGATCAATATGTACCAATGGTAAACTCAATGATATGGTTATACGGTATTGGAGCCCTAGTATTTGCCATGCTCAACACTCTAGTGATACTCATTCGTCGAGCCATCCAAAGTGGCAACACCTACGAAGTCGGCACCCTACTCCAACGATCAATAATATTCACGACTGTACTCACTTTTGTTCAAGGTATATTTGTTCAACTTCAATCAATTAATAACTTCATTCTTGATATTAACATTCCTTCAAAAATAGTTGGTGTATCGATTGGATATAATAACTTTGATCCACATGTATTTAAGACTAGTTATGTATACATGAATATATTGCTGCCAGGTCTATGGTTCTACAATATTTCAGTGTGTCTTCATAAGTTCTTGGAGGGACAAGGAAAGATTAATCATTGCCTCATCATATCAGCAGTATTCCTGGTCCTTGACACTCTCCTTACCATATTCTTTGTTTATGGAGTTGGTAGTTTCAAAGGCTACGGTATCAATGGTGCTGCCATCGCAAATACCATTAGCGTATGTAATCAATCGATCACTCAATCAATCACTTAATCACTCAAATTCCAATATTAACTCAATCAATTTTATTATATAGAGAGGAATGTTATTCTTTATTTCGCTAGGATATATTATGATTGCCAAGTTCAACTGTGATGTATGGAATGGATGGTCAAAGGATTGTTTGAGTGCCAAGGGTGTTAGAGAATACTTGGGACTTGCCTGGCCAGAGGTACTCGAGGCATTCTACCTTGAGATGGCATTGGTAGTCATCTACACCGTTTCAAGTTGGGAATATGTTAGTTTTAACATTGCTTTGGCTGTATTCCAACCATTGTTCGGTCTGTCCATTGCACTCCAAGACAGAATCAGCAAGAACATGCAAAAGTCAAACATTCATAAGGCTTCACGTGCAGCATGGGTCACCATCGGATTTGGATTTGTCTATATCATCGTCGCCGGAGGAATCATTTTGTTGGCCACATACTTCAAAGTCAGCACCACACAAAGATATAACTACAATACCTTCCTACTCAATACCAATCCATATGTTTTGGAAGCATCATATGGTGTAATGATGATGGTCGAGGGAGTCCTTAGAGCTGTTGGTAGATACAAGACTGGAATCATCCCATCATTCATTGGAATCTATGTCATTGCATTGACATTCATCCTCTCAGTAGTCATCATCGAAGGATCATACCTGTTCCTCTTTGGTGTACCAATTGGATTTGTATCAATGTCCATTTGTGTCCTCCTATACCTACTGATCGTCAATTGGAAGAAGTTCTCAATTAACAATCAATCATCATCATCATCATCGAATGTGTAAATATATTTACAAACTTTAATAAATTATTATGTATTAATTATCTGTCTACATTCCAATACTCGTTCAAATACTTTGGCTGAACTGTCTCGACAAAGTTCTTCCTCCATTGTTTGATGAACTTTTGGATGCCTTCGTCTCCACCGGCCAACACCTTGTCCATCACCAACTTCTCATGTGGCACATAGTTCTCATTCTTGCTCTTTGGATTGCTCTCGATCAATGCGATCAGATCCTCTTCCAACAGCTCTGTCTTTTCCAAGTGCTCCAACACCTCCTTCTTCATCTGATCCAACTTGTCTGCTGGTACATTTGGTTTCTTCTTTGGTAAATATGGTGTTGTCTTTGTAGTCTTTGTCGTAGTCGTCGTCGATGTCGTAGATGTAGTTGATGTCGACTTCATTGACTCGTCCTCGACCTCCTCATCGACATCGACTGCCACCATCACCGTAGCAGGTGGTAGTTCTTTGGCCACCTTATCAGCGGCGGCTGACTGCTTGGCCTTGTCACCATAATAGTATCCATAGAGGATGATGGCATGCTTGGACATGCGTAGAATGGTACGATCGAGGACATAGTTCTGAGTGGTGTCAATTGGCACGTTGTACATGTTGGAGATCATCAACTTCATAATGCTAAGTCTCTTGTTCATGGTGAAGTGGCACTGACAGCAGAGGATGACGACATCGTGAGATGAGTGACTCTTGACGTCCAGTGGCAGGTACTGACGATATGAATGTGGTACGATTGAGTGGCGCAGGATCTTCTTGGTTGTGCCACACACAACACACTTGTTCTCCTTGTTGCTCAAGTAGTACTTGTCGTTGGCGTGACCGTTTCCCTTTGGATTGAACGTCAACTTGATAGACAATGGGTTATCGCCTGTGATCTCGGCCAGTCCACGGTCAACGTACCAAGCGACCTTCTTCTTGCTGACATTGCACAGCAGCTCTCCCTCTGGGCTGAACATCAGACAGTTGTCATAGAGTACTCTGTCGTCTGGCACAGTGAAACTGTTTGTAGACTTGATCTTGCCATTGCTGCTGCCACTACTACTACTACTACCATTACTGTTGCCCTTGTCCTTGACTTTGAATGTGGCGTTGACATAGGGTCGACAAAAGTCCATGGCCGACGGCGATGGGTTGGGTGGCTGGACACGAGAGCGGTACGTCTGGAGGAGACGCTCAAAGATGGCGTGTCCCAACCATGCATCGCTGGCCGCATAATGAGTCTGTTCGTCGGTCAACTGCTTGAGTTCCCAGTGGCTGCAACGAATGTGGTGGCTCTTATCAACGTTGGCGTTCAACGCAGACATGGCAAGGCTGGACAATCCATTGCCAGCAAAGTTGGTGACCTTTGCCAATGGGACCAGATCGACGCAACCCATGACAATTGTTCCAAAGTTCTTGAATATAGTCATGGCGTCCTGACTGATGGCCACTCCCACCTTGAGTATCCTTGCGTCGTTCAAGATGCCCGCCAAGGCCTTTGGGAAGCGATCCATGTGCAGGCATTGAAAGACAAATGCTTCGTCTCTGGTACTGAGTTGTATGATAGCCACTCTTGGTCCTCCAAAGCCATGAGATGATGACGAAGATGGGGTAGATGAACCCTCATGCAAGTTCTCATGTGACCACTCGGCATCAAGTCCAAGCACAGCATTGTCCAATGCTTCAACACTCGTGTCTCCTTCAATTAGTCGTTGGGGCAATGGTGATGACACATCTTCCATATGCTCGCCCAGTAGCGGTAGGTTCAGGCTGGCCAGGATAGAGTTGTGAAGTTTGGTCATCAAGCGATCGGCTTCATCAGCAGAGTCAATAACATGTATCTTTACATTTGATGGCAATGTAAAGTATGGTTGTTGTTGATGATGATGATGTTTCTTATGACCATGTTGTTGTTGTTGTTGTTGATTATCTTGTTTATCATCCTGTTTCTTTGGACCATATCGTTTGTATATCATCCACATTAAGTAGATGGTGGCAAGGCCTCCAGCGGCAGTTCTTCCAACAAGTCTCCATGACTGTGGCGTTAATGATGTATTCATTGTTTGTTTGTTTGTATTCTTGTTAATATTGTGTTATAACAATAAGTATTCATTCAAGTTAAGATTATATTACTGCTGAATGCATTGCTCACAATTCTTCGCATTTGTTTCTCATTCAAATTCAGCAACTCGACGAAAAGTGAATGAAAGTAACTTGATAACTTGTGAGTGTGCCTTTTGGAATGATGACACGACCTTGGTTCGTTCTCAATCTATGTCTGACAAGATCAATGTGGATGGATCGATGATGAGTCGGATCGGATATATGTTGAATATACCTGTTGCCATGATCCATTACATCTGCTATATTACTATGCTCTGTACTTTGTTTATTCTATATTGTGTTGTTGATTAACTTAAATATTTAAACTCTGTTGATTGCTTGATTTACAATTTGTCCTACAAGATATGACTGTGCCATTCCCTTGACCTTCTTTCGTGCATCTATTGTTGTTTGGATTGATTGATTGGTTAGTAGTTATCCTTGGACCAAGAGTGATATAGTTTGTGGACAAACATACCTTTGGCACACTTTATATATCCAAACACGTTGACAGCTGAAAGACTGAGGCAGACGAAGCAAACGATCAGCCAGCCAAATGACAGACGAAGTAGAGAGATGATGCTAAAGATTGTTAGCAGGCCCCAGATCAATGGTGTACCAATAACACCGACCCAAAACAGGAATGACTCTGATTGATTGATCTGACTCTTGTTCTGTATGATTGTGATGTGAATGGAGTATCAGTATCGATGTGTACATGATGCTATCCTGTCATGTATGTTCGATGTCGTACTTCTAATGATTCAAAGACCCATTGATCTGAGCCATCGGGCTTGATCTCATTCCACCATCGCAGTCCGACTAGTAGACGACCAGTGACATTCTTGACGGTCCAGAAATCGAATGCTGCGCACAGTGTAATGATAATGAATGAGATGACAAAGCCGATGCCAACCAGCGACGCCAACAGATATAGTACGATGGCGCACACCTTGAAGAAGAAATGGAAGAACACCGCTACCGGGTGTTTCTGTGCAGGTTGTGGTGCGGCCTGATCTGAAGTCGTCTGAAATGGTGCATCGACTGCTGCTGCTGGCTCCTCATCCTGGAATGGTGAATACTATTTATAATCATATCATCCACATTGAGTTAGCTATATATCCATCATCATCATCGAGTATCCGTATCATTCATTCATTCATTCAATATATTGATTCGTCCTGCGCATACCTTCATCATTCTTGATCGTCAATTTGTGATGATTATGTGTAATAATAATAATAATAATAATAATGAATGAAATGAAGTAGTACTTTGACAATGAGATAGAGATAAATAAAGAGATAGAGAGAGAGAGTTGTTGTGTGCCTCTACTTAGCCTGTTTGCCTTCAAATATGTTTGTTTATTATTATTATTTGGGGTTGTTTGGTGTGTGAATGAAAGGGGAGGAAGTGATCATGGTGCACATTTATTAACAAACACACACTCTTCAAAATTCATTTTCTCACACGACAGGGTCAGCCCGCGATAACAAGGACTGCATCTATGCCAGCTGGCAACCTGGGCAACAAGATGTCAATGAATATAATGTCAATCATGATAATAATGCTAGCATTATATATGTATGCTTGGAAAAGGATGAGTATTATGTTGTTATTGTCGAGTAAGAGTTGGGGAAAGATCGGACATTGACGGTCGTGTTGGATGGATAAGTGTCGGTCGCAAAGGAAGGAAGGGAGAGGTTGGGGAAGACTAGGGCTTTGGCGATATTGACTACTACTAGTACGACGTATCTTGGGATGAATGATGGTGAGGCTTGAGGAGGAGGGTGATACCGAGCATCTGAATTAACATTTGTCGGGAACCTGTTTGTTAACGTTGAGGATTGGAATAGGGTAGGGCAGGATAGGGCAAGGGGGACAGGACAAGGAAGCCGGATGAGATGGATCACATCTAGTCCTTTGTGTCCATGTCCCTACCTATCATCATTAACACTACTCTCTCTTCTCATTGAGAAGTATTGTGTTGACTCCTACTCCCTACTCCTACATCTGATGACTCTCTCCAAAGGTGGTGGTGATGGCCTCCCTAGTGAATCCTCATTGTGAAGTGTTGTTGTTGCTGTTTGAAATCACAGTCGTCCCTCAAGTACTCAATCGTCGGTGGTGATCCTCTTTTCCTTGTGTTGTTGTTGTGTTGATTGTGTTGTCTTGTTGTGTCTGTCTGTCTGTCTGTTGGTTTGGGTTGGGTTGTAGTTGCTGTTGCTGCTGCCGCTGCTGTTTCGTCGTGTGGCACGCAGCACGTGCGGATTAGATGGTCGGGTGAGGCGCAACGTACTGGTGGTGGTTGTTGTGGGTCGAGCGAGCGAGGTGGAGTCTAATAATAATAATGATGAACGGTCACATGATGATGGTGATGGTGATGAAGTAGGCAATCACATGATGAGGCAGTTTGGCTTCTTCTTGCTCTTGTAGTTCTTGAGATATTGGATCTGCTTGATATTGATCGAGCCTCTTCTCTTCTCACGAATGTACTCCACGGCCTGCAGAGGGTTCATGCCCGACTCAATGAGGGCAATGGCCACCAACACAGGCGCTCTTCCAAGTCCTGCGACGCAATGTACGCCAACCGTCTGTTTATCATCCTTGCTGTTAATTCCAAAAAGAACGTAAGAGTTAGTGATCAATGTCAACCATCAAACAAACACAAACTACTAAGATGATGAGAACCTACTTGTATGATTCTTTCAATATCCTCAACCAGTTGTCGACCACTGAATCGGATGGCGCACCACCATCTGGGAAGGGCATATCATGTACCTGTATGCCGACTGACTGAAGTGGCTCAGTCGAGTAGGTTGGATCGCATGCTCTTACTAAATGTGTTACACCGTATTTCTTAAGCTCCTATTTATATTTAAATAGTTTGATTGATCGATTGAGTTAATATATATATAAATAAGTTATTTGTATTTGCTATAAATATACATACGTTTATATATAATGGTAGATTGTCGTCGTTTGGAGCGTCAAAGATGAGGAATCTATGTGTTGTGCTCTCAACCAAGGAGGCTGGATTTGGAAGTGTGCTTCGAGGTCCAGTCATGATTATCTTACATCCTCTTCAAGTGCGTGTGATAGTGTTACTACTGATGCTGATGAGCTTCTTCTTCTTCTTCTTCTCTTCTACTGTTGTCGTTGTTATTGTTGTTGTTGTTTGTTATTGTCGACTGTTCGTTCACACTTCACTTTCTATTTATCTATCTGCTCTGCTACTCCAATTCTTTCTTTGTTATATGTTATGTTATGATTGTTAATAACAAGTAGTAATAGTAGTAAATGTACTCTATCTATCTATCTATCTCTTTGTACGAACAACAACAATTGAATTATTATTAAGAGTGAATATGAATGAGTGAGTGAGGGAGTGGAGTTGTGTGTTTAGTTGATGGGGGAGTTAGGAAGAGTGTGAGGATTGAGTCAAGATGTGCGAACGTTTGAGAAAGAAAGGCATTCACGATAAAAAAATTAAAATTAGAATTGTGTGTTTTTTAGGTCTTTTTGTGCGAGTTGCAGGTTGTGTGCAAACCGGGTGTGTTTGGTGTGTGTGAGGTAATGTTGTCAACTACCCAGGGAGGAGGTCAGATGACATCAATCTTGTAACAAGGGTCTTCAACGAAACACAACACCGCCAATGTCCTCAATAGGAAGTGTTTGGTGACGATCGAAATATGACCTGTGAAGTGTAGTTGATTGATTCGGATGACTCCCACTTGGAAGTCAAAGACTCTCAATGTTGATTAATTAATTAATTGATTAATTGATTAAATACACACTCTTGAATCCAGGGATTCCAAATGTCGTCAGCATAATAATTATATAATATTAAATATGATTGATTGATAATTGAAGAATGATTTAATGAATGAATGGTTGGAGGAATCACAACATCATCATTGTTGTTTGGAGGTTGTGTTTGATGTGGTGTTGTTACATCAATGGAACATGTTGTTATTGAATCTTGATCATCTGTTCATTCAACACCACATCTTGGGGGTGATTGAGTGTGATTGAATGTGATTGAGCGGGGGTAGTTTAGATCTCATTCATTCCTTAGATGTTAAATATTTATATTTATTATATTATAATATTAGAACTTCATTGGCTTTAGGTATTAATGACATCTTATAAAAGGCTGGATGGGCCTCTGTGTAGCATATGGATCGCACTTTGTAAAGTTTCTGGCCCTTGGTATGAGTCGATTGTGGTTGAAGTCCCAGGTGTAGTCTCATTGCTTGTCCATCCTCCCCCTTATAATGCATTGTTGTTGAGAACCATTTGATATCACTCGATGGCATGGATGATGAAGATGCACTTCCAACATTGCTGTTGCCTTGAAGGTCAACAATGATTGATCGATGTGTAAACACTGGTGGAGCACTCAATTGTCTGTCGAGGACTACACATGATGGCTTTGTTCTATCATTTGACCAACACTTGCTGCTTGGTCTAAAGTCCCAGAGTGTTCGCACTATACTCGCATTCAGTGGTTCCTTCATCAATCTGAGTGTGCTGCCATTCCTCACGCCATCAGCTGATGACGATCCAATCACAAGTAGATAACTGAGGTCAGAGTTGATCGCTGCAAAGTGACAAGCCTCCTCAACCAGATGTCCATCGACTGGAAAGCTCTCCTGTCCATTCTCACATGTTGACTGAAGTGTGAGCAGTCTGTCACACATTGAGAGATCTCTTGCCGCCCACACACAGTATCCTTGTGTGAGTGGACACTCCACCACCTCCACGACCTCCTCTTTGTTCTTGGGCTTTGCCTTCTTGACGTCAAGGATCAGAGTTGAGGTCCAATTGTTGCCATTCTCACGAACAAGACAAGTGAACTTTCTAAAGAATGAACCATATCCAAACAATGTAAGATGATGTGCTCCAGTCCAATCCAATGCACTTTCCTTGTATAGTGAGTCCACAGTTGGTCCAACAAGAATGGCTGCAACACAACCTGGATTGGCACGCCAATTGATCCATGTCCTAAACTGATTGGCCTCCAGCGCTGTCCTTGGTATCAACATAGGTGTCCATGCTCTGCAACCCATTGTTTGAACAGTGTCCCATATCGCCTGCCATTGACATCTACAAATGAAGTTTGTAGATGGACCATGTTCGCCAACTGCATGCTGGGTTGTGGTCCAGAGTGGTCTCTTCTCATCCTTTTGGAACGTCCATCTTTGTTCTTGAGGACATACATTGCAATGTCTCATGGGATGATCTGGAGACGCATGCATTGAGTCCTCAAAGTAGACCAATGCAATCTTTGATGTTCTCATCTTGATGCTCTCCTTCGAGGTCTTCTTGTGGATGTTGCCTGGGCCCAACATGACATGTGAGGGGCGGTTGGGGATGGCCTCGAACGCGCATGCCCATTTTACAATGCCAGGCTCGCCAAGTAGTCCAACAACAATCACACAGCCAAAGCCAATCCATGGGTAGCCACCGGGGAGACGGGCGCACCAACATGCGCCACACACACAGATGGCAAAGATCCAGCGTTGTAGAGGCGCCCACCACCATATGCCAGGCTTGTACTGAAGTGTCTTGAACCTCTTGCCACCGCCAAAGCCACAGAATCCCCTCCAGAATGCGTCGCGGAATGCAGCATATATGTCCAGCACATGGACCAACAGTACAAAGCCGGATACTGAACTGGCGGCAATCAGCAAGCCCAGGGGTACATCTGAAGGCTGGGCATTATCTCTATTCTTATACCTAAGTACAGTGATTGCTGTCCATATACCAATCATACACAGCAACAACACATCACTCAAGTTCTCTGGTGTATTCCACTGACTTATCTTTCTCTCTTTGTTGTTATTGTTGGCACCCTCTTCAATTGAATCATTGTTGTTGTTATTGTTGTTTAGTGATGATCTATCTATTATGATTGTTGTTGTACTATTACTATTATTACTATTATGTTGTTGTTGATAGTTGTCAAGAATCAACATGTCTTGATCTTTATCCTCTTGTGTCATGATGTATTGTTATAACAATTAGAATTAGAATACAACAACTAAATGTATTTATAAACATGTTGTTCGATGTTGATGGAAATAGAAGAGGTTGTTTATGATAACATAATGTTATAAATAAACACTGTTGTTTATGTAACCATTCTTGAACAATAATAAACGATTACTTCTGCAAAGATTGATTGATCGATGTTGTTTTGATTAGTAACCCATTGTTGGGGAGGGCAACTAGTGTAAAGTGGGTGGTTCTAGTCCGTTGAGGTCCACAACGGAAATAGTGGTGTTGGGTTCGTGTTTGGGTGTGTCCCGACGACGAAACATCGCTTGGCCGGCTAGGACTTGATACCAATGGTAACATTTAATCGTTAAAAGAGAGCCAATGAACAAAATGGTGACATTGATTTAGATATCACTAACATGTCTATAGTTATATTTATGATCATCCTTGAAACCAAAGAATACTTATGATCATTCATTGACCGGTCATGTCATCTTCATGAATGATGAGATGTAACCAACGATGTTCCTTTTCGGAAATGGAACTCGTGAACGTGAACCACTATGTGAGAACAATCTGAACTACAAGTCTTGTTCAAATGAAGTGAAGTGAAGTTGAATGTTGTAATTGAATACATACCATATGCTTGCATACTACCGTTGCTGTCCTGTTGTTCTATCTACTGCATCAAGGAAGTTCTTCAAATCATATACAACAACAATAAGAACAATAGCTACAATGGCAGAGTTTAACATTGATACAGAGAAGAAAGAGTTGGTCGAGAGATACAATGCGATAAAGTCAAAGATCACTGATCCCAATGCAAGTTGTTGTTCATTGCACTCATGATTACATCGCACATTACTTACACTGGACTGCGACACGCATCTAATGAATGACCATAGGTCAGCTTGGTGGCTGTTAGCAAGACGAAGCCAACATGGATGATACGTACTTTATATGAGCATGGACATCGTCACTTTGGTGAGAACTATGTATGTTGTTTACTATATAATATACTCACAGACAATGACTCAACTAACAACGTGATGTTAAGATACAAGAACTAGAGAGTAAGTCAGTTGAGTTGGGAGACTTGTCAGACATTAAATGGCACTTCATTGGAAGCATTCAATCAAATAAGATCAAAGGATTATGTACAGTGAAGCATCTTTCAATGGTGGAGACTGTTGAGAAACAGTCCACTGCAGACAGGTTCGCCAAATCATGGATGGACGAGCATTCACAACTACCAATAATGGTTCAAGTTAATACAAGTGGTGAGGAGTGTAAGTGTTACAGTATAGCATCCAATCATTCGCAAGAGACTGACATATCCTTCAACATCATTAGCCAAGAGCGGCTGTGACCCAAGCCAAGTTGTGGACATTGTCCGACATATCATTAGTAATGATGTATGCAAGAAGTCACTAAAGTTCGCTGGTCTGATGACCATTGGCAGTCCAAACGCAGGTGTAGACCAGCCTGATTTCAAGGTATTGTCAATTATGATGATGCATCTCATCTCCAGTCACATGACTGCATTCCTTTATTAACAATCCATCGATATCATCATAATCTTAGAAACTGGTACAATGTCGAGAGATGATTGTCCAACAGCTTGGACTGCCTTTGGATGCAATTGGATTGAGCATGGGAATGAGCCACGACTACATTGATGCTGTAAGTGTTGTTGGAGTCTCTGTCCATGATCATGGATGGAAAAGTATGATGACGTGCACCACCAACTAACACCAATGATTGATTGATTGGATGATCTAGATCAAATTCGGAAGCACCAGTGTAAGAGTTGGAAGCGCGATATTCGGAGAGAGGGACTATTCGAAGCATTGATTGAATGAATGAATGGACTGGCCTGATAAATGACGGACATAGGATTGCAATGTCCATCCATCAGGATATAGATAGTAAATAAATATATAAGTTATACAACAATGTTGCACTAATGGAAGCTGAATGATGATGTTGCTGTATGACCATTCAGTTGATTGATCAATTGATGGTATTCTCCTGTGATGAGAACAGGTCTTTGAACAATTGTAGCACTCCATGTGGATTGGATGATATGATCTCCAGTCGACGCTCGGGCGTCTCACCATCAATAGGCGTGAAGACAATCTCCAACTTGTTCTCCTCCAGAACTGTCACTGTCTTTATATTTGGTACAGGTATCTCGCATGCAATCTACAATCCAACGAATGTTAATATCATTGATTGATCATGTATATCTAGCTCATCCATGTGCAACATACCTTGTTCGAGAGTGAGTTGATTCTAATGACCTCTTTGACTTGGATGGTGATCAGTGCACAGTCTTTGCCAATTGTGATTGGGATGACAACTTTGCCACCTTGATCCAGAAGTGTGATGATCATTCTCTTGCGCGCCAACTTTAACTCGGCAATCCAGCGTTCCATCTGATCCTTGGTCTCGGTGTTGAAGAAGTACTCGAGTCCACGAGCGTCTGCAAGACTGAAGCACCAGTCTAGTCCGTCCAGACTGCGTTGTTTGATGACGCGACACGATGACACGAGCAAGTATATCGAGCCCAGAGGCTTCTGTGGTGGGTCCTCCTTGTAGTAGATCAATGATGTTGGGGTCAGAGTGCAATAGCGTCGCTCCCACCACTTGTTCACTCTGGTCTTCCTCAGCCAACCCGTGAGGATGGCCTGCTTGTCGGGCTGATGTGTCACACTCGACGTGCTGATGGCCACGTTCTGTGCCGTGTATGTACGCTCGACGGCGTTGGTAATGGAGCTGAGCCACTTGAGACGGTCCTCCTGCGAGTCGAACAGCAGGACAAACTCGCGTTCATTGTCAATCAGCAGACTGATGCCGTTGACCTGCTTGACCTCCTCGATGGGGCCCTCGTCGCCCGAGCCAAAGCAGTCTGAGTCATCGTTGCTCCAGCCTGGATCGCCAAGCACCGTGACAGTGCGGCCTCGAATCTGTGTCAGCATCTTGTCGCTCATCTCTGACAGATGCGTCAGATCAATGATGCCCTTGAGCGTGGTGATCTTGTTGTTGTGTGGTGGCGCAGTGAAGTAGCGCAGTTTGTTGCCCTGTAGTTGGCACCATCTTCGCTTGGTGTTCTTGAAGTAGTGGCCCTTCTCGCCACGCTTCAGCAACCAGCCCATGACTGGATCCTCCTTGACCTTGTCGGCCAGATGTATGGCGTAGCTGAGTGAGTAGGCCCAGTTCTCCAAGTCCTTCAACATATCGCTCTTGCTACCGACGATGCAGCTCATGAATGTGAACTCTACGCCATTCGGCGTGACCAGTGCAATCGAGTCTATATCAACATCGCCCGTCTCCACATCCTTCCAAGTCTTATTATTTGGTGGTGCCATTCCAATTGACCAATGTTGATATATCGGCGTGATGATTCCACCATGCTTTAGTTTACATCCACGTAAGAATATCTGTCCCTTCATACATGTCATATCGTTTACATCTTTCTGTTGTATTATCAATCGATTGATTGAATGAGTCAATGTTGAATGAATGAGGCCTCAGTTCTGAACAACACACTTACAGGTTGTCTATCAAAGTATGATAGAAAGTCAGTTTGAAGTATGAACCAACGTTGTTTCAGACTTCCAACTCTCTCAAGTGATGGTAGTGATGACTGGTATCCTGATCCACTACATGACCTATCTAATAGATTACGTTCCTTCTCATCCATGTCCCTTGATCCCCATTTCTTCAGCCATCCACTTGTTATTATCAAGTCCATATTATACTCTATATACCTTTGTGCCCCTATCTCTAAATATTATCTATCTATCTATCTTTATATCTTTGCGAATGAATGTATTGGCATCAACAACTGGTGTGTGATGGACCATCACCAAAACCACACCTCACACAATGATCAGAAAGGGTTCGACTCGGCCCATTCATGACCTTTGAAGATTCTTTTTCCTTTTGCGATTGTTGGATTGGACAAAGTACTACCATTAACATGAACAACCAACAAGAGAATACAATGTAATGTAAGGTGTTGGTTGATGAGTGAATCATAACTTATTAGAAATGAATAAATGAATGATTGATATCATTTATCTCTATCAATGTCTCTTAGACCATCAATGCATGCTCTACCAATCCGTTATTTATTGGTAGATGGTCCAGAGCTATAAATATCCAAACTACAATCAATCATTCAATTCAATGCCGTGACGTCAAAGTCCTTCTTTTCAATTCTTCAGGCTTCTTTGACGATTTGAGTCACTTTCCGAAAGAAGAACCATGATCAAACAAATATCCAATAATACTCGTGGTGGGGAGGTAGTGATCATTGGAGGATTGGATGATGCATGACCGGGTTGTAGTCTACAAGACATTGAATAGGGCCGACCTATGCTCAATCAATCAATCAACCTTGTTATAATATATATTTATATACATAATACTATAAAATAATAACAAACAATGTTTAGACAACATCAATCAATGATGTTGTTGACAACAATGTTGTTGATGATGTCAATGTCTGGCACCAGCATTGTAAATGCAAAGCCAAAGTACATCATTAACAATAATAATGACAACCACAAGGTTGGAATACACATTCGTCCAATAGCCAACGTTAGCTGCGAGCAACCAGCCACTTCATTCTACGATCTGGAGTTCCCATTGCTCAATGGCACCAACGTCCACTTCTCTCAGTTCAAGAACAAGGTGGTGTTGTTGCTCAACACTGCGTCATTCTGAGGAATGACCTACATGTCCTACACCGGGTGCTACGACCTCGTCGAGTACTTTGGAACCAAGGACTTTGCCATTCTTGGCTTCCCCTGCGCTCAATTCATGAACCAAGAGCCAGGTCACAATGAGGAGGAGATCCTCAACTGTTTGAAATACGTCAATCCAGCAGATGGATATGAACCCAACTTCCTATTATTCCAAAAGGTATGTTATCAACTGTAATCAATCAATCACGTGACACTAACATGGTATCGTTCCATCATGTAGTCCACTGTCAATGGAGAATTGGACACTATCAACCCTATATTCAGATGGCTAAAGAGTGGATGTGGCTTGCCTACCACGACTATTGGACTCACTTCAATGATCAGCTGGACACCCGTTATGTACAATGACATTGAGTGGAACTTTGGAAAGTTCCTCGTGTCAAAGTCTGGCAGACTGGTACGCAGGTACACTCCAGAGACACTACCTCAGTTCCTTATGGAGGATATCGCCAACTTGATCAAGGCACCAAACTAGACTAGACCAGTCCCCATCACACACACATTGACAATCATTCGATCGATCATTGACTGGATAGACTACACATAATGGTATCATTGCTCGTGGCATCTTGGGAATGTTCAAAGATTGGAATATTTGGACTATGATCATTTAGTGTCAGAGTTGGAATAACAACAAAACAATGAAGGATATGACATTGGAAACATGTAATGACAGAGTATCTAGTTAATCGCATCGACGATTTAGATACTTTTGATAATCTTGTTACCAACATCCATCATTGATTCCAATATATGCTCTGACACTGGTTCAAACTTGATCACCATTTCATCCAATCGACAAAGACATGACCATCATACACAAACAATGTAGCCATCATACAACCATTCAATCAATTCAATCGATCAATCGATCAATCAATGAATCATTCTTATATTATAACTCAACTAAACATTTATTATTCTGATTCTATGAGGAAGACGCATCTTCATCATTACGGCTAGCTTCGGAAACAAAATGTTCGTAGAACCTCATCTCCATCTCCCAACGTTTATGGTCGACGATGGCCAAGTTCTCATAGGCTTTTCTTTGTTCTTCACCTAGTTGCTCATACATCTTTGTCAACAAGTTGTTCAACTCGTCCATGTTGAGAGTTGGATTCTCTTCCATGATACCTGGACTCTTCTCCTTTGAGAACATTTGCAAGCCTGTTAAGAATGGACTTGGCGGTACGACCTTTCTATACCTCTTACATCTACTCTTTAACTCTTTCTTTATGAGTTGAGTTGACACTTTAGTCAAGTCTTATTTGTTTGAAGTTAATAAGATGGTAATTTGAATGATTGATTCATTGATTGATTAAACATACCTGGTACTGGAGGTGGATATTTCTCAATCAATGCATTGGCAATTCCAGGTGGAATACCATGAGCAATCAGTATACCAATGGATGAATTCATTATATATCCAGGATCAATGAAGCACTCATCAATTCTCTCCATTACATTATGGTCTTTTGGAACTTTGAGATGGCAATTAATTAGAAAATCCTTGACCTCATCCATCCCAGTCATTGGTGATGGTGATGATGATGTAGTAGTTGTTGTAGTAGTTGTAGACATAATATTATATTGCCTCATCAAGTCAATGAATGAAATTGAAATGAACAAATGTCCAATCCAATAATAATAATATTAATGGTCCAGATTAGGACATTACATGTTTGTTTCAGATTTATGATCGATCAGTTATTGGTTTATTATTATTGATGTTATTACTAATATGATTGCTGCTTGCTAGTTGTTATATACACTTGCTTGCTTGCCTTGCTTTACTAGCGAGCCAGGTTTGTTTGTTTGGTAGTTGTTATACTTTGTTGTTGATGTTGATGGATGTATCCTCCTTATAATAAATAGGAAAAGGGTATTAATTGTTTGTTTGATTGATTGATTGGTAGTTGTTGTAGTTGTTATATACGCTTTGATATACAATTAATAGTAATATATAATATATATGATTGTGATTGATTGATTGAGTGTGAGTGAGCTAAGGTGAAGCTGATGGAAGAGAAAGGATGCTTGGATTGGTGAATGAATAATATATAAGTGCGATATGTTGATGATATGGGCTCATATGTAGTCAGGGGAGGTGATGGAGCTCCATCCATGTGTTGTTGTATGTTGTGTTTACATCCTGACCTTTCTCTTCTTGATGGACTTCTCGAGTTTGGCCTCCTTCTTCTTGGCGCGCTCAATTGATTTGTTGAGCTCCTCGATCGTGGTTGTCAGGTGATTGGCATGCTGCATCAGACTGACGCGATAGCGCTCCCACTTCTCCAACGACGTGTCGTTGAGCATCAGTCCACGCACGGCCGCCTTGCCAAACAGGTCCATCTTGGCGAGTGCCGCCTGCCGTGACTGGTTGTTCTTCTCGTCGTCCCACTGGGGCATGCGCACGACGTATGGCAGCGCCTGCACGACGTACTGCAGCAGCGTGGACCAGGCCGACTTCTCCTTGAACTCCTCGCCATTCTCGACGAGCTGCTTCTTAAAGTTGTTGAGGCCGCTCTTGACGCGGTTGTACGAGTTGTTGTCAAAGACAAACTTGTTGTTGGGGAACAGCTTGTTGTACTTCTTCTGCAGCGAATCCAGCTCCTGCGTGTACTCGGTGAGGTCGGGTGGCGGCATGGCGTTCTCAAACTCCTGCTGGAGGTCTGGGTGCATCGTCTGGAAGTACTGCGAGCACAGTGCCACCAGCTGCTCCTTGGTGAGCGAGTTGAGCGAGCCCTCTAGCGGACTGCCCTTTTTCTTGGACGACGATGAGGATGACGAGCCGCCCTTTTTCGACTTGACCTTGGGTGAGGTCAGCTGCGAGTTGCCCGCGGCGGCTTCGTCGACGCCTGTGTTGGCCATGCCGGCGTTGCCTTGGAGCAGTGTCTGTTCATTAAGATCGTAGACAGGTGAAGGGAGCGAGTCGGACGACGATGGTATCTGAGATATCGACTGTGACAATATGGCAGACAATGTCGTCTGTTGTTGAGGTGGACTGCTCATATTTTGTATCTGTTGTTGTTGGTGTGCTTGTTGTTGATGATGTTGTTGCTGTTGTTGTTGATGTGCTTGTTGTTGAGCATGTTGTTGTGCTTGTTGATGTAACTGTTGAGCATGTTGTTGCTGTTGGTGATGATGTTGCTGTTGCTGTTGCTGATGGTGATGTTGTTGTTGCTGTTGCTGGAGTTGATGATGTTGATGCTGTTGTTGTTGATGTTGGAGTGAGAGGGAACTTTGATGTGACGGCAACGACAGAGGCGGGAGCGAGTTTGAAAGGGTGGCCGGGGACGATGTGGGCGAGATCAAAGGTGGCGAGCCCAATGGTCCAAGACCGGCGTGCATCGGGTTGATGTCCATGATGTTGGGCAACTGATGATGGTGGTGGTAGAGGCCTTGATTGTTCATTGTAGGCATACTATTGTAGTAACCCATGTGGATGGGTGGTGCCATTCCTGGCAACATGAAGCTTTGTGAGTTCATTCCTAGATTGGTTAATTGATTGATTGAGTGTGATCATAGGGTTAGCATATATAAGTACAAGGCTGCGCGCTCAGTACCTAGCCTAGGCCAGGTACGAACACCCCCTCACCGATTGTCTTCACTCCAACAGACACGACAACAATAACAACAACCACATCAACCGCAAATGGTCAATGGTGGAATGGGGAGACAAGGATGTCGGTGGGTGAGAGGGGAGGGAGGGGATGACACTTACGTCAAAGAAGAAGAAGAAGAAAGGATGTCAACTCTCTCAGTCAGGGTATGAGAAGGAGGAAGGTGCTATGTACTGTTCTTGTTTTGCGGTTGATTGCAATCAAAGTAGGGCAATGCTCGCTGGTTATGGTGATGATCGTGTACTGTTGTTGGTGGTCCACCAAAGAGGAGAGTTGTTGTGTTGTGGATTACTGAGATGAGTGATTTGTTGTGATCGTTGTCGCAATGTTGCACGCAACCTAGGCCAACTGGGTCACTGAGTGAGGAGAATTGAGTGTTTGAGTGAATCGAGGTGAGTTGAGTGAGCTGGACACTGGGGAAAGTAAGCCTGTTATGTTGAATAAATCAATCAAAGACTAAAAATATAATTAAAAAAAACAACAGTGATTGAGTGATGGTGTGTGAGAGTGTGTGTGAGGGTGAGTGAGTGAATGTGATGATGTTGCTGATGAATTGAAGATGTGTTGTTGATTGATTGATGGTTGGGCCAATTCCTTTGGGTTATCTGTATGATTAAGTTATTGAAAAAAAATAGGTGGCAACCTTGCAAGCTTCACCTCTAAAGACAACAACACTAAAACTGAAAGAGAGGTAGATAGAGAGAGAGAGGTAAGAGGGGAGGAGAAACTGATGAGATTGTAAACAAGATTTGTACACTCTCTGGCTGGTTGTTTTGCTGACTGAGTGACTGACTGGATGATGCTGAACTGATCTGATGTAATAAGTGAGAGAGTGAGTGGCTTGCTGGTTGGTTGCATGTATTGATTAATGGATCAACAACAACAACAAACAGATAAGGCTGCAAAGGGTTGTGCACTGCAAACTTTAAAAGTGTGATTGGATGGAGCGTCGCTCACCCACCCCCACCCTTAATTTAAACAACAGTTGATATCGTCAACAACCCTCCCTCGCCCACATAAACGATATCTTGTGTGCTTAATTATTAATCAACCACTTTCAATTAATTGATCAAGTGTTAATGTCTGTTGGAATGGTGTGTGTGTGTGTGGGTGTGTGTGTGTGAAGAGAGAAAGAGAGAACCACAGATACCACTAAAGTTATAATTTATACTAGTTATACAACAATGATAATCCACATCACCATTACTAATATATACCCTTTAATGTGTATTGGTGGTGTTCAAAGAGATACATACAGAGTCAATCAATTTAGTGTTTGTGTGTTTGAATGAATAAGTGCTGTGCAGGAATGAGCGAGAGGTACTTGGTTTGGTAGTTATAAACATAAACATAAACATATTTATAACAACGGTATACTTAATAAAGAGGGGGGGTTGTGTGGTGGAAAGAGAAGAGTGGTGGTTGTAAGTAATTGATTGATCAGCAAGCAGTCAGGCATACTGGCAGGCAGGATCAATACACTACCCTTACCTTTGTTACAGTACATTGACATCACCCTCCCCCTACTGAGGTATACCAACCTTGATCAGACATACAAATACACACATTATTATTATTATTCACTTCCAGTAGCCATCCATAGTAGTAGTAGGAACTTCAAAGATAGATATTGTTTATTGTTTGTGTGATCACCTTCCTAAAGTAGAGACAAACGTCGACATGTGATGGGACTTCCTTCCTCAAACACCTCATGGGGCGGGGCTTTGCCCTGCAAATTTAATATCTGGCTTCTTTGGAGAATTGAAATTGAAGAACAATCTATCTCTTTCTGAATCATCCTCCCATCTTTCAATGTCGCCCAAGACAACGACACCATAGCGTCTAAGTTTGAATGAATGATCGAGATTGATTGAATGAATCATTGAGCGCAGGTCCTTAACGACCTGCCGAACTGTCATAGTTCAATCAATCAATCATTAATTTATACATATATATATTCAAACATGGAACATCAATCAGCATCAATCAGAAGACTTGCGGTAACAGGTAACCACTTGGCAGCCAATGAGACATCGGCACCAGCACCAGCCCCCACCGCCTCACCCACTTTGGAAATTGCAAGGACCTTTGACCCAAAGGCTTTGCATGACTACTTGTTCCCCTATCATAAACAGATGCGCCAGGACCTGTATCAAGACTGGCTCGGCGCAGACTTCCTCACGACAGCCCCATTCGGCCTGTCACACATGGAGGAGCGCGACCTCACCATTCGCCAGTTCTTTGAGCTCAACAAGCTGTCCAAGAAGTACGGCATCACCGTGATGGACTTTATCAACGACCCGACCAAACTGGCCACATGGATCCAGTGCTATCGTCTGCGCAACCCATCCGTCTCCACATTGTTTGGCGTTCACTACGCTCTGTTTGGCGCGTCAATCGTCTACTTGGGCTCGGACGAGCAACGCGAGCGTTACATCAAGCATGTTGAGGACCTCACCATGCTGGGCTGCTTCGGTCTCACTGAGCTGGGCCACGGCTCCAACGTACAGCGCATCGAGACACAAGCCTACTACGACCACGCCACCTCGCAGTTTGTACTTCACTCACCAACGATCACTTCGCAAAAGTACTTCATTGGAGGCGCTGGCCAGCATGCCAAGTGGGCCGTCATCTTTGCCCAGCTGCGAGTTGGCGAGAAGTATGAGGGCGTGCACGCCTTTATCTGCCGCATCCGTAATGAGGACGGTACTGTGTGTCCAGGCGTCAAGCTAGCCGACTGTGGCCACAAGATGGCACTCAACGGTGTGGACAATGGCCGCATCATGTTTGTCAACTACTGCGTGCCACGCGACCAACTGCTCTGTCGCCACGGCGGTGTCAACAAAGCCGGTGTCTACGAGAGCCCCATCAACCCAGCTGGCAAGCGATTCGCACACAACATTGGCGCTCTGGTCATTGGCCGTTACTTCATCGCGCTGGCGTGCGTCTCATTCTCGATCGTCTCACTGCTTGGCGCACTGCGCTACTCATTCACTCGTCGCCAGTTTGGAGAGGACCACTGCGAGCGCCAGATCATCTCTTACAGCGTGCACCAGCGCCGTCTGATCCCTCACCTGGCCTTCACCTACGCTGTGCACTTTGGCAATGAGCACCTGCTCCGCCTTCTCGCGGTAAAAGACACCGCTCAGCGCAAGGACAAGGAGATCCACATCTACGCGTCGGGTCTCAAGGCTTACGGCTCATGGCAGAACCGTGACACTCTTCAGAGCTGTCGTGAGGCGTGTGGAGGCCAGGGCTTCCTCAGCATCAACATGATTGGCCAGTTCAAATCCGAGACCGAGATCTACACGACATTCGAGGGCGACAACGTGCTGATGTACCAGCAGGTCACCAAGTTCATCCTTAGCGAGAACCGCAAGCACCCCGTGCCCGAGTACGTTGTGCCATCGGATGCCGCACGCCAGAACGTCGACCCCGCGTACCTGCGCTCAGTGGAGTTCCTCACTGGCGCGCTCCGATCCCGTCTGCATCACCAGACGCCCTTTGTCACCAACAAGTTGATCGAGTCTGTTGGCATGGGCAAGCCAGTGTTGGACGCCTGGAACGACAATGGCAGCTACATCCTCAACTTGGGCGTGTTCTACACTGAGAACTTCATGTTGGAGCGCTTCATCGATGCCGTGGCCAAGTGTCCCGACGCACAACAACGCAATGCCCTTTCATCCTTGCTCTCACTTATGGGTCTTTGCATCATTGAGCGCGACAGCTGGTTCGTCAAGCATCAATACATCTCTGTGGAGCAATCCGATGCCATCAGCAATGAGATCGATCTCCTCTGCAAGGAGATCACACCACATGCCGTATCCCTCTGCGAGGGCTTTGGTTTCGACCAGAACTGTCTCGGTCCAATTGGAAATGACTGGATTCGTCACAATGAATACTAAGTTATCTTTGTATTTTTGTACATGTACAATCAATCAACCAATCATCCAATCAAACAAATAAATGATCATGTATGCATGCGGTTGTCCATACCTTACATCCAAATGTCTGGAGGTCGTCAATGAATGAATGAATGAATGAATGAATAATCAATTGAATGTTGTTTAAACAAATAAATATCTAGTTATAGTGTGATTGATGGATGAAGGCATGCCTCAAACGAGACTTTGCCCATTTCCGTGGAGAGACACACCATCACCCCTATTGAAGGTGTTATTTACCCTTCAATCTTACTCTCTCTCTAACTATTGATGATCCTCGATCACCCCCAACTAACAAGGTGCGCACACACAATCAAACAAACACACTCTATCCATGCCTCATCATCCATTGGTACATTATGAGGTGGAAGGGTAAGGGTAAGATGGTCATCATCAAAGAGGTGCACGCGTACACCTAAGTGCGAGGATACATAACATAATATAACTCTGTTGTTGTTTGTGTGTTTATTATTACAATGATCTAGAGAGAGATAGGAGAGAGAGAGAGAGTGTATATACTTCAAAGAGATAGAGATATAGAGATAAAGAGATATATAGATATAGAGATAGAGAGAGAGAGGATGTCATCTTGGATAGCCAGTGTCATTGATAGATCGATAGAGTATATAAAGTCAATTGATAAATCGGGAGGCGCACCAGATACTTCAAACTTCACAGATGCTCAGAATAGAGCTTTGCACTATGTGTTGGTGGCAGGCGCCTGTCTGACTCTATTGGGCACTGGCTCTGTATTGTTGGCCTACCTACTGAAATACTTTAAAAAGGAGAATAACGACGATGAGGATGGTGCCAAGATGATATTCTTCATCACATTGCCTGGATTCCTTGGTTCATTCTTCTGGTTCCCCTGGTTACCAGAGAGAAACGATGCCTTCTGTCTAGTTCAAGCTTCTGGCATTCAATTCTTTGAACTATCATCATTAGTATGGTCATCATGTATAGTATTCATATTCCTTAGAGTAATATGTATGTATTATCAATCATGGAACTACCAATCACTCATTCAATCATTCAATCAATCATTCCAAACATCTTGGAATTATTCCATCACTCCACTCACTCAATCATTCATTCATTCACTCTCCAACCACCCTGCCCATCGATCACAATCAATCATTCCAACCATCTTGGATTCATCCAGCCACCACTCCACTCATCAATCAATCAATCAATCACATGATCACATCACTCGCTAACTAATCCAACTTGAACAACAACAACAAATAGCCAAACAGAGTATAAAGAGAGCATCAGGGAAGTTTGATAATAAGTTGGTATACTTCCATTTGGTCAGTTGGGGCCTGCCACTGGCCTCGGTGTTGCCATGTTTGGCATTTGGCTTGTACGGTCCAACACCAGGACCATGGTGCTGGATAACGAATCCAGGCCTTCGCCTGATAATCTATGGCGTTGGCGCAATTGTAGTGTTCACCAACGTCTCCATCTATGTATACCTGCGGCTCAAGTTGAACAAACGCGAAGGCTATGAATTCATCACCAAACGATTCTTTAGCTTCATCTTTGCCTCACTGATATGCCAGGCGCCATCGCTTGGCAATCGCATCCAGAACTACATCGACCCGACCAACCCGATCTTTGCGCTCTACATGATACAGACGATATTCCAGCCGATACAAGGCTTCATCAACGCCGTCATCTACGGCTTTGTCGACGAGTACTTCTGGTCGACGTATGCCGACCTGTTCTACTTTTGTCGACCGATCAACCAGCTGCTGGGTGGCGCCAAGTCCACTGAGCACCTTGTCGTCAACGGAGTCAAAGGCCAGCAAAACAACAAGCCTCCTCCCACTGAGGACACCTACCTCTTTGTTGACTATGGCGATGGCGATGGCGACGACAGTCAGCGCTACAACTTTATCAAACACATGGATGGTTCCATCAACTAATGAATGAATGAATGAGAGATATACCCTCCTCGGGTATAGCAATCGACTACACTCTCTAAAGTGAGTGTTCCTTGTATCTATCCCCTGCTTTGCTTACTTGCTTAACTAAGTTGATTGAGTTGAGTACAGTGATTTATTCCAAAGCTTCTTCTTCCATTGATCCAAGGGAGTGATTGATTGAGTTGATTGAGTAGTGAGTGGAGTGAAGTGATGAGCTGAGTCAGTTGTGGCTCAGCCACATCATCCTGGAGTTGGTTGTGGCGTCTCTCCGGAGAGTCCAAAGAAGAGGAGGGGACTAGTATGGTTTGATGTTGTAGTTGGTCTAGAAGATAAACTTCCTCTTTGATTGCTTCTCATGTGACAAGAGATATTTATCGATAGAGTCGTTCAAAATCGATGAGCTCTTGGTAATTCCACTCAAATATGTTACAAGCAATACATCATTGTACTCCTGTTGATTGTTGGTTGTGTTGGATGAATGAGTTAGGTGATTGAGCGATGAGTGATCGATCATGGATAAAGATATAACTTACTTGTAAGAAGGATGTCTCAAACTCTTGACTGTTGATCGCTGGAAGAGTGTTGCACAGACTGGCAATCTGTCTCATGATGCCATGATCGTATGGGATAGACTTTTCCTTGACACCCTGGAGGTACTTGCGCAGTAGCTTGACACGAATGTTCATCATTGAGATGGCGTTATGAGTAGTGAACAGATGAGTAGTAACTAAATTGATCAATCCAAGGTTGTTAGTACTCTCTTGTGGCGCCACATTCATGTATGATACATACGAGATGAACCTTCGGAACCTGATGGAGTGACCTTGGCAATGTGATTGACACCGATTCTCTCAGCCTCTCCAGTTTGAATCTTGTAGGTGGTCTTGACAAAGAGCGTGGCAGGCTGTTCGTTGACAATGTGCACCTCAGACTCAAAGATCTTGATTGGCAAATCCTTTGAGTTCTGTTGCTCAGACGATGTGTCCAGCATCAAGAAGATTGGCGACTCATTCAACTCCATCACCAACTTGTGAATGGCCATATCCTCATGGCGCACGGTTGAGCCAGTCGAGTACCATCCCAACAGCTCATAAGTTGGGAACACCTTCTTGACTGGTTATGTATGAGTGATTGATTGATTGAGTGAGTGAGTGAGTGATGTTTGTTGACCATCAAGGGTAGAGACATACATTGATCAGACTTCTTCCTGAGATACTCGAGGTCTAGTTGCTTGTTGGGCGTGAGCACCAACTCGAAGGAGTTACATATCTCTATGATTCTACCGTTTTGAAGACCGAGCAATACACCGATGACCTGTGGCACATTCTCTGGGTTGTGACACTCGACCTTGGCACGAGTGTGATGATCAGAGATATTGATGATCACCAAAGGATGAAGATCAACCTGTAGACCAGTTGCATTTGCACTCTTCTCCAATATAAGTTGATTATGTTGGATGTTTGTAGTGGTGGCAGCTGTTGATGTAGTTGTTGTAGTCTGTGCTGGTGGTTGTGACATGTCTCCTTCTCAATATATGTGTATGTATAAATATATATATGTATATGTATGTGTATGTAAGTAATACTTGAAGATGATGTTGACTTCAAATCAGATATTGAGGGCAATTTGGGGGTGATTGATGAACAGACCCTGTTCTTCTTTCTTTTTTCTTGAGGGTCAACCCTTGCCCTTGCCCTCGCCCTCACCCATAACTTCCCTCTTTCTTTTACCATAAGGATAATAACAGTGATCAATGATATAATATTATACCAAATATATATATATAATCACAATATGTTGTCAATCAATATGTGTATTAACCATTCTATCCATTTGAATCTATCAATTCCAAGAATAAAACGATCAAAGATGACCAAAACATGATGTCAGAGTTTTCAAAACAAACAAACAAACACCAAATCATTGGACTGAGTAAGTTCAATCAATGTACACCTGATCTGACTTGGTAATTATAGTAATAAGTACTTAGTATTAGTACTCATATATATATATATCATCATACTCATCATGGTATCAAGACTCTTTACATCTACAACAACATCAACATCATCATCGACTACAGGTGATGTTCATCGTTTACTGCGGCACTTGGTAACTGGTTGTCAGAGATACACTACTTCATCAACTTCATCATCATCACCATTTGGATTGGCAACATCACAATCATACAATGTACCATTGGAGAGTCATTCAACAACTCAATCACTGTTTGGAAGCAACAACAACAAGACGAGACATTATGTCACTGTGAAGCAATCACAACCTAACCTTGCCAAGGCCAAGGCTATTGAGGATGTGTATCAGAAGAAGACACCGACTGAACACGTACTACTTCGTCCAGACAGTTACATTGGAACTATTCAAACGATTGAGGATGATATGTGGGTACTTTCTCGCTCGGCTCTGGTTCACGACAAACCTGCAGCGGGCAAGAAGGAGAAAGAGAAAGAGACACCTTTATTCATACATTCAATCAAGGCCAAGTACATACCTGGTCTACTAAAGATATTCGATGAGATATTGGTCAATGCCGCCGACAACAAACAACGCGACAAGTCAATGACCTACATCAAGGTGGAGATTGACCCCGTGGCAGGATCGATCAGCATCGAGAACGATGGCAAGGGCATACCCGTGGCCATGCATCGCACTGAGAACGTCTACGTTGTCGAGATGGTCATGGGCAACCTGATGAGTGGCTCCAACTTTAACGACAGCGAGCTCAAGGTGGTTGGCGGCAGGAATGGCTTTGGCGCCAAGCTGACAAACATCTTCTCCACGCAGTTCGAGGTGGAGACCTACGACAAGTCCAACGGACTAAAGTATCGCCAGCGTTGGATGAACAATATGAGTGTACGAGAGGACCCCACCATCAGCAAGGCCAAGCTCGACCACGAGTACACTCGCATCAAGTTCACACCCGACCTCAAGAAGTTCCATCTCACCTCGCTCAAGGACGACGACATCCTGCGCCTGATGGAGAGACGTGTGTATGATATCGCCGGCTGCAACCCAGACCTCAAGATCTCGCTCAACGGTCGTCCGATCCAGCTCAACTTCCAGTCGTACGTCAAGCTGTACGAGCATCATCTGAGCAAGCAGCAGGAGAAGAACAAGGACAATGAGCAAGACAACTTTGTGTTTGGCGAGATTGGCGATCGATGGAGTATTGGCATTGGCACGAGCGACACAGGCCAGTTCACGCAGGTCAGTTTTGTTAATGGCATCAACACGCTCAAGGGTGGCGCACACGTCAACTTCATCGCCGACCAGCTGATCAGATACATTGCTGAGCGCATCAAGAAGAAGCATGCCGACCTCGAGGTGCGTCCCATGAACATTAAGCACCACCTCTCGCTGTTTGTCAACTGTCTGATTGACAACCCGTCGTTTGACTCGCAGACCAAGGAGACGCTGACCACCAAGGCAATCAACTTTGGATCGACGCCCGAGGTGCCTGAGAAGATGCTCGAGCAATTTGTTCGCCAGAGCAAGATCATTGACAAGATTGCCGGCTGGGTGTTGATGCGTCAGCAGGCCGAGCTAGTGCACGCGTCCACCACGAGGACGTCCAAGTCCACGCTGGCCAAGTCCATTCCAAAGCTTGACGATGCAAACTGGGCCGGTGGTGCCAAGAGCAACCAATGCACACTGATCATCACAGAGGGTGATTCTGCCAAGTCTCTGGCCGTCGCAGGTCTCAGCGTTCTTGGTCGTGACAAATATGGAGTGTTCCCCTTGCGTGGCAAGCTTTTGAACGTTCGCGATGTCGCCCCAAGACAGCTACTCAACAACGAAGAGATCAACAACTTGACCAACATCCTAGGTCTCTCGCACAAGATGAAGTATGAGTAAGTATTCTCCTTTTGTACAACCCTTGACCATCAATGAAGCGCACTAACATTGGCATCACAGCAATGAGCAAAACATCTCACAGCTTAGGTATGGCAAGGTGTTGCTGATGACTGATCAGGATAGCGATGGATCACATATCAAGGGCCTGTTCATCAACTTTATTCATTATTTCTGGCCAGAGTTGCTCAAGGCCAACTTCTTGGAGGAGTTTGTTACACCAATTATCAAGGCGAGCAAGCGCGATGAGAAGAAGGCATTCTTCACAATCAGTGATTACATCAACTGGTCAAAGACACTGCCCGAGAACACACTGAGGAGTTGGACGATCAAATACTACAAAGGTCTGGGTACCAACACTGCTGCCGAGGCCAAAGAGTACTTCTCCAACCTCAAGAAGCATATCATCAAGTTCCGCTGGTCCCCAGAGTCGGACAAGCTCATTGGAATGGCATTTAACAAGGACGCTGCCAGTGAGCGACAGGGCTGGCTGATGTCATCCGACGTGACACAGACTGTGGATCACTCAATCAAGGAGCTCTCATACTCGGACTTTATCAACAAGGAGCTGATCCATTTCAGTTGGGCAGCCAATCACAGATCAATCCCCTCAATCATGGACGGACTCAAGACTGGCCAGCGCAAGATCCTCTACGCCTGTTTCAAGAGGAAGCTCACCAGTGAGATCAAGGTGGCACAGCTCTCGGGCTACGTTGCCGAACACACTGCCTATCACCATGGCGAGCAATCTCTCTCGTCCACCATTGTCAAGATGGCGCAGGACTTTGTCGGCAGCAACAACATCCCGCTGTTGACACAGGGCGGTCAGTTTGGTACGCGTCTTCAGGGTGGTGACGACTCGGCCAGCCCAAGGTACATTTTCACAAGGCTCAGTCCTCTCACGCGACTCATCTTCAATGAGTTGGATGATGAGACTCTGAACTATCTCGAGGAGGACGGCGAGTCAATCCAGCCAGCGCACTATGCTCCCATCATTCCAATGTTGCTTGTTAATGGCAGCAGTGGAATCGGTGTTGGTATGTCCAACTCTGTACCCCTATACTCGCCCATCGACATCATAGATTACCTGCTCCTCAAGCTCGCCAATCAAAAGCACATGAAGAGTTTGATACCTTGGTATCGCGGATTCAAGGGCTCAGTGACCCATCATCAGAATTCATACAAGACTTGTGGTGTCATCAAGCCTGAAGGCAGGAGCATATTGATCATCAGCGATCTGCCAGTTGGCAAATGGACAACTGACTACAAACAGGTGTTGACCACATTGATAGAGGAGGACGTGATCAAGTCGTACACCGATGGAAACACAGAGAACACTGTTCACTTCACCATCAGTGTCAGTTACGAGCAGATGGAGTCATTGCAAAAGATGACAGAGAATGAGTTGATATCAATGTTCAAGTTGACATCACTTGTTCATCCCAATCTGGTGCTGTTTGGTGCCGATGGCCACATCAAGAAGTATGACACCGTGGAGCAGATCATTGATGACTTCTATACAGTGCGTCTGGAGTTGTACGCCAAGCGCAGGACTATCATGATGGAGAAGCTCAAGACACAGATTGACAAGCACAAGGTCACCAGCAACTTTATCCAGTTGATCGCATCTGGTCGCATCAAGATTGGTGGCGTCAGCAAGGACAAGATTATGAAGGATCTGGACGCCGTAGGATTCAAGCTGGAGGCGAATCAGGACCACGAAGCAACCTTCAACTATCTGTTCAACCTGCCAATTCTTGAGATGACCCAGGAGAAGATCGAATCACTCACCAACCAATACAAGAAGAAGGAGGAAGAGTACCGAGTGATCCAAGCTCAGACCCCTAACTCAATGTGGACAGGCGATCTACAACACTTGCGCGACACACTCCTCAAAGACAGCAGCTACAAGAGAGTATTGCCAGCCAGTATCCCGTCACCTGACGCCCCCAAGAAAAAGAGGGTCAGCAAGACGTCTGTAGTGTCCAAGTCTGCTGATGAAGTTGATGAATAAACACAACATCTGATTGAATGAATTAGGATCATTCCAACAACTGTCGGCTACACTTTATTCGTATTATTGAGGCTGGACATGTATCGGTTGATATCCTTTAGATCACAGCAATGTAACGATGGGAACTTGGACGACTGTTCAATGAGGATGCGGTTGCTGGTCAGCAGAATGACGTGCTTGTAGACAAACTGCTTGGAGATAAACAATGACTTGGACAATATCTCCTGTGCACTCTTTGGCGACTCCTCACGTATACTGATCAGTTTGCTGTTGTTGCTATGGGACATGATATCATCCAATCTCTGCTGGATTCTGTGATGGGGTTGGAGAGTTAGAGATGATGTTGGTTGGGGATCTACCCAAGTGTTCACATGGTACATACGTGGAGCTTTGATGAGAGAATGACTTTAGTTCATCCAGTGCGCCTTTGAATACCTGGATGGTCCATTGCTTTCCAATGGTCTTAAGATTGGATAGTAGTGGCACCAGTCGCTTCAGGAGCAGGTCGTTCTCGATCAACATATTATTGTCGACAATAATCAAACCTGTCTGTGGATATAAGATGGCATTTTGGAGTCCATTGATGTTGTTGTTGTTGTTGTTGATGGGCTTTGTTGTTGATGTTGTTGATGATGATGTGGAGGATGACTTGCTAACTAAATGTTCAAGATACTCTTGACCTTTGATAAAGTGAATGCCATCGGCACGACGGTAGTCGATCAGTCGCGGATGCTTTTGGTAGAGATCGGGCAAGTAGTTGGGTTCGATCACAAATAGATTAGAGTCAGCCTCCAGTGTGTTGGAGACTTGTGCACCGGCCTCAAGCAGAGACTTGACCAGTTGAGGCGATGTTAACTTGTCTCCATAGCCAAGGAAGCATATATGTTTGTCCTTGATGGTGATCACATTGTTGTTACTGTTGTTGCTGCCATTTGTGAATGGAGCATTGGGGATGTGAGATGAAGAGGAAGCTGGTGATGGGGAGGGTGAAGGCGAGGGTTTGGTGTCAGCTGACTTGAAGGTCGGCGTTGAGACCAAGGGCTTGCCAACGACGGGTTGTGTATCGGTAGAGGTGTGGACAATGCCAAAGAGCATGGTAGTGTCGCAGATCCATCCATAGGACATGCTCTCTTGGTAGGTGATCTGGTGTGCGAATATGTACAGATTCTTCTGTGAAGACACCTGGAGCAGACCAACCGTCTCGCTCCTCTTCAGTCTTAGTAGCAGATTGTAGTATGTTGATGTTGCTCCAATCGACTTCATGGAATGGTTTGACGAATGATTGTGATTGTGATTGGATACTCCATTGCGACCATGACTTGGTGATGTGCCATTGGTGTGGTCTGAGCACGCGGCGGCGGGTGGTGACACAGAAGAGAAGAATGGCTGGAGCAGCAACACTGATACGGGCAATTGATTCAATTGCAGGTTGGTGGCCAAAATGATCTGTTTGACCTCAAGTGGCAATGATTGAAGTTGTGACCTCTGGAACGTGAGACTTGAGCTCGATAGGTTCAACTTGATATCGACATCATTGAGTTTGATGATGTTCATCGTCGAGACAAACATGTCATCAAAGCTGATCCTGCCCTTCCAAAACACTTCATTGGTCAACTCTGACTTGGCTACCTTGGCCTCCTGTCCACTTCCACTGCCACTTCCACTGCTGCTGGTGTTAGGGTTGACCGATGTTGGCGCAGGTTGTTGGCTGTTGCTTGTGTTGGTGCTAGTGTTGAGGGGAGCGTGTTCATGCTTCACAGACGCGACTGGAACTGAGGATTGTGAGGTCTTGACAGACTGGAGTGTGGGCGTGGTGTGCTGGTGCTGTTGCTGTTGCTGTGGGGCTGGTAGTTGCGGGACCTGTGTCTGGGAATGTGGATGGTGATGATGGACACTGGGAGGTGATGGTTGCTTTGGAGGAGGATGATGTTGTTGTTGATGTTGCTGTGGAGGAGGATGTGCCTTTGATTGTGTGGCCAATGGCGCATGTGGAGCTGTTGCTGAAGCTGAAGACCTCTGCTGGGATGATGACAGAGCGGGAGACGAGTAGCCACCGCCAAGGTCCCATGATATATTCATACTGTTGTTGATTGAGGTTGTCGACTTGCTGTTGGGCACCATGTCCAGGATTGAGAATGAGGGGTCTATTTCCTCCTTTGATCCAGCTCGTACCAATTGAGTTCCACCAAAGTTTGTCGGCAACGATGATGCTGCAGGACTCTTCAACAATCGCTTCTCATTGACGATGCTTGGTGCCTTCTTTGGATGTTGTTGCGGAGTCTGTGGCTGTGGCTGTGGCTGTGGCAGAGGCTGAGTCGGTGTCTGTGTCTGTGCGACCACGGGTGGTGACTGGGGATGTGATGATTGTGATAGTTGCTGTGACTGTGGCTGTGGCTGGGATTGGACATTGCTACCATTGTTGCTGCCATTGTTGTTGTTGTTATTTACAGGGTTGGCGGTCATGGGACTAGTGCCAGTGATCATGGGGCTGCTGGGACTGCTGGTGTTACCACTGCCAGGGATGCTGTTGTGTGAGCTTGAGTGGCTCAATGACTTGGACATGGAGGGTTTCTTCAAAACCATCGATGGAGGATGCTTTGGTAGAGTTGATGTGGAGTTGCCCAACGAACTCGTCGTCGTTGTTGTAGTTGTTGTTGTTGATGTGTTGCTCGCACTGCTGCTTAGCTTCTTCTTCTCCTTCTCCTTGTCCTTGTTGACGTCCTTTGATGATGATCCTAAAACAGGTGATGTCTTGGTCATTGGTGGCGAGGATTTCTTCGAGGAGGTTGGTGGTGAGGAGTTCTCAACGCTCATGCCAGCTCCAGAGCCAGAGCCAGGGGTCTGTTGAGGAGGCGAGGTGGTGTGTTCGATAGTCTTGGTGATGGAGGAGATGGGCGGCGTCTGGGACATTCGCTTGCGTCTGATCATCACATCCAGATCCTCATCCTCGTCCTCCTCGGTGTTGATGTTGACGTCGGATAGATCTCCCCAGCGACAGTGATCACATACCCACTTGCCCTTGGGTATCTCCTCCAACTTGTATCTCAGACAATATGTGTGATATCCTCTTCCACAGCCATCCGTATCACAAAGTAGAATCTTGTCGTCGTCCGCGCCAGTCTTGCAGTTTGAACATGTGAGGTTGTTCAGCTCGTCGCTGTCCAGGCCCGACGAGTCGTCGTCCGACTCGCTGTCACTTCCACTACTGCTACTGCCACTTCCACTACGACTGCTGCCGCCGCTGCTGCTGCCACTGCTGCCACTCTTACTGTTGTTGCTCTTGTTGTTGTTGTTCTTGCTCTTTGTGTCCCTCTTGTTCTTGGTGCTCTTCTTGTTGCTCTTCTTTGGGGCGCGGTCATTATCGTCGTCGTCGCTCTCGATGATCTCGCCGTCGCTGCTACTTGAACTTTCGCTGTCACTGCCACTACCACTGTCGCTGCCACTCTCATCATCATCGTCGCCACTCTCGTCATCGTCGCTGCCGCGACGAACAATCTTTTTCTTGGTCGACAGACTCCTGCGTCGGACAAGTCCGCGGTTGGCTTTGCGCTCACGCTCTCGCTCGCGTGGGGACGCCTCGTGGTCCGAGGATGAGTGTCGCCTGGCTCTTTTCTTGACTCGCATCGATGATGATAATGAGGCTTTGCGTTCCATTTTGATCACGCAGTCCGGACAATTCCAATCGCCTCTTGTTGTGCGATTGGCGCCGCCTCCATTGGCCGCCAGAGATTCCAAGTCGTATGAACGATTACATCGATTACACTTGATCATATTATATTCGTTCTCCTCCTCCTATTTTATTATTAAATTTGATATTAATATATTTGGAATGATTATTATTCCAAGTTCAGATGCGTGTGATTGGACCATAGTGATTGGACATGAAAACGATCAAAAAAACGACCCTCTGTTTTTTTTTGACCCCACCCTGGGTCACGTGATCTGATCTGCCTTTTTTTTTCTGATCAAACCAATCAGAGAAACGAGGGGGTGGTGTGTTTGAGTATCTGGAATCATTCCACCCAGTCTCTCAAATACATGAATGACCTTTTTCGTTTCTTTTTTGTTTGTTTTAGGACGATCCAATCACCATGATCTTGTCATACACTGAACCTTGAACTTTGAATTTGTGAACTCACCATTGATTCATCATCATCCTCTTCATCACTGACGTCGTCGTCATCGTCCTCTATCTCTTTTCTCTTCATGGTTGTTATGAAGAAGTGAAGTGTACAGTGTGTATTGGTGGTGGCGTGTTTAAAAGGTCACGTCTTGACTTGTCCAGGCAATCTGATTCCAAAAAAAAAAAAAAGTATTTTATCCTGTGATTGATTGAATGATTGAATATCTATCGATTCCAGGATTGTAATATTTTTTCCTCTTCTTCTTCCTCAAGCCGCCCCCAAGTATTTGTTTGATTGAATGAATATCACTCACACCTCCGCTCACACTCACACCCACGACTTGGTAATTATATTAACTAATAATATAATAATAATATAATATTAATAAATATATATATAATAATAATATATCTATTTATCTCTTTCCTTATAAGTATATTTATGTATTTGTCATGTACATTAATGAAAATAAGTCCTGGGTGGTTTCTTACGAGCCAAATGAATGAACTCTGCGCCCACAAAGTTGTGGTGGTGTTCAAGTCAAAATTCATCATTAAAATAAAAACAAATGATAAAGTGGGTGGTGCGAACTTGTTCTACTTTTTGCATTATGGGATGAATTGGGGGAATGAACTTCCAATCTGATCGTTGACTGTATGTTTGATTAAATAAATAATAACATAATTAAAAGTATTACAACTCCATTCAATGACATCAATGATGTTGAGGATGGCGCACTATTTGGTCGATCGTACCAACATTTGAGGTTTGATGAAGAGAGGTTGGTGCCGAATGCTTCACGATATTGAGTCCACATGTTGTTGGAGAAGTCTGATACGTAGAATCCAAAGTTTACACTAGTACCATTGAGTTGGCCGTATCTGGGAGGTCCAGGTACACCGCCAGATGCTTGGAGTGAGATGGGGTCGGGCAGAGTCCATGTGCCATAGCTTACGTATCGATCAACATAGTTGAGGAATGGGTCAAAGTTGAAGGTACATTGGAGTTGGGGCATTAGGCGGAGGGAGAGTGCTGTTGACTTCCAAGCCATTGTTGTACAGCATGCTTGGTACGACCCGCCTGGTGTCTCGCCTCCATCGATGTAGCCGAATGGATCACGGCAGTCGCGTCCACCAGGACGATCAGCATTGAGTTGATTGTACCAATATCCATTGTCGTCACATTCTCTTCCCCACAAGGGGCGAGAGGCATTAACGCTCCAGTACACTTGTCCATCCTCGCCAAAGGTGTTGGGGGGCTTGCTTGCCAACTCTTTGGCAAGCGCATGGTCGCCCAACAACACGGACGCGAACACAATGGGTAACATTCGGCCACTGTTGATGCCACCATTGGCCGGCCATGTTATACCTTGTTTGAACATGCCAGCAAAGTCAATGCCAACTTGAATGTAATTGATCAGTAGCTTCCATTTCTGATCCAATGTCTCATTCATCATCAATCTCAAAACGGCATCACCAGTGTCTGACACGATATCTGCACCGTACGTAGCCATATTGAGTGATGGATGCATTGATGAGGAGTAGCTGATGTGATCGAGGTAGACACGTTGGAACCGTTCCTCCATGTATTGCAATGTGGGTGTCTGGTCCACTGAAGGCATGTCGATCTTGATCATGAAGTTGGTCTGCAGCTTGTCGGCTGAGTAGAACAACTTGTTTGGGCCATAGTAGTTGGGACGGAATGAGTCCTTTGGAGGGGGCTGGGCAAGCACCGTGAGTACAGATGCCGTGAGCAAGCAACCATAGTGTGCAGTACATCTGTTCTCATCAAGTTGAGAGATGGCCTTGACTATCGAGGAGCTGGGCGAGGCTGCGTAGGGCAAGGCTGGGGCGAGCGAGGCGTTAAAGTCGTAGATTGAATAGTCGAATGATTGTTGTTGTGGTTGATCAAGTAGTGCGGGATCATTCCATGGGTTGACCTGCCAACCATGTATTGAACCATTGAATGGCGGGTCGATTGAAGTGATGATCACATGACCACCATTCGTTTTTGGTGTAACCCAATAATCACCATTAACAAATGTGCCACATTGATAATCACTATCAAATGTGAATGTTATATTATATTGGGTGATCACTTTACATGTATCAGTAGTAGTAACATTGGCAACAACAATATATGATTGATTATAAATAAGTAATAATATAATTATTGTTGTTATTAATTTATACATTTTAATATTTGTATGTATCTTAGATGGAGATTAATAGATTGGATTGATGGTAATTCTATCCTCTAGCAGTGGAGTCGAGTGATGAACCCACGACGTTTCGTTCAAACAAAAATATCTTGATGAATCTGGAAAATTGAAGTTCCTTGGGAGCAAATGATTATCTGAATGACCCAATTAGGTAATTGAACAAAGTGGTCTATCAACCAATTAACTATTATAATAATTATATATAAGAATACATTATTAAATCATTCGTTACAAATACACTATGACACAGATACAAAATAAATATATGTTTAGATAAATATCATGTCTAATTCATCATTAAACTACACTATTCCACTCAATTATAAAAATATATTAACTCTTCTTATTGGAATAGGATTCAATGAAGAGGAGAAATATAGGATACTTTCAATTACTCCTCAAAGCGAAGAACAAGCCAGATTTCGAAATCAATATTTATCATTTGTATGAACAATTGAGTCCCAAGAAGAATTCTCTGGCTCCTCTACACTCTCACAATAAGTTTATAAATCAAATCACTTGGTGTTCTATGAAACAACCCTTTAGATTAGGAAGAACTTCCAATATACCTAACAATTTTTAATAAATTAGTAGTCAATACTATTAATATTATCACTCAACTCTCCCAGATTTATAATCTACCCTCTAGATTACTGAGGTTGATGATGACACTCTTTCAAATAGTGGGATGCAAACTCAACAGCTCTAAAGTTGGATGGTATCAATAGGCATTGTCATAGGTCTCGGAGTAATTCAATATGAATTCAACGATAATGATTCAACGACATATATATAAATTCTATAATTATTATTCGGTATTGATTGATTATTGATCAACAACTCCCAATAGAGTAGAATCTGATCAGATTGGATCACTGACTAGTCAGCTGACACTAATCATTCTCACTCACACTCTCGTCAATCAATTAGACACACACATGGTCAAGATAACATTAGTCAGTGACATTAGAAACAAGAATTATTAAGATTGTGATGTCATACCACCACCTCAAAGAGAGTGTAGAGGGTGACCCCACAACTTGTACAAGACGTCATCATCAATAACTCGTTGTTATCAGTATCCATAAAGTTATTGTTTATGGATTCTACTGTTAAAGATATGATGAATCATAAATTCATTATCTCTAATTATATAGAATAGATGGATTGATCAAAGAATTAATGATGTTACCGAATCACGTGTCCATATTAACCAAACCTTATAAATACTGCACCAATCAATCAATTCAAATCATCAATTCAATTAATCAATTAACTAATTAACTAACTTACCAATCAATTCAAAATGACCATCATCAGTATGTATAATTATCCTTACTTGTTGTTGTTGTTGTTGTCGTCGTCCTCGTCGTCGTCCCTCTTGTTGTAGGTAATTAATACTAATAATCATACACCAACACCATCAACAGAGTCTATGACCGCCCTCTCCTTCAACGCCTCTGCTATTAGCAATGGTTCAGTGTCCAGTGGAAGCATGAATGCCTTTGGCCAATCATCCAACAGCACATCGGGTGTTGTTGCCCAGATTGGTAAGAACCTTCAGCCAGCCATCGATGGTATTTTTGCCTCTGCCAATGCCACCCTTGCCACCGTCATCACCACCGTTGATGGTCTGGTCTCCTCGACAATTGGCCTCTAAATGCTCTGCTGTTGTACATTCACCTCATCTTGCCAACATTCACACTGTAACTTAATAAATTACTACAATCGAATGGACTGATTATCATCAGTCCGTCCAACTCCAATCCTCTGTCGACTTATTGATTGATTGATTGATTGAATGAATGATGATTGTTATTTCGAGAGTATATATCCTTATTGTCAATCCCGCCTACTACTTGGATGGGATACTTGGCGTTGGTTGGGGCACTCGACATTGATATGATCGTGACCTAATCTCTATGATGTATCTTCGCGACCTAGCCTGCACATGACAGACAGACATCATAATCGCCATCTACATCTACTCTGTTGGCTATATTATTGTGATATAAATCACAACACGTGTCTCTTCATTCACAATCTATTGGTACATATCAACAGTATTCTTCTTCTTGCTAAGTTGATTCTGTTGTTATTGTTGTTGTTGTTGTTGTATGTTTGATTAGTATGAATGAATGAATGATATGCTTTATGATCAATATACATACCATGAACTGCTTCTCTATGTTCTGATACTCATCGATCAAACAGTGTATTGAACCTTCAAGTGCTTGGATTGGTGTTGAGTGTGGATAAGTCTGTATCTTAATGTGAATGTTATGCTCTAGTGGATGTGGCATCTTATAGCCTGCAAACTTGACGTCAGGGTCACCGACCAACTGCCTATAGTATAGTATGTAAGTAGCGCACATGGTATTAGATAATCATCATCATCGTATCATTCTGATCACTCATTCAATCAATCAATCATACATTCTAATGAGGTTGCCAACAGTGTGATCCTCCTTTAATATAGTGAACAAACAAGCATTTGGTATTCTTGTGTCCTTTGTCATTGATATCCTATTGTTGTTGTTGGTGTCGTCGATGACGTTAAACGAGACTGTCAGTCAGTAAAGATATCATCCCATCCCTTTGATTATTGGTATGACATACTTCTTTGCGCCTTCAGGCAGCACGAAGAGTTCGAACCTATCAGGGGCATTCATTCCTCCTATCTATATATGTGTAATAATGTATTATCTGTTTGAAGTATGAATGAATGAATGTTCAGATTGATTTCACGAACTCCAATTTCTCACTTTATCTTCAATGTTGGGTGGGTGAGCCGCAAGTCGACTCTAAAGTGGATGGTAGTTTATTGACACCTTTAATGTTGGAGTTAGCAACACATGACCATGAGGATGATGATGATGGAATACTATATAATACTATACTATATATACAAGGTTGGTTGGTTGGTTGGTTGATTGGTAGGAAGGAGGGAAGATGGAAGATGTGTACAACGGGTTGTTGGAGAGGAAGAGAGAAGAGGAGAGGAGAGGAGAGACGCAAGTCGACATGCTGGCCAAGTTGTTAAATACTAATGATGCCAGGTGATGACGATGGAGTGGAGGGCAAGCTAGATAGATAGCTAGAAAGTTGATTGATTGAATGAAAGGTTTCTTAGACCATCTTGAAATAGTACAGTAATGAATATACAATGACTAGGAAGAGTGTGATCTCTGCTGTGATGATGATGTTGTTCAATTGTTGTTGGTATTGAATGTCTGCTGATACGTCCTTGGCCAAATCACTCTCTGACACACCCAATGTTCTCATCAATTTGGATGACGATGGATTGAATCCCAACAATGTCAAAGCCTTCTTCAATGCTCTCTTGTTTGAAAGTGCAATGCTCTCTATCAGCTTCCTCTTCTTAATATCTCTCAACTCTGATTCCTCCTGTTCTGCCTCTGTTATTGTATCCTCATCAACACCCAACACATTCATCAACTAAGATGATCATTAAGTTAGTCTCAATCACTCAATCAATCAATCAAAGTGACAAACATCAACTCATACCTTCTCCTTTGATAGGTTGAGACCCAGGGTTGACTGTGCCTTGCGTGTCTCTCTCTTGTTGATTGGTATTCTGTCTTTGGCAGCCATGCATGCTTGTTCTTGTTGCTCATCTTGTATCATCTTGTACTCTTGATCATCAATACCCAATGTCTTCTTTATCTTATCATCGGAAGGATTGAAGTCACCCAATACATCCATAACCTTCTTTATACTCTGTGGTCTCTGTTGTTGTGCCATCTCTATCTCTATCTATCTATCTATCTATCTATCTATCTATCTATCTATCTATCTATCTATCTATCTATCTATCTATCTATCTATCTATCTGTACAATAATAATAAAGTAAACAAATATATATTTGTAGATCGGGTGAGATCATCTAGATTCGAGTCAAAATGAACAAAACACTCTAATTTATTCAAAATTGGACACATTCTTTTGGGGATAATTGATCCAGAATAATAATTATTTTATAATAATAGAGAATCAACTCAGTTATTCACTCTCATCATCATAATATTCATCATACTCTAATTGAAATGTCCATATTCGAATTGCACCATCACGTTCCATTGTGATTATTGCCCATTTGGCATCCACCCATCTCAACTGGAAGTTGAAAGAGTCTCTGGACTCGATGTGGAAGGTGTGGACATTTGGAAATACAATTGGATTGAGGATATTCCTTGCTTGACCGACAATGTATGATATCGCATCACTTGCACTGATAGGATCATCATCTCTTGCTATCTTGATATGTAGTTGACCTATCCTTATCATTGTGAATGGCTCGTCACTGCTACATCCATGTGCCTCCAGACAAGATATATAGTCCCCACCATGTATTGTCAATCTCTCGAATGTGGACTCAGAGTTGAGCTTCAGACATTGACCCAAGTTCCAAAGACCAAGATGTTTGACTCCACTGGGCATTGTGATCGGACCAGTTTGTTGTGATGGTAGGTCGCACAAAGATAGATGAGTGATTGATGATGGGAACACATCTGGATCGATGGGCTGCTCCAAGAACTCAAATGACAGACTGGTGAGTGATGAAGGGAATGATCCAATCTCTATTGTGCTGTCCAAAGGACCGCCAAAGGATAGCTTTGTGATTGATTGGGGCAGCGAGCCAGGGGAGAGCGGGTAATCAAAGTCGCTCTCAAAGGTCAGAGTCTTGAGGTTATGCATCTCGCGTATATATTCGATTGCAGTGTCACACAGTGATCCATAGGTGAAGTTGGTAATTGATGGGGACAGCGCACCAGGTGCGAATGGCCACTCAGGGCATTCACCAAGTGACAGCGTCGTGAGTGATTGGGGAAGATGGGGAATAGGATAGTCATACTCTCTAGGGAATATAAGTGTCTGTAGGCCATGTGGGAAGACACCAGGTTGGAACTCTTTGCTATAGTAATAGCCAAAGGACAGTGAGCGTAGTGATGAGGGCAGGGATCCAGGCTGGATATCCATGTTAAATTGATCATTAAAATGCAGACTCGTCAGTGTGTCGGGGAGGTAGCCCACTGGGATGACATAGTTGAATCCCTCACTGTATGTTAGCTCGAGTAGCCCTGATGGGAGCACCAGGTTCGCCGGACTCTGATGAGTGATCGAGCAATACGGAACGAAGACGAGGCTTGTGAGGGATGTTGGTAGCACCTCAACCTTGGGGTCCTCTGTCCTGTCTTCATGTAACAAGGTCAATGAACGTAGCGAGTCTGATAGGTCACGGGCAACACATAGTTGATCATATGTTGTTTTGTTCAACTTCATCGATGTGATTGATGGAGGTAGTGTGCCCGAGACTTTGCAATCCTCTGTAATATGACCGATGTTTAATGTTTGAAGTGTTCTTGGCAATGAGTAGATATCAATGTGCTCGGGTAGACGTCTCACAGTCAGTGATGTGAGTGACTTGGGTAGCATGTCTGTCATCAAATGTTGATTGTTTGTGTTGTTATACATTGTGTCCAAATGCAAGTGTTTGATTGAGTTGGAGTTTGATAGCTTGGTTACAACATTGTCATGATCAGCTAGCATGTCATTATCAGTGACATAGTATGAATATGGGTTGGTCCAGAGTATAGTCCGACACACCTTATACATTGGCTTGCATGATAAAGCAAGTGATCCTGCATCAATGATACAGCCATCATCCAACAGCATACCAACGATAATGTTATGTATTCTAAATGGTAATTCAAACATGTTATGTGTATATATATATGTATAAGTAGGGAAGTATGTTTGAATGAATGATTGTATGATGATTGATCAGAATGATCACATGATTTATTTGACCAATCCAAAAAATCTGGAAACGCGACGTCCTGGTAACCTTACAATGAATCCAACTATGATTGATTGAATGACTAGATTAAAGTGATGGAAATGAATGAATGGTCATTCTAAGATATTGCCTGGTACAATACACGCACCATAACCTTTCCTGTTTAGTACTTGATCACCATCACCCTTGATCTGTGTCCATTGATCATTCTGTATTGAGTACTTTAAGTTCTTATCTGTACCAATTAGAATAATAATGGTTCCAGTGTTTTTGTCATAGAATGATTGATACTTGTCGACCAATTTCACTGGAGGCAACGTTAAGAAGGATGTAGCCAATGTTATGAGGGAATATTTGATGAAGCACTGTTCGAATAGTATGTAGAAATATTCGAATCCATCGAAACAAGCTGATCGCAAGCCTATGTACATATTGCTCGTTGTGTTGTTGATGCAATATGTACATTTAGCTGTAGGTACATCGTATGCGTAGAGAGTTAGACCAAAGGAACCAAAGAAAAAGATCTTGTTTTTGTGGAACACCAACACGGGGATGGCAAGTTGTCCTAGATATGCGGAGACATTGATTGCCTTGGGTTCATCATTGATTGAATATGAATACATTTGTGCTTTGTTACCTGTACAGAAGTATATACACTCGACTCCATCGAAACATGCTGCAACAACGCCAGTACATTGGATACGTCTCTGATTGTATGTCTGATTCACCACCGAGTACATGTGACAGTCTGTGTCGGTGAACCAAATGATGTTTGAATTAACATATATGAATGGTGCATTGGTTTGGCCATCAAATGGTATAATGTTGTTGACTCCAATACACTTTGTAGTCCATCTGTTGTGTGCAATGTCGTACAATGAGAAATATGGTCCATTCGATGCAAAGATGTACTTGGCACCATTCAATCTATCTTGAGCGGCAGTTGTAAGTCTGACCAATGTATCCATCCTCTTCTTGATGCCAGCAGTATCTCCAATCTTGACTCTGTGAGGTTCAACATAATCATTGATCTTGTTCTTCATCAAACGTGCATTCTGATTTGCCCAAGACAGCAAGTCTATATCTGTGAGCTTGTCTTTATCATCAACATCGTCTACCAAGGCTTGTTGGTTTTCCGAGTCCTCAACTAGCACGGTCGCTACGAACTCCTTCGTTGATGTGCATGTTGATATGTTCCTAACTAACATTTGCTCGTTCTCCAATCCATCATCAGTTTGTTCAACAGCAATAGCATGTTGCCTCAGGTCTAGATATGCACCTCTGACCTTTGTCTCTCCAACGATGCTCAAGATAGAGGATTCTGTCTTCTTCTGTTGTTTAAGCAAAGACGCATTAATCTTGTGCTCCCGAACAACAAGATATTCATGTAATTCGCTAAAGTGCTTCGTGACCTCTTTACAAGAATCATCCAATGTCTTGTATATCCTTGTGTGTTCTTTAGCTGCTTGCCAAAGTGCTTCCAACCTCGGATCATTGAGCGGAGTATCTTCCTCTATGATCTCTTCATCAAGTGGAGTTTCATCCTCCTTATCCTCATCCTTCTCATCCACTCTGATCTCATCATTATTGTCCTCACCATCAACAACTTCTTTGTTATTATTACTATTACTATTGTTACCTTTACTTTTTCTAATGTTATTATTCTTTATTGATTGTCTAATATTATCAACATGTTCAATATCATGTGCTCTATGTCTTGGTAACAAACAATTAGAGCACATAACCTCACAACAGTCATAACATATAAATTCTCTCTTCTTCTTAATATGTGTGTCACAATGTTTATCCATTATCTATCTACCTATTATCTCTCTTTACATCAACTTAGTAATCGATTGAAAATGATCCTAAACCCGGAACCCTCAACCCTTGCCCTCGCCCTCACCCCAACTCGAGGTCGTTACTGTGAGACAAAGAACATGATTTGATTGTGTACAACTCCAATCCAACATCATAGATTGATGGTAGATGGATAGTATGGTATATATATGTATTAATAATAGGATGTATAAGTAGTAGTGATATGCTTGTTGTAGTATTACTATGTGTGTTGATATCCTTGTGAGCTCGATAAGGTAGGGTAGGTATGTATGAATGTAGGTAGGTAAGGTAGGTAAAAGAAAAGGGAAAGGGAAGAGAAGAGGATGATTATATAAATATACTGCTGCACACTTTGGCTGGGTCGATGTAGCTGTATGGTATCTTGACATCACTGTTACGCTGTTGGATGTGCTCGCTGACTTTCTCTAGACGCTCGCGAAGACGTAGAACGTGACGTGATAGGAATGGATCCTTCTCGAATGCATATGGTGTCTCAATCAATGTTGGCAGTCCAGTATCAGTGTTGGCAAGTAGATGTGTAATCGATATCTGACTGAGTGACTCGTACTTTGGTGGCAGGGCATCGATGATGGTCTCGTGCGTGATGACGTTGCCAGCGAGGATCTTCTCTGGGTTGATATAGAGTGCGCCTGGTACATTGGGAGTGAAGCCGTACATGTCCCATTGGCCATGATTGCCAATAGAATGCTCGACCGTCAGTCTAAAGATGATGTCGACGACCAGTGTGCACAGGGTGTCGAGGGACTCGATGGTGCCGGTTGGCGTCAGCTTCTTCATCTGTCCGCCCCAGTTGCTTTGGAGGTCGTTCAACCAGGCGTGCAGCTCAAAGTCGCGGACAACGTCCTCGGGATGTGTGTAGAACTGCTTCAAGACACTATGTACAAACTCGGTGAGTGCGCCGTGAACAGCAAGTCCATCCTCACGGAAGAAGTAGTTGGCCACGGTGGTGTGCTCGTTGAGATCGGTCGATATGTTGTTCTTCTTCAGCCTCTCGGTGAAGGTGTTCTCACACCAGTTGTAGGTCTTGTTGAACTTGCCAATGAACTGAAGTGCGCCAACACTACCTGGTCCGAGGAGTGTGTCGATGGGTCCGTCCTTGCCCAGCAGGTGTCCACGTGCACGCCAGTTGATGTCGAGGAGTAAGTTGAAGTGTGGATGCAGCAGTTGGTAGACTGGATGTGTGGCGGAGAGATGGCGATGAGTGCCAATGGCAAACACCTCACCAAGCATGTGACACTCAAACAGATGTGTGATGAACTCCATGTGTTGGCCATCGGCAGATTGGAACCAGAGCTTGGCCAGGATCCACTCGTGGCGAGTACTCTTTGGCGTGAACACTGGCGAGTCTTCCTTGTTCTGCAGGATCTTGATGCATAGTGGATATAGCTTATTGTTGGTGGGGTCGACATAGAACAGTGCCAAGGGACTGCATGTGTAGCGGCCAAAGGAGGCAGCGGCTTGTATATAATCCTTGTCGTCAAATATGTTATAATCGATGAGGTAGAGTAGGTTCATCTCGAGTGCCTTGTCAAAGGTTAGGTTGATCGAGTCGTGGAGAATGGTGTCAAAGAGTAGTTTGTTGTCGGCAAGGGCTAGTTTGGTATGGATCGATCGTTGGTACAGCTCGTCACTGGTCAGTTGTTCCAGACGCCCGGCGTTGATGCCTTGGATACGTTGGCGACCAAACTCTTCATCGGACAACCAATTAAAATCGTTCAATTGATCAACTGTCTGGTTCTCAATGATCGTAGGATTCTTCTGTACCACAATAAGGTCCTTATATTCTTCAACCGAACTCAAATGAGTTATCTTATTCTTCATCGATATGAACTTATTTACAAAACTCTGGAACTATTCCATCATCAAAAAAAAAAACGAATTAATATATGTTTGATCTTTGATTGATTGAATGGATAACATACAGTTGTTGAGAGTAATGATATACCATGTGGAACTAATGAGGTACCAGCTAGTTGTTCCTCCTTGGGCAACATGTAGGTGGGAGGCATAAGTTTGAATGAAGGGGGCAGGTCATTAATGGCAACATCTTCATAACCAAATACAGGATTCTGTGTATAGTTATATGTGAACTGTTTCCATTCCAAGTCCTTCTGTCTCTGTACTATATAATGATCTTGTTGGGGTAGACATACTGCTTGGTTCATTCAATGTTAGTAAAATATTATTATTAATCTTTAATATTATATGAATACATACTTGACTTCTTTTGAGGTTCCCTGTATGATGGGTCCTTAAAAGGCTTATTGATTGGGAATGGATAGAACATATGGAAGTGATCCAATATAGTGTCCATGGACTATATGTCTGTGTGTATGTACTTGTTGATTGATTGGATAGTGATCTGTTATGTCTTGTCCTTTCCTGTTCTGTCTTGTAGTTGTAACTTAGATTGAGTCGTGATTGAAAAGTGGTTCTAAATAATAAATTAATAAATAAATAATTTAAATAGATTAAATAAATAAATAAATAAATAATAATGTTAATATTGGATTGTCTGGACAAAGACGATCGGGGCTGAGATTTGTTGGTGATTAGATATGTACAACAAAGTGTGGAGAATAAGTTTGTAAGATAGGTAGGCAGGTAGGAATAGAGGAATGTAATGTTATTGGATAATGGCAATGAGTGGAGTGGAGGAGTGACCTCGAGGTAATAGGTGATCACAAGTGAGAAATGAGGGTTATAGACTATTGTCAATGTGAAACCATCAGGTGCAATGGAATTAATTAATGGATTGGAAAAGGAATGGGGACGAAGTTGTTTGTTTGATTGATTGATTGCTTGAATTGAATGAGAATGGAGTGAAGAGAGTGAGAGCTTGGCTTTGGGTGGAGCGATGTGGTGCATGTTCAACGAAGAGCGTGTCTCTTTCTCTGGCAGGCCTGGCAACACAATCACACTCTTACACTCACACTCAGCAGTCAGGTGATGATGGTGGTGGTGGTTCTTGGTTTGGTTGGATGTGATGACAGCACGATCATGATATATTTACCAAGAGCAAGACTTGGCACCAACAACTACATTGAGCATCATCACCACCATCATACCAATCATAATGAGCTCATGATTAGAAGAGAGGCGACGATTACGAGTGGTTAACAACAATTGTTGTATTTAAAGAATGGTGATGAGTGGCTGAGCTCAGGGGAGGACGTGGAATGGAACACTAATGTTTGAACAAACTAATACGCGATCAAGAAAGTACTCACAATACTCACACACCCATTCATTCATCAATCATGTGACTTCATAGTGAGTGCTGTGGGTGGTGAATGGGAGTTGTTGTTGTGTGATGTGGTGGATGGCTGCGACTTAGTAGTTGTCTTGCCGTTATGCCAATGCACAGTAGTGTTGCTATTACTATGATTGATGGGGGAAAGGTGTTTATGTGTTGTTGAGCAGCAATATGGAGTTGATGCTCGAGCATCAAACAATGTACACACACACAAGCTTCGAATGTAAGTACGTGTCGTCCATCCATTCATTCATTCTTTCATTCACCTCTAGCAACTCCAACGGTCAACGAGCAATGGAGTGAAAGCCTTGAGTAGTTGGGGCGAGAACAATACAAGTCCACCTACTACTAAAGGTGGTCGGAAACAAAATTTGTATGGTATCACATGATCCAGTTATAATAATATTATAACCAGGTAAACACTCGTCTGTTGCACTTTACCTACCCTATAATTATTATTGATGATGTTATATTATTAACCTGTTCATATGATGATGATCTGGTACCTAGTTGATTCGAACTAAACTAATTAATGTCTAAGTCTATATATTATTATTATTATTATTATTTAGATGATAGAAGAGTGATTGGAAATGCCAGCCAGTCACTGATGATCAATCAAATAGTGGGATTTATGATAAGTGACAATGATGATGAAGATGATGAAGATGATGTTTGTGGAATCCACAAATACCATCGTACATATTATTGATGGTCCAACAACAAGAACAACAACAACAACAACAACAACATACAACACATCACATTTATGTTGTTGATTGAAACATACCAAAGATGGATGGATATTGACGAGACGGAAAAGGACACATCATACCATACTTGCAAGCACCTTTTCAAAGTGACACTGGAGTGAACCGGCCGGCCTGAGATGAGATGCCCTGGCCGTGATCATCCACAAGTGTATGGTTGTAATGGGCGAGTGTGAGTGATTAAAAGATTGATTGATTGATTGGTATGATATGTTATGTTGGAGTAAGTGATTGAATGAGTTGAGCTCAGTGAGTGGCTGTGATCGTAAGCAATGGAGACCATGGCAACAGGTTCTCTCACTACCATATCGGTGGTGGCCTGTACGTGATGCGTAGCTGATGTGTGATCTCATCTCCGATGCTGATTAGAAAATTGATACCAATTGTATTAGGTTGATAGGATAACATAAGATATGATATGATACTGATGAGATGTGATGAGTTATTGATTGGTGGTGTGTAAGTGTGTGTGCGTGTGTGAGAGTTAGAGGTGATTGCCACATTGAGTGGATGTGGGATGCATTGGCAATGGCAACTTGTGGAACGCATATGATGTTGCAAGATAGATGAGATTGTGTATTTGTGTGATGTGATGATGTAAGTGATCGTGTGAATGGATATAGATTGTATATAGATCCCTTATCTATATAAGTTGCTTTGATTGATTGATTGATTGATTGATTGAT